TACTCTTTCCTTCACACCTACCGCCATCATCGGTGTCGACTCAGACCTCGAGATTCCATCGTTCAAGTTCCACAGCAACACTCGTCCTAGTGTGTTCGATTACCCACCTGAAGCTGAAGTCAAGACCGAGGAGGCTCCTGAGAAGGTCAAGACCGCCATTCTGTCAACAACAGCACATGCCAAGCGTAGAGAACAAGCAAAGAAGAGACAAGCTAGACGTGAGAGCATGGACATTGACATGACACCCACAACCCCCAAGGTCGAGTCCGGCGACAAGATGGATATGGACGATAACGTCGTCGACACAGCCAAGCTTGCCGATGAAAAGGGCGAGGCCGCTCCTACAGAAGGCAGCATAAAGAAGAAGGCCGAGCGTGAAAAGGTTGGCTACGACCTGGAGAACATGAGCCGTGTCCTTCCTGCGCAGATCAAGTACATTTCGTTTGCACAGGATGGTCGCTACCAACCAGTGAAGAAGCCTACTGGTGGTGTCATTCTCTTGCACGACACACAGTCGTCAGAGTCCAAGTCTCTGCTTGAGCTCAAGGCCAAGAAGAAGACCAACAATGCTGCTGCTGCACCTGTCGTCGGCGGATCATCACAACAGGAGACACCATTCACTCCTGCCCGCCAGACTGGTGATGACGCTCTTGCCGCATTGGGCTTCGGTGCCGCAGCAGGTGTTGGTGCAGCTGCTGCATCTGGTGTGCTCAACGCAGTCGACGAAGATGTGGAAGGAGGCGAGGAGGCAGAAGTTCCTGAAGAATTCGAAATCGAGGATGAGGACATGGTTGACGACGAATAGCGAAGCATTTCATAGAGATACTGGTCACTTGTCCATGTAATATATTTTCTTTCATGTTGATTGTACGTTCTCCCCGCTGAGTTTTATCCTGTGCTGCTCTACTGCACTCATCGTGGGTGGCCATTGTGTTTTGATCTTGGAGAGATGATTGTGACGTGATAAATAAGTGGCTGGTACCCGCTCGTGACTCGAACGTTTAACGTGTATACGAGGGCGGTGAGATTCTGCCATGTCAGTAGAGTGGTGAGTCCACCTTGAGATACTACCCACAGTATGACTCTACACTGAAGTCGATACTATTAATCTCAGGCTTGCCGTTCTCTTAATGCTATGCGTGAATCTTGTACAACCTGAGTCTTCACAGATGAGTTTGGTGTCATTTGCCGCGTCGTGCTCATATTCACCCAAAAACGACAGTGTTGCATGGTCGTTTGCTGGAGAACATAAATGTTCTTGCGTTTTTCGCCTATATCTCTACGAAAATAAGAGCGTCCATTATGAAAGCTTGCTAACAGACACCTACAGCCATCAAACATATATTGAGGCTATACAGAGACTATAATATGTACGTGGTGCTGCTGTAGGCACTCTCGAGGTGCCAAAAAGATTGCATGGGGGTGACCCTGATGCTAAATTGCGCGTCGGCGTCTTCGTCATATCTGGATTGAGGAAACGACAAGATTTATATGCACGCGACACGAATCTACGACACAACCAACACGAACACCTGAGCATGATATACTTGTACGGGCAGACCGGAGCATTGCGATAAAGATACAGACAAGGATGGCGGAAAAGCGACGAGCGTCAGGACGGGCGCGAGACGCGAAAAGACGAAGGACATCGACCAAAGTACCAACGCCAAAAGATGCGACACCACAGGAGGCGACGCCGGTCGTCGAAGAGGCAGTACGAGAAGCGACACCCTTACCTAACAAGGTCGTCGACTCGAAGCCTCTGCCCACCCTGTCCGAGCGCCAAAGCACCAGCTTGTCCAACGACGAATACAAGACGATTGCGGAAAGTGGAGTGTTGTTAGCATCACTGGAACGATCACGGCAGAAGTGGATCGCTGGCACCTTTTTCGACAAGTACTGGACCAAGACATCGGGCAGAAAAGATGCGCCTCCAGCGCCGCCGGGCAACCCACACAAGTCATGGATGAAGGAGATTGCGCCATGCACACTGGTAGTAGAGCCGCTGATCTTTGACGCGACGGTATACTACGTCAAGGAGCCAGGTCCAGCGCCCTCATCCTCGTCCTCACACCAAGCACCTCAGCAGCACTTTCAACAGCAACAATACCAGCACCAGTACCAACATGCTCCTCCCCAGCAGTACAACCAACAACCAACACGACCAAATCCCAACGCTCCTGCTGGGAAGTCCTTATGGGGCTCCATACTCGTCACATCCTTCTACGCAATACCAGGGTCGTCCCCACCCACCACCCATCATGCCCGCAACCGCTCGAGCGCCGCCACCCCCTCCTGCAGCACCTGCACCCGTCAAACAATCGCCAGATCCTGTCATCCAGATGCTTGCCTCGCGCGCGAGTAGCGATGCTGAGCTCAAAGCGCTTATGAAGATTGTAGCCACGGGTAACGCCAACCAGGAACAGCTGCGCGTCTTCCAGAGACACATAGACGAGTTGACGGCCATGATCAACGCCAACAAGGCCCAGCCAAACAGTCAAACAAACTCTCCCGCTCCGCCACATCAACATGCAAACTCACGACCTCCGTCGGCTGCTCCCGCCATCAAACCACACCCTGCCACAGTACAGCCGCACGCTCCGATATATCCTATGCCTCAGCAACATCCGCAACAATACCAACATCAACCACGTCCCCCGCCGAGCTATCCCAGCTACCCCATCGTACTCGAGTTTCAAGGCCCTGGCGCCTCGCCCGACCGCTTCCGCTTTCCCGAATACTCCATCCTCGAGTTTCTCAATTCCTACAAGATGCTCGCGTCATTCCTCGTCATCCGCAAAGGACGAGACGTCAGCCCTCAACTCGACCCCGATACCGAGTACTACGAGCCGGTCACCATGACAATCACCGTGTCCGAAGCTCGCTCGGCTGCAAGAGACGTCTTGCAATTCATCACTCGCTGTGTCAAGCCTGCCGATCAGGTCCGCAACTACATGACCGACAAGATCGAAAAGTGCACGCGTGCTCCGACAAGATATCTTGCCTTTAGGCTACCACACAAGAGCGGCATTACTGAAGTAGAAGAGGAGGTCCCTGTTGTGCAAGAGGTCAAGCCCAAGCCCAAGCCAGCGCCTCGAAAGAAGAAGGAAGACAAGGACAATGATCAGACAGGAGAAAAGGATCCAACCAAGGTTGCTGTATCAGCTCCCAACGGTGCAGGAGATACTGCACAACAGATTCCTACGCCGAGTGCGACACAAGAACCGCCTGCAGCCACTTCTGTCGATCCTTTGACGAATCCTCTGGCTGGAACAAAAGAGGCAGAGGCTGCTCCTCCTACTGCGCCAGCACCTGAGAACCTAGAGTCTACCCAACCTGCAGAAGCACCAGCGGCAGACAGCACAACTACAAAGCGCAAAAAGTCCGTCCGCATCTCAGAAGTGCCCACAATCGCCAACGACGGCAACACAACTACCAGCGCAGTAACGGCCGCACCAGATGCTCCCACAACCACAACCACAACCTAGATACCCATATTCCAAGTCATTCGACTAGCAATTGCTGCAATCCATGTCAAAACACGAAAGCGATACTCTCCAAGTCAAAAAAAAAGTAATGTCATGATAAAAGAAGCGAAAATTTTGTAGTTTGTATATGATGATAGAAAAATATGTACCGAGACTTCTATGGTGATTCGTCCAGGGGTTTAATTTGTCACGAATACCTCAAACGCAAGGCCTTGTAAGTGTCAATCTTGCAAGTGTAGACCGGAGTCTAAACACCAGCTGCTCGATGGAGTGATACGAGAGCCGAGAGGACTGACTTGCTGTGCTATGGAAAAGAAAAGGAGAAAGAAGAGTTGATGTACTCTACAAACCATTTATCTCGTTCTGTACGTCTTGTATCCTCAAATCCGGTGAATTTCATTTGATTCGCATATCAATCGACAATCCACCTTGTGTGAGAGAAGATCTGATTCCAGTTGAAAGAGGGTGGAGGAGAAGAGTAGACAGACGCCGAGATTTTTCTTCGTAGAGGAGTGACTTGCGTTGATTTTTGACAGGCTTGTGTTGAGTTGCCAAAAGTCTTGGTATCGTGTGCGGATGACCACGGCCTTCGATCTTGTTGCACCAATTCTACAGAAACACATACTCGTCTTGTGATACCAATCTCATTAGAGTAAGTCAATAAGTGCGTGTAGAGTCATCGCTATTTCCTCCCATGTACGGCGACACTTTTCTCTCTGTCGCATAAGTTCTATCCGAGAGCGCAATTTGCTGAAGGATGACAGGTTAGTATAAAAGGAGTCGACTTCCATCAAGATGGGTGTACTCAAGAGCGGGTTTTTGTTCCTCATTTTTGCTGTTTCTCTATATCCTGTTCTCGTACTCTTGTTGACGAATCCTTGGCTGCAACGACAGTGCGTATCTCTCCTTCTCTCTTCTACTCCATTGCTTGTTTGTCTGCTTGCTTCTTCTGAGTTCTTGTTCTGCTACGCTTCTCGGTCATACAGTTTACCCGACTGGACTATGTTCTAACCTGTCAACCCAATAGCNGCACTATATGCTCATAAGATCCATTCTGGCTTCTGGCATGATGTCAACAAGCCCGAGTCTTTTGGCTTTGCGGCTCATCAAGTAACTCCATTCAACGTCAGCACGCCAGACAATAAAGTGCTCTATGCATGGCATATCCTTCCTCTCGCAACAGTGGCAGCAAACAGAGATGCTTTGGCCGCAGCCGATGTGCTTGATCAAACTCTACCGCTTCAGCTTCTCAAGTCTGACCCTGAGGCCAGAGTAGTCGTGAACTGTAAGTCTTCTGGGTCATCCAAGAGGCTCAGAGATGCTGACTAGAAAACAGTTCATGGCAATGCAGGACATGTAGCTCAGGGCTGGCGTACAGACACTTATCGCGCTCTCTCGAATCAACCACATACCCATGTCTTTACCGTCGACTACCGCGGCTTTGGTCGCAGCACTGGTTCGCCAACTGAAGCAGGTCTCATCACCGACGGCCGCGCTTTGATCCAATATGTCATGTCGCTCGGCATACCTCCCTCACGCATTGTGATTCTCGGACAAAGTCTCGGCACCGCAGTCGCTTCAGCCGTAGGATTGAGTTTCTCAGACCCGACTTCTGAACTCTTGCCTCAACCTATATCCAGCGGCAAAGTCGAGACGGCAAGATTCAGAAGCATCATTTTGGTTGCACCATTCGCCTCTCTACCGGATCTTTTGCTCAGTTACCGCATTGGAGGCTTGGTTCCCGTCCTGGCACCTCTCCGCCACTCGCCCTTCCTCGTCCGCATGATTTCGAAGTATATCCTTGATACATGGCCCACTGGTCTTCGCCTCAATGCCTATGTATCCGCTGCTGCTTCTGTGGCATCTGAGGACAACGGTGCGGGAAACGTGCATATCTTGCACGCGCGCGATGATCAGGATATTGCTTTTGCGCAGACGGAGAAGCTGTTTGCAATGGCTGTTGGGAAAGAGGTTGAGGTTCTGCCTTTGGGGGTTAGAGAGGTGGTCGGGGAGGGTAGGGTCAAGGTTAGAGTTGAGATGTTGGAGTATGGGATGCATAATCGGGTTGTCACGTATGCTCCTGTTGGGTTGGCTGTCATGAGGGCTTTTGAAGGTGTGTAGAGTAATTCTGGTGGAGGAGGTTCGGGGAAGGGGCTCTAAGAAGCTGTTGATTTTGGTTTCAAGGTTCTTTGTTGGTATCGTGTATGTATCAAGGCTCTGCAATCTTTGTGTAGATATGGATGTAGTATGTAAACTCTTGTACGCGGTGCAATTCTTTCTTTAAACACTGTCTTACCTGGAACGGGCAGGCACTATCCTCTAGTACCACATATCCTCACATTGCCTGCGTAACGATATACTCTCGGCAGATTCACTCTGGATAGCAAAAGAGTAATGGCCCTGATGGAAGGAGCAATGTTGCAATCACCAAAATCTCCTACAACGCTGATTGGCTGACTTGCCAAAGATAGCCCGAATCACCGAAGTATCGCCAGTACTGACCACTGCTCCTGCACAAACAAGCACCTTCTTCTTCAGCGCAGACACAACAATCATAATCTTTGCCTTTTCCCATCATGCTGTCCATCACATAACAGCCAAACCCTCTGGGTTGGCCAACCATGGTTGCAGCACTCATCTGGAATGAATTCGCAGCTTCTGGAACAGGCACATGGTCTCCTCGCGCTCGGCTCTGTCTCTGGATCTCGGATATTTTACTGGCTTGTTGGGTTTCTGGTGATCTTGTGTGTTATTTTCTTGGAAGGGAACGTTGGGTTCTGGTGTTGTAGGGATGCAATGTTTTGGAGTGGCATGTGAGGATTTGGCTACTCAGAGTCTTGAAGCTCGAAGCTTTCTGTGGACATGGTTATGGAATGGAATAGTGTTGTGCCTTTTTACTGGTATTATACCACTGATCCTGGGTCCTGGATCCTGGGAGAACTGTCATCGATGTTGGTGCTACTGGTCTGAGCGATTCTCCATTTCGACATCGCGCTCGTACCATGGGTGTCAAAATGCAGGGACCATTATAGTTTGATGTCGTTGTCCAGTGAGAGCCTGGCAGCCGTCGAATCTCAATGGACTTTGTTCGATACCGAAAGATTCTTTGCGATTGCATCGATCTATACTGGACCGTGTGTGCTGGAAGGAGTAGCCTGGCTGCTGGAATGCTCATTTTTGTCCAGACAGGGCTCTAGTGCCTTCGACCTCCTGCTATCGTCGTCAATATCCTGTCAAAAGGCAAGAATTGAAGCCATGTGGTGTAGATGTCCAAGGAAAGGCCTGGCTCTGTCAATAGTCGGCCCATGTCTTCCTGGGTTCAAGCTTGGCCTCAAATACTCTGATCTCTCTCGACAACCACATCCCCCTGGATACTGCTAAGAGAGGGTGACGATAGAGGCAGCGTGTTGGTACACTGACCTACTGTATCATCATCGCCACAACATCGGAGCTTCCAACTCCCGCTTGCTCCGACCGGGTACACCTTGCTGCCGCTACCATATCAAGCCAAGAGACTGGTTAGCGCAGCGGGACTCTCCGGTGAAAGTGTTGTATATCAAGACAACACGTACGCTTGCTCGACTCTGCGTCTTGATCTTCAGCATCAACTGCCAGGTCACCAACCTTCTCCCTACAACCACTCCTCTACAAACAACCATGCCTCCCTCCCACCGCTGCACACTGTGCCCCCAGTCGCGCATTACGCAATGCAATAGCGAGCTCAACATGAAGTCTCACTTGGGCGCCATGCACAACATGGGCCCCTACGAGTGCTTAGTCACTGGCTGCGGTCGCCGTACCAACAGAGAGTATGTATCATCATACTGCATGATATCGCGTTTTGTATCTGACTTTCGAACTGCAGAGACCGCAACGAGAAGAACCACATGAGGCCTAGCGACCACCCTGCTCAATGGCATAGGCCACAAGCCCTGGCCAACGCCTTGACAAGAGAGGCCTCGGCTTGTCGTCAGGCCTTTGTTGCCGCCCACGCTCTCCCTCCTCCCGCCGCCGCTCAAGCTCCTGCCGCCGCCGCTCTCCCTTCCCCGGTCGCCGCTCAAGTCCCTCCCGCCGCCGCTCAAGTCTCTGCCGTCGATATGCCTCCTCTCGCCGGCCTTGCTGTCTCCACCCCTCCCGCAGCCGCTCAAGCCCATGTCATTGCTGCTCCAGCCCCTGTTGCTGGCCCCTCTACACCTCCCACCGCCCCTGCTCAAGGCCCAAGTGGTGGTGCCCCCACCAGAGCCTACCTCAACCCCGTTGCGTTGCACATGATGGAGGGCCTCAAGCGCCTGTCAGTCATCAGGCCCGACAATCCTCGCAAGATGCTGGGCGAGTATCTCCTGAGACGTCATGCCGGCCAGCCTGATGATCAAGACAACATCCTCCCTCGTGCCGCTCAGAGTTACACTGGTGGCGAATCCTGGAGAGAATACTACCACCGCACTGGAATCGCGTTGTACCTTGTGGAGGGCAACAGGTATCTGGCTCACTACAAGCCTCAGGAGCCATTGAAGTGGCTAGGTCAGTACCTCGTGACTCACAGTGCTGAACACGAGGGTTAGGGAAGAGGACGAATAGCAGTCCTTTTGGGCATGGATACATGGAACTCTGCTGGATTTTGCATAGCACAAGGGGTTCTTTTACAAGGTTTTTGATAGGACGGGGGCGTTTTGTTTTGCAGGGTTTCCTCCTCCCTTTCTCCCTGCTTTTCTTCTACTAGAGGAAGTTTTTATCTCCTACTTCAGACACTCTCTTCTCTCAAAACAAGGTCCAATGTCACTTTTATTTTCTGATTTCTCGCATCCATCAGAGCAAGTTCCTCCCATGACGAACACCACGTCCGTGACCGTGATACTAGATCTAGCACCCTTCGTACCAAACGGAAGAAGAGTCCGAGTATTTTGAATATGTGCACAAAGTATCTCCAGAGCAACATGCTAATGCAAAGATCTAAACAAAGACTTGGTTGGTTGGTATACAAGTGTGGTAACCCGTGTATCGCCGTCTTCGAATTATCTGGAACAGCTCCACAACAAACACCACGTCCCGTGACCGCAGTAACAGCTTTGTACTCTTTTCTAACGAGAGGGAAGAAAAGCAATGTTTGCACAATGTCTTTTGGAATATGCCGTGGAAAGGAAGAGCCAAGATAAAGAGTAAGCGGTGGTGTACAAGTGTAAGCGGTGGTGTACAAGTGTAAGCGGTGGTGTACAAGTGTGCAGTAGTGCATACGCGTCGATGCATCTTTGCTTCTTGATCCCGCGCTCAATGTTAGAGTTCTGTGACAGACACTTTGTTGCGGTTCGACAGGTAGAGCTAGATAGAGAGTAGTATATATGTGTGTAGAAGTACCCAGGCATTGGTATAATCTTTCTCGCTATCTCCGTGCCAAAAACTGGAAGTTTTGGATGGCTTTTATGTTGTGACAAGTGTTTGTCATTCTGAGAGTATTAGTACCCGGATTCTATAGGCCGGGTATAGGGGGTAGTTCTAAGATTCTTTACAAGCAATGGTAATATGCAAAGTGTGGTTTGTGTATGTTAGTTCCCATCTTATATTCTTTAATCTAATAGATGGCTAGAACCCAGTAAAACGTGCAAAAACAAAACCCCCATCTCTGTAAGACAAGAGCTTCGGTAATATCGTGACACCGATTGGCATTTCTACTGGCAGACAGGGTTATGGCACCACGATTTAAGGACTCAATTCGAAAGAACAGGGGTTCTGCCATCCCACTCCTGACTAACAACCGCGTCCAGCATAAACTCAGCGACGCTCTGCGCACTCACAGACGGCATGAATTCCGCCATCTCTCCTGTATCGCCCAGATCTTTGACTGGCAAAGCTACATCACCCTTAAGCATAGCAGGTCTGGGCATCACGAATATCAGTCCACTGTTCTTGATAACCCCATCAACAGCATTCTGGTCGTCGAGTGTTTGCTTCATGTTAGAGTAGAGCATAGTTGCTCGCATGAGAAAGTTGAGATTGGAGAAGGAAGATCCAGCGCCAAACATTGACATCAGGACCAGTTTCTGGATCCTGGGACCAAAAGCTTTTGCTGCTGAGACAACTGCAGTAGCCGAATCAGACATGAAGAGTGCAGGCGAAGTTGTTGCGGCGAAGGGGTTTCCAGATGTGCGTGTTTGGCCCAGTGTGCTGATTACGACCACTGGACCTGTTGTNNCAGGGGAGAGGGCAGTGGTGATAGAGGCAGAGTCGAGAGGAGAGCCTTCAAAAATCGTGAGGTTGGCTTGCGGCGTCAGGTTCGAGGATGGTCGGATCAAGGCGACGACGTGGTGGCCGCGTTTCAGTGCTGATGCTAGAACGAGACGACCAGTGCGGCCTGTAGCTCCGATAAGGAGGATATCCGGAAGATTGATCAAGGTAGAGGTCGACATCTTCATGATAGTTTGTTATGTGGGAGTCTGCTAGAATTGTCCAGGTTGATTGGGTTGTGATATAGAGAAAATGATGGTAGATGGTAGGTGGGCATGGCTTGAGAAGGTGACAGTACCGATCCTATTTGTATGTTTTCACATGTTGACCTATATAGGGTTTCTACATGTTTGGTCTTAGCAGTAAGAAGCCACGATCCTTGGGCGGCTTGATTATCGAGGAAGTTGGATAGAGCTCTCTCGGAGAAGGAGTTGCAGTCGGCCGCTCGGACTTGATATGTCCGCCCTCGGCCGAAATCGTGCCTGCTGTTCTTGCGAAGCCGTCAAATCATCACCTCAATCCTTCCAGCTTGGTCAGCCATAAGCGACCAATCGATCATCGCTGCCTTACACATGCTGACTTAAGCTCGCACTATCATCATCTCATCGGTAGTGAAGGCGCTGCAAGATTGCGTGCAGTATGTGCAGGAAAAGGATCTCCAATGCTCGGCCGACACGCCTAAGCATGACCGGTCGAGTATGTCAAGGAAAGGCAGGCGCTTTGTAAAGTATATAACCTGCCGCGTCGTTCAGCTCGAAATGTATACTCTCATCGTCTTTCGAGCACCGCAATCACCCCTCCAGAGCACCTTCCTTTCGACTGCTGACCCTAACATCGACCATACTCGAGCCCACCAAATTTCTCCTGTCTGATTATCAGGATGGCACCCGAAGTCAGCATTATCGGCGCTGGCATCGCAGGCCTAACATTGGCCCTCAGTCTACACACTCAAGGCATTCCATGTGCCGTCTACGAGTCCCGCCCTGAGCCCCAAAACATCGGCGGTGCCGTAATGCTCTCCCCTAACTCACTTCGACTGTTCGACAACATTGGCATCTACGACGGTCTCAAGCGTCATGGCTATAACTTTGATACTCTCTACTTCCGCGACCTCGCCGGCTCCCTCAAGGAAACCTACCCCTTTGGCAGCGTCGAAAAGTATGGATACAGTGGTCTCCGCGTCTACCGCTACCAACTCATCGACCTACTGCTCGAGAAGCTCAAGGCTAATGGTACATCAATGCACTTTAACCACAAATTCTCGCATGTGATTTCCGAATCCGAGGATACTGTTACCTGGCAACTCATCAACGGCACCACAAAAACATCTTCACTGTTGATCGGTGCAGATGGAATCCACAGCCGAGTTAGACAGTACATGTATCCAGATCTCTCGCCAAAGTTTACCGGCATGGCCGGTATCACCGCTGCAGTCCCGACCGCAAACATAAAACTGCCTTCACCGGACTACAAGATGCCAGTCACGATCATGTCACCCACTCATGGCGCCTTCGTCATCGCACCTCAGACGCCAGATGCCAGTGAAGTGTTTATCGGAAAGCAAAAGCGTATGGCTGAGCATTCGCGTGAGGGCTGGGAACAAGTTTTTGCCGACAAAGAGGCTTCCATTGCTTTCTTGCGCGAGGGAGCAGAAGTGTTTGGCGATATTGCCGTCACTGCTACCTCTGATATCCCTCTTGAGCACGTCAATGTCTGGCCCTTTTATGTTATTCCCAAACTCGACTCTTGGTCTTCTAGCAATAGAAGAGTGCTCCTGGTAGGCGATTCAGCACATTGCATACCCCCATCTGCCGGTCAAGGCATCAGCCAGGCTGTAGAAGATGTAGTGATGCTAGCCATACTACTAGGAAAGGGTAGAAGCGACAAGAAAGACTTGGGTTGGTGGCAGCAATTCCGACAAGCCAGGCTTCAGCAAATTTTGCTCTTGAACGCCCGCATCGATCGCCGCAGACTGCCCAAACTGCTGGGAAGTGAAGAAAAAGACGATGACGAGCAAGGCTTTGATCTAGATTGGTTATATGGAATCAACGTTGTCGCAGAGGTGGAAAGATATGTCGGTGGTCTGTAACAATGTTTGATTTTGGTTGATGTCGTTAATCTTTCTTGCGATACAGAGGGCGTGTTAGAAAGGGAGATCGATTGAAGAAATCTAAATCGCCGTGGAAGTTACTCTTGTTCTCACAGGTACTGTGCAAAGTGACTAGGAACAGCCATTGGCGCAGGAAAGAACGATTCGTACAAGCGACACCAACAATCACATTCCGGGCAATTAGTCTTTGCAGCCAGGTGTATTGGACTAGAGGAGATCGTGTTGATCAAAACTGTCCTGTATACACTCAAGCACTCCAGACACTACCCGCGCATCACAGGCATTGCAATTTCCATCTTCACGGTCACAGACGCGATACTCGTCTTTACCTGCTGTTGCATCGCAGCACTACAGCACTACAGCACAGCACAGCACTACAGCACTAACACTGATTGTCATTCGTGACAGGAAAAAAAAAGCAGTAGGCTAGAATTGCACACTCCAAGAAAGAAGAAGTGCAAAACTATCTGATGTGTACACAGTCGTTCTATGTTCTTTCGCCTGTACGCAAACATGTTCTTTCGTTCCATCTCTTCTAAAAAAAAAAGAGCCTGATGAGAGTAAGCCAAAGTTCTTGTCTGGTTCATTGTGCTCTTTGGCTGGGTGGTTTATTCGTCTATAATGATGCATATAGCGTAGCTTCGTTTTCCTCTTCTATCGAAGGGGGTTTGTGCTTCGCTAAACCAATGTCTTTGCTGTTTGGAAGACCAAAAGCCTTCTAGAAGCCATGGAGTCGGGATGACCACAACATTGTGTTTCGGCACGCTGCGTGGCTAGCGATTGTCATGCTGTGGGTTCCATGTGTTTGTCCAACGCTCGAATCTCGTCTCTTTGGGGCAAGAGTGAATGCGGCGGTGCTTTAGTGTCGAGACGTCCTTATTTTTGACGGAGCGAGATTTGTCTTGCGGAAATCTCTTGATCGCTGGGCTTGTGCCCAAGGCTTTTAGAGCGAAGAACATGGCTGTCTGGTCCAGAGGACACGAACAAATCCGTGCGTTGGTGGGCGGCAGCAGAAGTGTTTGGTCCCGAGCAGGCGCCGCGAACTATCATACTTCTTCATGGTGAAGTGAGTCTCTCGTCTTTCATCCGCCACTCATATACTTCTGCACCAACGACACCATCCGCGGCACCAATTCCCTGACCAAGAATGGCTTTGTAACAACTTCATCCATACCAGCTTCCAGCGCAACAGCAACTTGCTCTTGCCTAGCATTAGCCGTGATCGCAATCACAGGGACATGTTTCGCAATGTCGCCCCTCGACTCTGATTGACGAATACGACGGATAGCGCCTAGGCCATCCATGACTGGCATTTCGACATCCATGAGGATGATGGAGAGGGGGATGGCAGTGGCAGAGGAAGAACAAAAGGTAGTGGTAGCGAGAAAGTTTAGGGCGGCGAGACCATCGTCGGCGACGTGGACTGTGTGGACGCCCAGACGGCGTAGTTGTTGAGCAATGANCCTGCAAAGTCGAGAGTTAGCTTCTAGAAATGCTGGATTGACAAGGAGAAAAGGTCGTGTCGGTACCTTCTGATTGATCTTGTTGTCTTCGCAGACCAAGACATGCAAACCTTTGACCGATAGACTGCTTTCTACCGCAACACTTGAGCTGGTCAGTAATTTGACGTCTTTTTNGCCGTCTGAGTGAGGCAAATTGAGAACGCCAGTCAATGCTTCTGCCGAATTCACTGACTCGGTACCAGAGGCAGGCTTAGGGGGCTCTGTTTGTCGTGTCTTGATAAAGAAGGCAAATGTCGAACCGACTCCTGCTGTACTCTTTACACCGATCTGTCCACCCTGTAGTTCAGAGAGGCCTCGGCTGATGAACAAACCCAAACCACTGCCACCGTAGGTTTTGTAAGTTTTGGGAGACGCTTTTGACGTGTGGTCAGTTTTCCTCCTCTTCAATGCTCTGGTAATTCTGGGAAGACATGACTTACCTTGAGCAAATCTCTGGAAAAGAACTTTGCATTCGTCTGCTGTGAGACCTCGTCCAGTATCCTCGACACCGACATAGATGTACACTTCCTCTCCAAGTTCGAACTTGAACTCTGGCAAAGCGGCTGTGGGTGTACCGGGCATGGAAGTGTCTTTTGTAGGATCCTTGCGTGAGCTCAAAANAGCAATACCAAAGTCTTTCTCGGTAGGCTTTGTGAGAGAAGCAGCAAGCTTGATGGTAATCCTTCGTTCTTGTTCAAACTTTGTGAATTTGATGGAGTTGGACAGAAAGTTGATGATCTGTGTGGGGTCAACAATGGGTGCTCCAAAATTCCATGATCTTCTTGAAATACTGACCACTTGAAGCAGACGACTAGGATCCACCAGGACAAAATCTACACCGAGGTCCACGTAGCTCGGATCGACTTGCATGTTTGCCACAATCTTGGCGTGCTCAATCTCCTTTTCAAACATCTTCAGTGCGGTCTCGATGATTGTAGGGACTCGGGCTCTTTCCAAACTGAGGACCAGAAGGTTCGAGTCCAGCTTTGAGAAGGTAAGAACTTCATCTACCAACTGTCAGTATATTCCCGTTCACATGCTCAATCTTCAGTCCGTACCTATAATCGTCTTCATGTGCCTAGCGCAGAGGGTGATCGTCTGAGCAGAATCTTTCAGCGGCTCAACCGTATCGGGCGCGGTGGGAGTATCCAACAACGAAATGATACCATCTGCCAACTGAAGAATGGAAGATAGAGGATTGCGCATCTCGTGTGATAACATGTCCAAGAATGTTTCCGTCGCGCGCTTGGTCTCGAGCGCATCCTGAAGTTTTTCTTGTATCAAGCGTTCATTCAGCTTTCGTGGACTGACATCAAGAAGCCAACCTTGAACTGAAGTGACATTACNCCTAGATTGAAGGTACAATTAGCATGACCTCACTGAGTTGGAAGACACCAGGGCTTTGCTGATTTCGGCTTGACTTACTGCTTCATCGCGTTCCGCGAACGACATACTTTCCACAAAGCGCACCCCATCAGGGTATGCAGGAGCCTTTGTCCTCACCACATTCTGAACAGGTTTGGTACTGGAGATTGTGGACAACCACATATCGGTTGCCAGAGCTACGTCATCGTCGTGCAGGGTCGCATTCCAACCAAGACCTTCGTCTGCGTTCTTGTAGAATTGTGTTCGCGATACACCATGCAATGCTAGGTATGCATCGTTGACAAAGACGGGGTATCCATCCGGTCGCAGCATATACATTCCAATTGGAGCCTGTCTCGCCATGCGAGCATACGAATCCTCTTTTATCTCTGCCTCCAGAAGGGCAATTTGAAGCTTGTCAGACAATGCCGAGGTTATGGCTGCAGCTCTCTTCTGCTCCTCGGGAAGAGTGACAAATATGGCACCTTTTCGGGTCAAGTCGCCTATCCTTGATACAAAAGAGACGCTACCATCGTCAAAGGGTCTGCCGGGGTTCATACCAAAGACGGCGACAGCAAGCTTGCGGTTGCGTAGATCTGTGATTGGCAGAACGCAGACAACATTGATGGCACCGTGGTCGGTGGTGCTCCACTGTAGGCCAGAGGGAAGCGTGCCATCGTCCCGTCTTAGAACAAGCAACTTTTCGTAGTTGGATGCATTGTTGAGTATCTTTAGCAGCAACGATGTTGACTTGGCATTGGTTTCACCAAAAGAAGCCTCGAGGACATAGTCTCTCGAGGTTGGAGATGACTCGGTCGGTTGAGTATTATCTGCAAGGCCGGCAATAGAGAAGATACAAGCAGCAACGATGTCAATCGAAGTCTTGTCGAGAGGTTCCAGTGCGAGAGGCCACAGTTGCTTCAGATCGGTCGCACTTGCAGCGATCCTGATGGATGTGTCAAGGATGGCTGCTCTATTCTCTTGCACAACAGCAGTAGTGTTTTCAGCAAACTCGCAAACACATCCGAGATATCGGCCGTCCGGACCGGTGATGGGTAGTTGGTAGAAGTGGTGCCATGTTTGTTCGGGAAAGCCGTGCCTATGCATCTCGAACATGACGTTCTTCATCTGATGAGCCTTGCCGGACAAAACAACAGCTTTGATTGTACTGTCGATCTGGTCAAACATTGCGTGGCCCCAGGTGTCGGCCAAGGACATTCCCAGACATGGGTGCTTATTTCCAAGGATTGGCACGGCGGCCTCATTATATAGCATTGCATGTTGGTCGCCCCAATACAGGATACGCGTTTCTGGACAAACCATCATCCTCTGGACGGCACGGCGCAACTGTGGGTGCCAGGCCGACATTGGGCCTAGGGGTGTGTCGTGGAAGGGGTAGTGCCGGACAAAGGACATCCACGGGTCGTCTTTTGGTTCTAGCCAGCCCATGTACATATCTGTGAGCTTCGTCTTCTCCAGGAGGACATTGTCCTCGCCCTGTTGTTGGTCATGATCCAGCATGACGGCGTCCTCGGCAGACAATGCAGGTGCAGGTGCTGGCGCTGCGGTCCAGCGGCAAAAGACTGTCATGATGTTTGACCCAAAGCTCTTGGCTAGCCATTTTTGGTGGGCAAAGGTGCCCAAGTCGATGGGCTCGTGGGTAGCCTGGGCGGCGACAGCACACAAGCTGTTGGCCCATGGCTGAAAGTCGGTAGAGGCGCCGGTCCCTTGGAGCAGCGAGTCAAAGGCAATGTTGCAGAAGCGGATGCGACGCGTGCTGGTGTCGAGGAGCAGCGTAGGGCGGTCGTCGTAGGTGGCCAAGTCGATCAAGGTGTCGATCGAGGCTTCGTGTGCAGGCGCCGCCATGTTGGGCGTCGGGCTGACGCGACTGGAAGAGTCGGCGAGGAAGTCGCGTCCGTGGGATCAAAGGCGGCTTGTAGACGCAGACATGGATTTGTCTTTGTGCATGTTGAATCGTTTGGTTGCGTAGGGTTTCGCTATGGAACGTCTGCATCTCGATCATCGATCGCCTGGTGTCGCCAAGCCGTTTTGCATGAGCCGCCGACAATGAATCAGTCATGAGCATTGGGCCAGGTCTATAGGTAGCTTCTCGTCCTGTGGCATGACATGACATGAATGGTACACTGATGATAGCAGAGCCTCATGCCTGCCGATTAGAGAGGCACAACCACAAACACCTTGATTCCAGCGCCCCGCTAATCTGGAACTCGAGAACGCCTGCGGCTGAACCCTAGCGGTAGCCCTCTACTTGGTGTCCTAACGCAGCCACTTGAGCACAAAATAGACAAAAACAACAAACACTACCACACCCGTCCAGAATATCCACTTGTCCTGCTTGGCCCTTCGCTCGACCATGCGTATCGTATCTCCTGAAATACCCAGTGTGTTCGCAACGCTGTAGAGCTTCCTCTGTGTGTTCTTGAGCATGTCGCGCTGCTCGCCTAGATCCCCCAATACAGCACGGCCTCTTTCTAAATACTCGTCCAGTGTTGCGTTTGTGGATGTGAAGAAGTTCTGCTCGCGTAGGGCGTGGTTCTCTCGCGCTTGGTCGCCAGAGTCTGTACTCAATGCATACGGCGACTGATATGACGAGTAAGGGTTTGAGCCTGCTGCGCCGGTGGGTGTTGTGACAAAGCCGTCTCGCGTGCGGAATAGTGGGTTTGCGCCGCCATCGCGCGAGGAGCTGGCCATGGCAGAGTCGGCGTATGGGTTTTCTGGTGTCGCATTTGCACCGTGTGGACGACGATGGCCTAGCAGATCGTTGCGGTTGTTCTGGTGCAGCTTCTCTTCATGTTCGGCCTTGAGCAGAGCGAAGCGACTGCGGTAGTCGAGCAGTTCGGCGCGGAAGTTTGTCAGGCGGTCTTGGGCTTTCTGTGCCTTTTCCGGCACTAACTCTTGCTGGGCGCTTCGCGAATAGTCGTCTAGTGTGCGGCTGAAGGATGTGAGCGAGGTGGTGAGCTGGCCCTGGAGAGCTGGCGAGCTCGTGGCAGACTCGGCGTAAGCATCGAGGTCTTTGCGGATCGCGTTGGACTGCCGTAATGCAGAGTTGAAGAGGGAGTTCTGTGAGTCCGAGTTAGTCTATGCCTCTCTGTAAGACTTACTCACTCGACACTTACCATGGTTGTGATTGAGAGTGAATGAGTGAGTGCAAGCTGTCCAACGCCTGTACCTGTAAACATGTGAATGTGGCCCCAACTCTCGGCCCAGCCCTACCAAGTCCGGCCCGCATGGTAGCCCTAAAGAAAGCTTGGCACTCTTGACCTCCGCCAGAAATCTTTTTGAAGCACAGCGTTCCATTTCTTCTCTTCCAACCAACTCCGACTTTTTCGTCACTCCCAACCCACATTCTTCGGCCGTGAACCCCGGGCGAGCAAACCGCAAGGAACCTTCGGGCGAGCCAGATTATACAACCACTTCTCACCACTACCACCAAACAACAACAAAAATGTCGCAGAACGACTCCGCCGCCTGGCCCGTCGCCGACGCCGCCCTGACCCAGAACATCCTCGACCTGGTCCAGCAAGCCTCGCACTACCGCCAGTTGAAGAAGGGCGCCAACGAGGCCACCAAGACCCTCAACCGTGGTGTCGCCGAGGTTGTCATCCTCGCTGCCGACACTGCTCCTCTGGCCATTCTGTTGCACATTCCCCTGCTCTGCGAGGACAAGAACGTTGCCTACATGTAAGTGTCCTGTCCAATTTCACTCATCCCGTCAACCTTTTTCTCGGAATTGCAGTACTGACTTGTGTCGCCGCAGNNCTACGTTCCCTCCAAGATGGCTCTCGGTCGCGCCTGCGGTGTCTCCCGCGCCGTCATTGCTGCCTCCATCACCACCAACGAGGCCTCTGACCTCATGGGCCAGATCCGCGCTCTCAAGGACAAGGTCGAGAGACTTATGATCTAAGCGCCTGCCTTTGATCCAGGAAATGCAAGAGAAAAAATCCAAGGACGGAATTCTGGGATCCTAGGAATATATGGGGTGCGCGTGCCCTTGATTGGGTTTTCTCTGCCGATATTTTCTCAAAACATGTAGTTTCATGAAGAATCACAAAAAGTTCTTCAAAAGCATGACCATCAGTTGTATACCGTCTGAAATCTACCTATGGGTTATGTGATATACGTCACTGCGTTCTTCTTAACTTTATACCATGCATCATGTTCGTCTACAAGATCAAGAATCCCACAGTCACTTGTACCACAAAGGTTGCTTGTGAAGAGGAAAAAACATGATTGAATATCGTACAACTATCGTCCTCCCCATGCGTTTCTCTCGTCGTTAAAGCTGCCGTACTCGGGCTGTGGAGATGTGACATTGCTGCCATGGTCGCGAGCATCCCATGGTTGATCGTGATCGAGCTCGTCTTGCGGTTCTTGGTCTGATTCATAATCGCCCACCGTGAATGGTTCGTTCAAGTTGTGTGCGTCGTTCTCGTCAACATGGTCAACGCGGTCGGGGTTGTATCCTTCCCTCACCTCTTCGCGGGCGCCTTCTTCGTCGGGATATGTCTNTGCTGCAATCTTGTTAGTCTTTGTCTGAATAATATGACTCAACATGACTTACACGTAATGCTTCTGCTCAATCTCGTTCCAACCGGGTCCACCTTCTTTGCGAGCTCTGACACGTTCGATCTCTTCTGCCTCGTGATCCTCCACAATGAGGTCAACCAGCTGGCTGTTGTGAGAACTCACCGTCACTGCCGACTCTGATGATTCGTGTCGAAGTAAACTGCCAATCACCGGTATTGACGACTTGGCCTTGGAGCGACTGCTGCTAGCACTTTCACGATGTTTTCCTTGATGGGTCTCCTTCTGGATGTTGTGAATCTTGCTTTTCCGCCTCTCGCGGTAGTTCTTGCTACCTGGTTGTAGGAGTTGGCGGTTGGTCGAAGCAGTAATGATATCCGGGTCGGCTCGCATTCTATCCTCATGGTTGGCGTAGTGTGTGTTGATGACGGGGTAGTTCCAATCGCCAAACTCTAGTGCCCTTGCACTGCTGTAGAGTTGTTCTTCTTCAGCGTCCAATTCGGGCTCTTCTGGAGGCGATTGCGCACCATATCTGAAGGAGCCATGGGGTGAAGGCGACTTGGCACCACCTCCAGGACTCATGGTACGAGCGCGACTGTTGCCACCCAGAAGAGGAGTCTTGGAATCGGCATGTCCTCTTTCAGGCAGCCAATATTTTCCTTTGCCTCCTCTTCCATAGCGCATACCCTCTCTCATCCTGGCAGCACGTGATGCGGACTGCTCGTGGGCGATGACGTTGTCTTCAGCATCAAAGTATCGGTACTCGTACTTTGTGCCGTAAAAGGTCTCTTTGGCATCTTCAAGCAAATCACGAGGTCCGAATGCATCTCTCAGAGCAAACTTGACCGGCATACGGGCGTCCGAAATGGTTCGGTCAGCATAGTCGTGCCAGGAAAATGCATACCAATGCGCTATGGCGAAGATGGGCATCTCGAAACAGATGGCAGCATCCTGGATGGCGGCGGCAACATTATCTGCCGAGTATTCCGAGTTGACATCTGGAATGGCACCTAGCCAGACGAGGATGGACAAGAAGAAGCCCTGCCAATAAGAGGCAAAGATGATACCCTTGATGCACAAGAATTTGGGCATGGGGCGGAAGGGCTTCAGATCCTGTGACATGCAGACCCAAAACAGAGCGAGAGCATACAGACTCAGAGTGATGCTAATGTTGTATATTATGCCGCTCCACAAGTAGCCAGACGTGACACCGATGTAACCTTCCTGGTAGGTGTTGGTGGCCTTCATGATAATGGTCGATATGGCGAGCAAGGGTTTGATCCATGCATACTGCAAAATGCCACGCTTGATTGTGAGGAAGGTATGGGGGTCGGAGATGTCGACTTTCGGGAGACAATGGTTCATGGGCCAGAGGTGCGAAACGGGTGCTCGGCCGTGCATCATGATGATGAGGGATCGTTCGCCGCCGAGGAAGTTGATCAGGAGTTGGAAAAAGGCGTAGAGGGTAAAGGCTTCGTAGACATCACGGAAGGGACCGATCCAGAAGGCGGCCTTGAGAGAGACGAGACTGGCCCATGACGAGGCCGAGTAGATGGGCACNNCCTGGCACAGGTGAGTAAGAGAAGGACAAGTGCGGAAGCAGGTCAGGACGGACATGATCAGGATGCGAATAACATAGCGCTGGAGAAGCGGCTTGCGATAGTTTTTGCTNNAGTCGAGTCAGGACGTGGTTGCGGTCAGGGTTGTTTGCGATAAGGCGTACCTTTGGAGCCATGTTGATCTGAGGGCAGAGAGTCAGCGATCTGGAGAAAGGATAGGGCTGAGATATACATACAGAAAGGTCAGGATGGTAGCGACCAGAGCAGCAACACCAGCAACAATGGTGACGGCGCGGGCGAAACGGCTGCCCGTGCCGCCGTCACTGCTTGCGATGGCGAAGGCCGGCGAGGATGAGGTGACATCCATGTTTGGCGAGTCTATTCGGACATGCAGAACATCGCTGCGAGCTGTTGGGCGAGATGCGAACGGTGCAGGCGTGGAATATGCGTGCCTGAAAAGACCGTCATATGCGAAACGGCCGAACTCAAACGTCTCTCTCCCGTGGGGAAGGCACGCGCGTGCTCTTCTCTTTGCTGAGCTCTCACCCTCTGCTGCTCACCGCTTGGGACACTTCATCTGTTGCCATCAAGATGCCATCAATGACGCCCACCTTGGCCCGTCAGTCGCGCGCTCCTTCCCCAGTAATTCATTTCGGCCAGACTGAAACACACGAATACCAACTTCCCAAGGAATCCAACTTCCCTCGACCGAATGTCTTTTACAGGCGCATCATGATAGTCCGGTATCTCGGTGAGCGAACATGGCAAGCAACGGCCTCACGGCGACGCCCTTGGGTCAACAAGGAGGCTTCAACTGGCTCTTTCTCGTCGACCTGATCGTCTGCGGCATCCTGGCGCTTTTCTTCATTTTCTACTTCAATCGCACTGTCTCGACCATCATCTCGTATGCAATCCGCGCCTGGACATGGCACAAATATCGCGCCTACATCGACATCACTTCGTTCCAACTCTCGCTATTAGGAGGCCGCCTCTTCTTCAAGTCCATCCGATACCATGGCCACAACCAGACAGTCTTCGTCCACGACGGCAACATCACCTGGCGATATTGGTTGCGCCAGGTACAGGAGCCNCTCATCATGCAGAAAGTCTCTCAACGCCACGATTCATCCGACACCGACCACGCCAGCTTTGATGCATCCCAGGAAAAGGCCAGACCCAGGAGCGAGAGCGTGGGAAGGGCTGAGACTGCCCACTTGGACCGACAACGCACTCTTCCTTGTCGATTTTTCGTCAAAGTCAAGGGTGTAGAGGCCTTCTTGTACAATCAGAGTCCCGTATACGACAACATAATCGCCAATCTACAGAATAAGGCTCGCACAAAGGACCCCGATGTTCCGAGCGCAGATATACCCATGCAAGATCTGACTGGGGAGAAGGTTCCAGCAGCAGACGGCCTGGACCGCCAGGAAACCTCGAGCAGCCTTGACGGCTCTCTTCTGGCCGAGACCGTGAGTAGGACCACAACTAGGACCACCACACACGAGACTGCCATTCCAGCCTTCCTGAAGATGTTTCCTATTCAGATTGAGTGCAAGAAAGCTGCTGCTGCTGTCGGCAACGATTTCACTCAGAGCATACTTACTGCCAAGCTGGAAAATGCGAGCGGAAGAATCGACGCCGATGAGGCTGGTGCTTTGGACCTGTACAAGCTGTTGTTCAACTTTGACTTTCACGATATCAAAGTCGCTCTCAAACCGAACACGGACTACCAGATGTCCCAGATGCAGGCAGCTGCGCGCCTGGACAAGGACGAAGATCCCAAAGCAAAGAAAGGCCGTGGTTTCTTCGGCCTACACCCAATACTTCGAGCGGGAAAGATTCTGCATGCTCTGTTGCATGCCGTAATGTGGCTCTTTACTTGGCACCGCAGCTCCCAAGGTTCTGTCAGAACTGCATCGCTTCTCAGTGAAGACGAAATCCCTGATGGAGATTCTGCCAAGCTACCTGGCGAAGCACAATGGCAAGGTCTGGCACGTTATCTGGACGAGACAGGCAATGAGCATAACGAATGGGACGGTGTCGAATACGCTAGATTCTCCGATGTTGCAGATGTGAAGAAGGCGAGCATGACCTTTTACTGGGATGTTCCGGGAAAGGTCTCTAAATCTCACCTTGCTGGTCAGTCTAATCTTTTTGACGAAGTGAATGGTCCATCAGCACCCGAGTATGGCTTGAATCTTTCAGTTGACGGTGCCGTCATCAACTATGGTCCCTGGGCCGACAGACAACGAGTGACTCTGCAAAACGTTTTCTTTCCTGCTTCATACCATGATGCCGTCCCTGCACAGCGCCTGACCGTTGACCAAAACCGAGTCGCGACCGTGTTCAAGCTTTTCTTCTGTTTGGAAAGTGAAATTACTCTTCGTATCCCGACTCGTGAAGCATCGAAAGACTGGAAATGGCAGGGTCGAGCCGAAGGACATCGCGCGCAGAAGGCCACCGATGCTGGACTTCGCAAGCGACGTGGTAAAGGCTCNAAAAAGTGGTTCAAGAAAGAGCCACAGACCACAGGTGCTGACATACGTCCCTTCGGTTGGATGGATGTCAAAGTCGCTGCTGATACAACCATCAATTATGCGATGGACATGTACGCACGCAAGGACGGTTATCACAACACGTTGAGCCTCGATGTCAAGGGTACCGAGATATCCTCTAGCGTCAATCATGCCATGTTATGGAAATCAGGGAACCTGTTACTGGAAGGAGACCTTTCGAACCCTTTGCAATGGAATGCTTTGCGCAAATGGATCTTCAAGATCCACTGCGATGGTCTCGATCTGTACATGCTGCGCGACCACATGTTTCTGTTGACTGATTTGATCGCTGATTGGGGCATGGGACCCCCACCCGATTTCTACACTTTCGTCCCCTTCGTGTATTCTCTGGACATCAACTTCAAGAACTTTGGACTCTTCCTCAACGCCAATGATGCCAACATCGTCAACGATCCGTCGGATCTCGAAGACAACAACTTCCTCATCCTTAACGGTAAAGAGCTCTATGCCACGTTAGAGATCCCTCTTGATCAATACAGGCCGGCCCAGAACGGAATCAAGTTCGACGTACTTGCCAAGGACATGTCTCTTGATATCAGCAATCCTCCTCGCATCACACTGCATAGTCTTCTGCGGCAGAAACGACTTGCGACACTNAAAAAGTTGACCTTAGGTGGTAGCCATACACTCTTCGTCGAACAGGCGCCAGGTCTGGTAGACATGCTGCAGATGGACATTTGCGGAAGCGATTTGGAACTCCAAGCCTTTGGCTACTTGGTGCGCATGTTCATCAATGTTAAAGAGAACTATTTTGGAGAATTCTTGCATTTCAAGACGCTCGAAGAATATCAAAATGCCGGGTCAGATGCGGCAAACGCCGAGACAAATATGGTTGGCAGGTTCGCATTCAGGCCAGCCAATGATCTAGACGTTGTTCTTTGCATTACCGCTGAGCATCCTGTCATCATGCTACCAGCAAATCTCTACTCAGCAGAGACTTTCATCAAGCTTGAGCTACCTGTGGTTTCGATGGATCTCCGAGTTGCCAACTACTATCTTGATCTTGCAGTCGATGTCAGTCCAGTAACTGTGTCTTGGTCTGGTATACACAATGACGAAGGCGAATTCGATGATTCAGCGCCGCAGATCATTCTTGAAAATGCAAGCATCTCTGGCCATCGCCTGTTTGGTCTTCCACCGACTGAGCCTGCGTACGTCTCGAATTGGGATGTCACTCTTGGCAACGTATCAGGAGAGTGCTCGCTCGATTTCATTCAGAATCTAGCCAAGGCTGGACGAGCAGTAGCTTTTGCACTCGATGATTTCGAGAACGCCTTGCCGTTGGCACAGACTGCAGAGATACCAGAAGCGGTCTTCTTGCGACTCAAGACAGGTTCTATCTGCCTATGGCTGAACGAGGGCAAGTCCGCCATACGTCTCTACTCGGAGCCTGTTACACTCAATCAGAACGATCGCGCTGATGGCCTGTTCTCATCTCGCTTGCATCTTCAGATTCCCAATATCACCATGACTTGCGTCGACTCAAACTCAATGGCTCACCGAGGGTCTCGTGGTGACGTGCAGCCGGCAAAATGCATAGCTTTCATCCAAACCAGCCTCGATATGTCAATGGTACAAAGGAAAGCACACTTCAACGCTGAGCGTGAGAAACAACAAACTCATATCCGCCAACAAGATGTAAGGACCGGCAGAGCGAACTTCTTGATAGCGAGCAATGGTGGAGATCAGAAACATAACGAAGAAGAAGAGGAAGAGGCAGATTTGCCGGATTCACCCTCTATGGCGCTTCCCAAACTTCCTGATCCTCTCAGGAAAGGGCCCTTGAAGATGAGTCTTGCAGCCGACGGTTCTATCAAGTCATCCATCAGCTCCAGCCCTTCGATCAACAAAACCTCTACTCAAAAGGCCCTTCCCAAAGGAGACCTTGATGGTGTGGAGCACTCTCGNCCCCCGTTGTACTACTCCAACTCAACAGCTTCTCAGCCTTTAGGTACTGTAGGCTTGTGGAGCCCGTTTTCTGTCCCAGATCCTCGAAATTTTGATGTCACCGCCGATTTGAGCAAAGTACCGCAATTCTCGACAGTAGTTGACGAAGCCGAAGACATATCTGAAACCTCTTCGCAAAGTGATTTGAGCATCAACCTGGATCAGGATGGAGAGCTAGACCAACAAACGTTCATGATCCGCATGACACCCGGTGTACGCTTATATGTTGAGCCTCGCATAAGCGAGACTATTGTGAACATTGTCACTGCTTTGCAGCCGAAGCGCTCTGAGGATGTGATTGACACCTTCCAGATGGATGTTATGGGAAGAGTTCAACAAGTCCAAGATCAGAGAAAGAGCCGCCGTGGTATTGTCGAGTTGAACTTGATTGTACCTAGCATTGATGCTAGACTATTCAACGACCAGAAGCTTGATACGAGTCGAACAACTGCCGTGCCGGTGCAAGATCAGCTGGATGTTGGTTTGAGTCATCTCAATCTGACACTCCGATTCAAGCCCATACCGGACACCGAGACTGGGACAGCACTGACTATGCATTTGACCTTGGATTCTGCGCTTGCTAAATTCTCTAATCCCCTGGAGAAGTGTAAAACATCTGACTATGCGATTCGTCTTGGCTTCGATGACGTCCTCATCTGGATGATTCTGGCCAAATCGAAGTCAGTACACGTGTCGTTCAAGGATCTGTTAGGTGTCATCTCAGGCAATCAAGCGGACTATCTGGCATCTGTGTTCTCTCGATATGCAGCTATCGGTGCCCAGATTCAGAAACAAGCCGATGCAGTCGAGATCGGTTCAAAGGCCCGACTAAGAAGCCTAACAGACTATCTCACTGAGCATGCCGATGTCTCCACTGATCCGCCATATCTTTCACGCATGACGTATGTACTTCGAGCCTTTCCAGATCATTTCCGCAATCAAGAGTCGTGGAAGATTGTTGCTCGATTCCGTCACATATACGAGTGTCTGTCAGACGAGAGCCATGTTGTTCTGGAACAACAGCTTGCCGACGGCACTGATGAACTGAANAAGACATCTTCCATTCTCGAAACCTGGGCAGCATGGTGTAGCTGGGACATNTCGAATGTAGAGCAGACCCAAGTCTTTAAGCTTCTGCTAGGTGATGTCGAAGCCATGATTCTGGAAGAAGATATCGTACCGCTTGACCTCACTTTGCGTGCCGGAGTTGTACGTATAGCTGTTGAATCAGGAAAGGCGTCAAGTGAAATCTCACTCGGCAGTCTCTCCATTGGCGTTACTGTCATACCTCCAAGTTTACCTTCGGGGCTTATGCTCGTTGAGGAGAACTTGAGATCCAAAACTGTCTTCCAGGCCCACACTGCGGCGTCAGTACTTCGACTCAATTGGGACATCTTGGAGCAAGTCGATGCCTTCATCGACATTTATTTCGAACAAGTCAGTCACACGCTCGATGCTCTAGATGCACTGCCAGATCCGCCACAGAAACAGGCAATGGAAGATCTTTCATTCAGGCAAGACTTCCATGTTGTTTTGTCCACGGACGAAGGCAGTATTGAATTGAACACGATCAACCTGAGACATATATCCACATGCAACAACCTCAAGCTGTCTCTGATAGGGTCCGATAAGGCCTCTCAGGATTACGGCGAATGCATAAGTCTGCTTATTTCGGCAAGAAAGGCATTCACTGAACTACATGCTTCCGATCAGAGGGTGTGGCGTACGGATCTTGTGTCACCAAGCATCTACATCGACGTGAAACAGACGATTCGTGAATACACAACTGCCATCAACGTCGGAGGATCTTACGAGCAGTTGCACATCTCGCTCGAACAAGAGACATTAGCACTCCTTGAGGTCGTAGATCAATTGCTGGCCGATGAAGTAGCATACATCTTGCGCTTCCAGCAACACATACAAAAAGAACAAAAGAAGAGTGTCGCCACGCGAGATGCATCCAAGCCAGATCGTGAATTGAAACTGAATGTAGCTTTCCTGGCCGGATCGTTCTCTCTCAATGTCGCGTTACTCAAAGCACTCAACTTATCAGTGCGAGGAAACACTGCAAACCTACGCGTTCGGCCCATGTCTGGATCTAATTCCACCTGGTCTGTCGAGCTCCATCTCGGAGCCATGGAACAGGCCTTTGTACGCAAAGAAGACGGGGCAAAGAGACAAAGAGCTGTATTCCATACTCCACCTGCCACTAGTACTCTAAAGCTCGAGTTGACCGAAAAGAAAATCAACATCGACTTCACGGGCATTATGGAAGAAGTACTGCTGGAAGCATCTGCTGTTCAAAGTGTTTTGACAATTCTGAACAGACCCGAGGTACAGGGTGTTCTCGAAGCTATCAAAGATCAAGTATCAGACTTACAAAAGAGAGTCGAGAAGACACTAGCAACAGACAAGAAGGAGGTCAAGCCCAAGTCTGTGGCCGAGGAATCCCGATTAATTGTCTATGATGTCAACACGACTTTGGCTGGCTTCAAGGTCGTCGCCATTGCTCCTGTATTGACAGCTGGTAAGGCACGTGCCGAGTTGACATTCGGGCTTGGAGCTGTACTGGCGTCAGTGACAAACAAGACCCGGAATGCAAGCGATTCGTTCCCTGACATACACGGCAGAATCGAGGACATTGGTGCTGTTTTAACTCTGATTGAGGATGGAGAGCGCCGTCCTTGTGGCCATGTTACTGTCAGTGTCGCGGTGGATTGCTGCACTCAAGAACCTGCCTCAGGACCTATCACACGAGATATCAAAGCGCGCAGTGAGTCTTTCGATGTGTTCGCTTATGCCGATACAGCGTCAACTGTTGTGGATATCGTGACACATGTACACCGTAAGATCCTTGATCTCGATCTCTCGAAGGAGGTTGAGTATCTTAGAAGGCTAAGACATCGTCGAGCCAAACGGCGAAGGTCCATCGCTGTGCCCGCGCCAGACTCAATCAAGGAGGAAGACGAAGAGGCCGTGGTTGACATGCCATCCGCACGACCTGCACTTCTTGACTTCTCTCTGGACCTACGTAAGATTCGTATTGTTTGGGTAGTCATCAGAAACCGATCGATTGCCGGTGATCAAGAGCCCCAAGATCTGGAAGTGTCCTTCTCTCGAGTACACCTTGCTATTCAAAAACAGAATGAAGCGCGCCTGTCCATTCAAGATTTGCAGGTTCAGGTCGTACCCAAGAAACACAAAGCCTTCGAGAGATCTGAGAACTCGGCTTTGTTGCCAGAAGTCGTCTTCACTGTCCGATACGAAAGTGGCAAAGACGGTGTTCGTATCGCATGTCAAGCTGCTGGTCAGGCCCTTGACATTCGCTTGGATTCAGGATTTGTCGTGCCTGTCAGTATGCTCCAGAAATCTATATCTGCGGCCATCGACCAATACCGTGCTGCAAAGCTGAACTGGCAAGCCGATGCGACTCCAGACGACAACAAGTCAACACCGCGGGCTAGTCCTTTTGGTGACAAACGTCTAGCATCCGTTCAGGCCGACGTCAACTTCAAGGGTGCCCTCTTCTACATCCAGGGAGACGCGCCTACTCAATCCAATACTGCTCTTCGACCTGCACATATCGATTTACCATACAAACGCAACCGCGCAAATAGCCACGCTTCGCAAGATAACATCGCTACGTCGTTACGAGCTCCCGGCATCGCTATCAAGGTCGAGTACTCGAACCTTCCCGAGAAAGAGCAGGTACTGAATGGTGAGATCAAGGTGGATGCGTCAAGCAACACGGTCTACCCAGAACTTGTGCCTATCGTTCTCCAAATCACACATGGTGTCAAAGAGGTTGTCAGGTATGGCGAAGAGGAACGCAAGACCCCATCTACTCCCAGGATCGCACAAGAACAAGCTTTGAAGCTCCAGAGACTTCGTGGCGAGGACGACTCTTTGCTCACCTCCGATCCAAGCCAGTTTTTGGGCCAGATGAAACTCAACTTAGGACTACGCATTTGCAAACAAGAGTTTGGTCTGAGTTGTCAACCGCTGGCTCGTGTCAACGCAAAATCACAGATTGAAGACATCTACATTACCATGAGCACCATCAACTCCCACCAATTTGGACACTTCTTCGCCCTGTCAGCCACAGTGACTAAGCTTGGCGCTTCCGTACAGCACGTCTACTCTCGAGAGTCTACATTCAGCTTCGACATGGAATCGATATCGATGTCGCTCATGAATAGTAGACATTTGACTGGCGGGTCCAGCGGTGTTTCGATGGTGCTCAAGGTGTCCCCTACCAGGACTGCGTTGAATGTGCGCCAGATTCAAGACCTTCTACTCTTCCGTGAGATCTGGTTCCCACCAGAGCTGCGAGACACGAGTGAAATGTCGGCAGAGCCCTCGACCCAAGGACCTGACAAAATCGTTGTGCAAAGGTACCAGCAGGTCAGTGCCGCTGCGGCATTCCCATGGAATGCCACTGTTGCTGTTGCCGAGCTTGCCGTTGATCTCGACTTGGGTCAAAGTATTGGGAAATCATCATTGAGCATCAAGAACCTCTGGGCATCGTCCAAGAAATCTTCTACTTGGAAGCAAGACTTGTGTATTGGGGTGGACCAGGTCAGCATCAACAGTACCGGCCGCATGAGCGGCTTTGTAGATCTGAGTGACGTGTCTGTACGAACGTCAATCGAGTGGCCAAGCGCTGATCGACAAGAGCACAAAGCACCTTTGATTCAAGCTGCGATTGGTTTCGGCAGAATCTCAGCAAAGACTGCTTTGGATTACCAACCTTTCGCGTTTGCCGACATTGAGGCTTTCAACTTCCTCATGTATAATGTGAGGGATGGAGCATATGCTCCCGATCGGTTGAAAGCCATTCTTGAGGGCGAGAAAGTATACGTCTTCTGTACCGCAACCAGTCCAGCTCAAGCTGTTGGTTTGTATCAGGCCTTTGACCGTCTTATCCAAGAAAAGCAGACAGCTTACAGTCAATCAATGGTTGATTTGGACAAGCAATTGAGGAGACGATCTGTGAATAAAACACGAACCAACTCAGCACCGTCGCCACCAGCACCTATTCGCAGACACACGACTGAAAGAAGCAAGAGCAGATTCCCAATCACTTTGGACACCGATGTCATGGTCATGTTGAGATCCGTCTGCTTTGGCGCATTCCCCAGTACCTTCTTCGACAATCAAATTCTCAGGATGGAGGCATCTGAGATCCAAGCACGCTTTGCTGTAGGAGTGGAGGACGAACGCGTACACAGCAATCTCAGTATGACGCTTGGACAACTGCAAGTTGCACTTGCCCAGGTCAAAAGAGTCAGTGTACCCAAAACGCTCGGAGATATTTCCATCGAAGAGGTCATAGGAAGCGCCACAGGCGCCAAAGGCGGCATCATCCTTCGCGTTCCCAAAGTCATTGCTTCCATGCAGACATGGCAGCAACCACAGTCTAACAACATCGACTTTATCTTCAAGAGTTTGTTTGAGGGCAAAGTCGACGTCGGCTGGAACTACTCACGCATCAGCTTCATCAGAGGGATGTGGGAAACGCACTCTCGCACTCTTGCCTCAAGACTTGGCAAACCTCTACCAGAGTCTGCCGTCAAGATTACCGCAAACGGACCACANAAGAATGACTCTGCATCCTCCACGCAGGAAGTTGCAGACAAGACGGCTGGACACGGCGAGCAAGGCAAAATTACGGCCGTTGTCAATGTCCCACAGTCCAAGTTTGAATATACTGCGCTTGAGCCNCCCATCATCGAGACACCACAGTTGAGGGATATGGGCGAGGCCACTCCTCCACTCGAGTGGATTGGATTACACAGAGAGAGGTTGCCGAACGTGACACACCAGGTTGTTATTGTCGCTCTGTTGGAAATTGCTAAGGAGGTTGAGGATGCCTATGAGAGGATTTTGGGATCGTCGTGATGACGGGGTGAAGTCTCACGTACTTGATTTGTTATTATTCTTTTTTTTCTTTCCTTGGGGTTCGTTTTTGCTTGATAGACTGTACAGTATTTCTGCTTACAATTGCTCTAATGTTTCTTGCGATGGAGGGAGCGAACGACATCCAACCCGTGATTGGCTTTGTTGATGTGGTTACACGCCTAGCCAAGAGGCACTATCCATTGCAGCCTGGATTTGCGCAAGGAGCGATTGGTCAAGTCATAAAGATTCTGACAGATGGAAAGCACTCGGACATATTGCTATGAACTAAAACTACAAGCTGAGCAAATGGGACATGTGTGTAGTTGTGTCTCGAAGATGTCAGGATTAGAAAGCAGCAATGATACTTCCTTACTAAACGCCTTCCATCTCTGTCGAGGTTCTTGTCGATGAATCATGTTGACGCATTTCTGGAAGAGAGTTTTGGTTTTCGGTATGCAAGTATTCAAGACTGGCATAACTATCAACACTATCTACACATGGTCACGCCAGAGCTTACTCGCGAGCATTATCACACTGCAAAAATGTGGTGATGTTTGAGTTCTGTGCCATCAAAATCTACCAATGGTGTATTCCATTGCGCTTGCAAACATGAAGCCAGGGTCGTCTCTGCGTTATCACAGCAGACGAAGAAGTGGCGAGCGCGGCTGGCTTCACAACGGGGCACAGCCATCGATTTTGGTTGGGCAGCAAAGCTCGCTAAACTGGCAAGGCTGGACTCGACCTTCTCACAATCGGCAAACATGAAGATCAAAGGTCTCGACGAGTCAAACAACAGCATCTGGTCCTTTGGTGGAGACACCGGACAAGGAGAGAAGGTTTGCCACATCAAGAAGAGGTGCGGTGTCCTGGGTGAAGCTCGGTGAGCTCGGCAAAAGCAACGTTGGATGTTGCTTTTAGCTGAGGTGAGTTTTTGCAAAGACAAAGCTCAGGGAGCTATGGTGGTAGCTTGATAGCTTGGCTACTTGGTAGCTGTCTCGAATTGTTTGTACCACCAATAATTGCGCCAGATTACAATACACGTGAGCTTACGTAGAGACACGAGAATTGATAGGTGTCTGGATGTAAGCACCGCGATGGTCATGCTCGAGTGCTCGAGAGATGGTGCAAATTGATGGGCGTATTTCTGAGTACGGGCAGATTTTTCTCGTTTTCCAATCAGGAAGCCGCCACCTTGGCACGGGCGCACTCGATGCCCCACTTTGTCAAAAATGAATGCATGTCTCCTTCCTCGCACGCAGCTTCCCTCTCTCTTTCCCCTCCCATCGTGCTTTGCCTCGTCTCAGGTCAGCCCCTACCCTCGCCGTCGCCTTGGTTAACGCAGTCGCTTACATCTTTTCTCCCAGCAGGCTCTCGTTCAATTTTCACATACAGCAGTGCTTGACGCACTACACTGAGAGCGGGGCCCTCCAAGTAAAACTTTTCAAAAGACCAAACCTCACAACACCGCCATCATGGTCAAGTTCACTGTTGAGGAGATCCGCGGGCTGATGGACACGTAAGCGCATTCCGTCTCGAGAAGTGCCATGGAAGAGTCTACTGACGAGCGCGCGNNCAGCCCCATCAACATCCGTAACATGTCCGTTATTGCTCACGGTAAGCTTCAACGCCCAACGAAACACGCCCCAACAGCACACTGACAGCCTCTACANGTCGATCACGGAAAGTCCACCCTTACCGACTCTCTCGTCCAGCGTGCCGGTATCATCTCATCGGCCAAGGCTGGTGAGCAGCGTTTCACCGACACTCGTCCCGACGAGCAGGAGCGTGGTGTTACCATCAAGTCCACCGCCATCTCCCTCTTCGCCCAGCTCGAGGACGCTGAGGACCTCAAGGACATTCCCGTCAAGACCGAGAAGAACGAGTTCTTGATCAACTTGATCGACTCGCCTGGTCACGTTGATTTCTCATCTGAGGTTACCGCTGCTCTCCGTGTCACCGACGGTGCTCTCGTCGTCGTCGACACCATCGAAGGTGTCTGTGTCCAGACCGAGACTGTCCTTCGTCAGGCTCTCGGTGAGCGTATCAAGCCCGTTGTCATCATCAACAAGGTCGACCGCGCTCTTCTCGAGCTCCAGCTCTCCAAGGAGGATCTGTACCAGAACTTCTCCCGTGTCATCGAGTCCGTCAACGTCGTCATCTCGACCTACTTCGACAAGGTCCTCGGTGATGTCCAGGTCTACCCCGAGAAGGGTACCGTTGCCTTCGGTTCCGGTCTTCACGGCTGGGCCTTCACCATCCGTCAGTTCGCCGGTCGTTACGCCAAGAAGTTCGGTGTCGACAAGAACAAGATGATGGACCGTCTGTGGGGCGACAACTTCTTCAACGCAAAGACCAAGAAGTGGACCAAGGTTGCCGGTGACGACTCTGAGCGTGCCTTCAACCAGTTCGTCCTCGACCCCATCTTCCGCATCTTCTCTTCCGTCATGAACGCCAAGAACGAGGAGGTCTTCAAGCTCTGCGAGAAGCTCGACATCAAGCTCACTGGTGACGAGAAGGAGCTCCAGCAGAAGCAGCTCCTCAAGACCGTCATGCGCAAGTTCCTTCCCGCTGCTGACGCTCTTCTTGAGATGATGGTTCTCCATCTTCCCTCGCCCGCCACCGCCCAGAAGTACCGTATGGAGACTCTCTACGAGGGTCCCCCTGATGATGAGGCCGCCATCGCCATCCGCGACTGTGACCCCAAGGGTGTTCTCATGCTTTACGTCTCCAAGATGGTCCCCACCTCCGACAAGGGTCGTTTCTACGCCTTCGGTCGTGTCTTCGCCGGTACCGTCAGATCTGGTCTCAAGGTCCGTATCCAGGGCCCCAACTACACCNNCCCTGGCAAGAAGGAGGACCTGTTCGTCAAGTCCGTCCAGCGTACCATTCTCATGATGGGTCGTTACACCGAGCCCATTGATGATGTTCCCGCCGGTAACATTCTTGGTCTTGTCGGTATTGACCAGTTCTTGCTCAAGTCTGGTACTCTTACCACCTCCGAGACTGCCCACAACATGAAGGTCATGAAGTTCTCCGTCTCGCCCGTCGTTCAGCGCTCCGTCGAGGTCAAGAACGCCAACGATCTGCCCAAGCTTGTTGAGGGTCTTAAGCGTCTGTCCAAGTCCGACCCTTGTGTCCTGACCTTCATCACCCCCTCCGGTGAGCACGTCGTTGCTGGTGCCGGTGAGCTCCATCTCGAGATCTGTCTCAAGGATCTCGAGGAGGACCACGCTGGTGTTCCTCTCCGTATCTCGGACCCCGTCGTCCAGTACCGTGAGACCGTCGCCGGTGATTCTTCAATGACTGCCCTGTCCAAGTCGCCTAACAAGCACAACCGTATCTACATGACCGCCGCTCCTCTTTCCGAGGAGGTCTCGCTCGCCATTGAGGCCGGCAAGATCACTCCCCGTGACGACTTCAAGGCTCGTGCCCGTATTCTCGCCGATGACTTCGGTTGGGACGTCACCGATGCCCGTAAGATTTGGTGCTTCGGTCCCGACACCAACGGTGCCAACTTGTTGGTTGACCAGACCAAGGCCGTCCAGTACCTCAACGAAATCAAGGATTCCGTTGTTTCCGGTTTCCAGTGGGCCACCAAGGAGGGTCCCGTTGCCGAGGAGCCCATGCGTTCCGTCCGCTTCAACATCCAGGATGTTACCCTCCACGCCGATGCCATTCACAGAGGTGGTGGTCAGGTCATCCCTACCGCTCGTCGTGTCCTCTACGCCTCGGTCCTCCTTTCCGACCCCGCTCTTCTCGAGCCCGTCTTTTTGGTCGAGATCCAGGTCCCCGAGCAGGCCATGGGTGGTATCTACTCCGTCCTTACCCGCCGTCGTGGTCACGTCTTCGAGGAGGCCCAGCGTCCCGGAACTCCCCTGTTCAACATCAAGGCCTACCTTCCCGTCAAGGAGTCCTTCGGTTTCAATGCCGATCTCCGTGCCGCCACCTCCGGTCAGGCCTTCCCCCAGTTGGTCTTCGACCATTGGCAGGTCCTCCCCGGTGGTTCTCCTCTCGACAGAACCACCCTCCCCGGTCAAGTCACCGAGGACATGCGCAAGCGCAAGGGTCTCAAGCCCGAGGTTCCTGGTTACGAGAACTACTACGACAAGCTCTAAGCGGTTTCCGTCAAAGAGTGACGGGAAGCCTTTCCGATACCCGCATGAGCATCTCAGGTGTATGTTCGAGCATACCCTTTCACGATTTAGGACGCGGCTGGGTAGACTTGATCTAGGATGAAGTATGATGGGAAAGGAACAGACAACCAACGCCCCGGTGGATCGACCATGCTAATCGCATGGAGGGCATCTGGGCGCACGATCAAACTCAAGCATTCGCTTTCTATTGTTGTCTGCGAGCTATAGCTTTCTTTGCATTTGATGCTTATTCTTGTGCTTTGGAGCTTAGAAATGAAAATGTCTCTTTTACGTTCAACCAAATGATTCACTCCTGTCTTTGATTCTCGAAACATGAATTGAAAGTGACGCCGGTCTCTTACACACGTACCAAGCGAAATTGAGGTTGACTGCTTGCTAGCACGTGACCCTCGGACAGGGTGCCAAACTGAATATTACTTCAGCCATCTAACAGTGAACTATTCATAGTCTTTCTCTTTCTTTCTTGTCCGGTCTATGACCTCCCCACAACGGCTGCCCAGGCCGATACCATGCCGGCCTATCTTGATTAATAACGTTCCATCTTGCGATGCTCTATGAACAAACCTCGTATTCTCGGGATATCATGTAGCATTAAAACCGTGTACTCGGCCACTGAATCAATCAGACTTACATTCTTTAGATGTTTGTATGTATGAGTTTCAGAACTGTCCATTCATTCATTCGTTCATCGCTATCTGCTCCAATACTGTGGACAATTGTCTATACAGATTTCTCATGTCTGTGGGCCGCATGATTCCTTTACTGTAATCTAAATCATTGCTTGCGTCTAGTTTGTTGCAGAGCAGATTGATTTGATCTTTTGACAGTAACCCGTTTTCTGATGTTGTGTCGAGGCCGAGAACTAGTTCTAATCTGCCGAGGAGATGGAATACAGTGCTGGTGAATAAAGTGCCTTGGGTGCATGGATTTGTTATCAATGTGTTGTTGTATTTGAGACCTCGGATGGGGATTATGGTGTCGATGCGCACTCGTTCGGCACGGAGGGTTAGGTGTTCGAGAAAGAATTCGAAGAAGGAAAGCAGGCGGGTGTATATATCTATTATCGTTGAGATGACTGAATTCGAAGATTGATCATCGGAATTTTGAGTGATGCCTGGGTTCCGTAAAAGTATTGCTGAGATCTGCACGAGCTCTTGTGTTGAGGCCAGAATATATTCGGCTAGGGAGTAAGTGCTGATGAATAGGGGTCCTTCTCGATGTATTAGGAGATGAAGATTTAGTCTCGCTTTATGGGTTTGTATCATTGTACTGCGGAGGCGTAGACCGTAGACAATATTCTTTAGTCTGGACATGGCGTTTGAGCCATCGGCGTTTATGTCGCTCAGAACGACCTCCTTTGGGTCCGAGGAGAATTTGTTCTCGTGGACGTAGTAGGTGGGTTGTCTGCCCATGCCGAAAGGAAGAGGATCTTTTCTCTTGTTGACACGGGAGTTCGAGGACGTGCCAGCTGTGGAAGCATGACGGCTAGGAGACAGAGGAAGCTTTTCTTGAGACCAAAGATCCGTCACAAACGAAGGCCATTGCAGAGAGTGTAGAATCGAATTTGGAAGAGTTGATGTCGATGACACTGCTTGTACGCCAGGATACCGCCGAAGAGCTGCATCTTCTTCCGGATCTGTTTCCGTGACTGCTTCACATATGTCGAAATCAGCTGCACGAGTTTGTGCAGACAGACTTTCGCCAGTTCTAAAATCATTGGAGACTGTCGAAGGAGGTTTTCTTTTAGTGGTCTTTCTTTGCCGTTTTGTGACAGGAGGGTTTCCCACGACGGAAGACGAAGCAAGTTCTTTTCGCTTGGGCCTTCCTGGTTTCCTTTGCTGTCCCAGATCACAGAGAACATTGGCGAGAGTACATCGTACGCACTTGGGATCATCGAGGTGTGTGCGTTGACATTTGGCCTTGTTTCTTCTGCAGAGTTCGCATGCAAAGCGTCGTTGTGATGGGTGAACGTCCATACCATTTGCTGGTCGGCCGAGGCGGTCAGTGGCGGTGATGGGATCGCCGTGGGTCATCGGATCCAGTTTCTACGCAGACGCCGGGTATGCCGCGCATCACAACAAGTGTACAGGAGGATTGTGAAAGACTTCGATGCAGTAATCACGGCTGGACTGATGGAAGAAAAACCATACTCGGAGGTTTTTTCAAGATATCCCTTCCTCCGTGCACGAAAGCGGAAACGATGTCTTGTCGATCAGGAGGTGTTCAGCAGGAGAAAGCTGGGAGTAGACAGTGTTCTGCTGAGAGTAGGTGCGACCATGTCTTAGGGCCAGTGCTGCTCGAAACCCTCCGGAAGTGACTTCTCGGGCCAATGTTGCTCCTTCGGAGGGTTTCGCACACGCCGAAGCGGGCGTGCATTGTTGACCGGTGCGGACTCAAACTTCAAAGCACAGCGGCTCCGCCAACGACGTGACTGAATGCACCTCGCAATGTTGACTGATGTTGCTTTATCGGCGACTGTTTGTAGCCGTCACTTGCTTAGCATTTCGCTAATGATTCATCTTCGACTCAAAACCCTCCGCTATGCGAGGGTTCGCGCCCCGGTGTCTGACCGGCTGAGAAATAATGCTGCGTTTCAATCTTTGCATTCTGCACTATATATAGCAGAGGGCGAGCGACTCTGTGGCTCTCCAACTTGGCCTGCTCACATTTCTCAACATGGCAAGGATACAAGATATCGATTCATCCAGGAGCGAGGCAACTATTTCGGCCATTACCATCACTGAGCCTGCGCACTCCGACAAAGCCATCCGCACCGACAGATCTGCGTCCACAACAGAATGGCATCTGTCGGGCGAAATACGAAGACTGGAGAATCTGGAGGTGGACGGCAATGAACGACCAAGGTCATTAGGCATCTCTTGGACCGATCTCACTGTGAAGGGCATCACCGCTGGTTCAGCATTCAACGAGAATGTGCTATCCCAGTTCAACCCATTCCACAAAACCCCCAATCGTGATCTGAAGACTATCATCGACAATTCACACGGATGTGTCAAGCCTGGAGAGATGTTGCTGGTCCTAGGCCGTCCTGGAGCTGGCTGTACAACTCTACTCAATGTCCTCGCCAACAATCGCCATGGCTACGAAGAAGTCACCGGAAACGTCAGCTTCGGAAACATGTCTTCCAAGGACGCAAAAGCATATGGCGGTCAAATTGTGGTGAACACCGAGGAGGAGGTCTTCTTCCCAACGCTATCAGTCCAGAACACTATTGAGTTTGCCACACGGCTAAAGTCCCCTCGCCATCTTCCAGCAGGATACCAGACGAAAGAGCAGTATGCGCAAGAATACAAAAAGTTCTTGCTCGAATCAGTCGGCATCTCCCACACAGCGAAGACTAAAGTGGGTGATGCTTTCATCCGCGGCGTCTCTGGTGGCGAGAGAAAGCGCGTGTCGATTCTTGAATGTCTTGCTACACGCGCGAGTATCTACTGTTGGGACAATTCAACTAGAGGCCTTGACGCAAGTACGGCCCTCGAGTACATCAAAGCGATTCGAGCCATGACCAATATTCTTGGACTCTCTAGTATTGTCACATTGTACCAAGCAGGCAACGGAATCTACGAGCAATTCGACAAGGTGCTCGTCCTTGACGAGGGCAAGCAAATCTACTACGGGTCTTGCCAGGACGCAGTTCCCTTCATGGAAGACCTTGGCTTCGTCTGTGTCAATGGCTCAAACAAGGGTGACTTCTTGACTGGTGTGACAGTCCCAACCGAGCGCAAGATTGCCCCAGGGTACGAGAACACATTCCCTCGCACAAACGGAGAGATAGCTGCGGCATACGATCGATCTCAAAACAAGGTACACATGTTTGAAGAAGCGTTGAGCTATGCGGAGAGTGAAGCAGCAAAAGTCGACACTATGGCCTTCCGAGACTTGGTCGCCAGAGACAAGCACCGAGGCATTCGAGACTCACCTGTCTCTGCAAACTTCTTCGAGCAGGTACAGATCACGACCATCAGACAATATCAATTGTTATGGGGAGACAAGTCAACCATGATCATCAAACAAGCTGCGACCCTTGTGCAAGCACTGATTGGTGGATCGCTCTTCTACGCTGCTCCTGCTAACAATCTCGGCCTTTTCATCAAAGGTGGCGCCATCTTTTTCTCAACTCTGTACCATGCTTTGCTTGCTCTCGGCGAGGTGACGGATTCTTTCACAGGCAGACCCGTCCTAGCAAAACACCGCTCTTTCGCTCTGTATCATCCGGCAGCCTTCGTCATTGCCCAGGTGGTCGCTGATCTACCCATCATGTTGTTCCAAGTTGGGCAATTCAGTATTGTGCTTTACTGGATGGTTGGCCTCAGAGCTACTGCTGCTGCATTCTTCACGTTCCTGGTTATTAGTTACATGAACGCCCTGACTATGACACAGTACTTCAGAGCTGTCGGCGCTGCCTTTCCAACATTCGACGCTGCTACAAAGGTCTCCGGTCTTACTTTTGTGGCATTATTCATATACATGGGCTATATGATTGCAAAACCTGTCATGCACCCGTGGTTTGTATGGATCTATTGGTGAGTGGGACGCATGCCTCGAGCTGGGGTCTAAGAAATGTTGCTGACGTGTTTCCTTCGCGCTGATCAGNNGATCAATCCAATGGCCTATACCTTCGATGCACTCATGTCGACTGAATTTCATGACACTCAGATGCCATGTGTTGGCCCGAATCTCATTCCAAATGGTCCTGGGTACGGAGGGATTGCGGGTGGACAATCTTGTGTCGGCGTCATTGGCGCTGAGCAAGGCGCTACTAGCTTCTCGGGCGACTCGTATCTTGCTGGCCTGTCGTATTCCCATTCGCATGTTTGGCGCAACTTTGGCATTCTGTGCTCATGGTGGGTGTTCTTCATCGCCATCACGATCTTTTTCACTTCTAGGTGGAAGCAGGTCGGCGAAGGAGGCCGCAAGCTACTGATTCCTCGAGAAAGACAGAACAAAGTGACACATCTCTTGCAACCTTGTGATGAAGAGTCTGCTCAAGTCTCAGAGAAGGAGACGGATACTGGTTTTGAATCGGATGATAACATGGAGTCGGATTTGATTCGCAACAGGAGCATTTTCACCTGGAAGAACCTCACCTACACCGTGAAGACCCCGGACGGCGATCGCGTACTCTTGGACAATGTGCAAGGTTACGTCAAGCCAGGCATGCTCGGTGCCCTCATGGGCTCGTCGGGCGCGGGCAAAACCACTCTGTTGGACGTCTTGGCCCAACGCAAGACCCAAGGCACGATCACCGGCTCCGTCTTGGTTGACGGAAGGCCTATTCCTATCTCCTTCCAGCGCTCAGCTGGCTACGTGGAACAACTCGACATTCACGAGCCTCTAGCGACGGTTCGAGAGGCCCTTGAGTTCTCAGCTCGGTTGCGCCAATCTCGCGACACGCCTGACGAGGAGAAACTACGCTACGTTGACACGATCATAGATCTCCTCGAGTTGTCTACTCTCGAGCACACTCTCATCGGCTCTCCAGGCTCCGGCTTGTCAATAGAACAACGCAAGCGTTTGACCATCGCTGTGGAATTGGTTGCTAAGCCTTCGTTGTTGCTATTCCTGGACGAACCTACATCCGGCCTGGACGGTCAAGCTGCCTTCAATACGGTGAGGTTCCTCCGAAAACTTGCAGCAGCGGGTCAAGCTATCCTAGTCACCATCCACCAGCCGTCAGCTCAACTGTTTGCACAATTTGACAAATTGCTTCTCCTTGCGAAAGGCGGCAAGACTGCCTACTTTGGCGATATTGGCGATGATGCTGAGACTATCAAGGAGTATCTGAGCCGCAATGGTGCACCCTGCTTACCAGAAGCGAACCCGGCCGAACACATGATCGAGGTTATCACTGGCTCAGGTGAACAGGATTGGAGCCAAATCTGGCTTGAATCTGACGAGCACAAACATCTATCGATTGAGATTGACGACATGGTCTCACAAGCCGCATCTAATCCCACTACCGTTAGTGACGACGGCAACGAGTTCGCTGCTTCGATGTGGACGCAGACTAAGCTTGTGACGCAGCGCATGAACATCTCTCTTTACCGCAATACAGAGTATGTGATGAACAAGTTCGCCATGCACGTTCTTCTAGCTCTTCTGAATGGATTCACTTTCTGGATGATCGGAGACTCACTCAACGACCTCCAACAGAATCTATTCACCGTTTTCATCCTTATCTTTGTGTCGCCGGGTGTTATTGCACAGCTGCAGCCGCTCTTTATTGATAGGAGGGATATCTTTGAGGCAAGAGAGAAGAAGAGTAAGATGGTAAGTCACCTTTCCTGCCTTTCACCGAGGCGCGTTTGCTGATTTTGTGACAATCAGTACCACTGGGGTCCGTTCGTCACTGGCTTGATCGTCTCGGAGTTCCCATACCTGATCGTATGCGCTCTGTTGTACTATGTTTGTTGGTATTTTGCTCCCGGGCTAGACACTTCGCCATACTCTGCTGGCAGTGTCTTCTTTGTTATCGTAAGGCTTCCCTGTTCCTGAGATGTTCGTGAGTGCCAGCTAACATGGATGCAGGTAATGTACGAATTCCTCTACACGGCCATCGGACAAGCAATTGCAGCATATGCGCCCAACGCCGTTTTTGCCTCGCTGGTCAATCCGTTGGTGATTGTAACACTTGTTTCTTTCGCCGGTGTCGTCGTGCCATACAGTCAAGTCCAGCCTTTCTGGAGATACTGGTGAGTTTTGATTTAGCCTGTGGATCTCAAACCCCTCGCGGAAACTGACGCCATCCATCACAGGCTCTACTACCTTGACCCGTTCAACTATCTCATGTCCAGCCTAATGGTCTTTACAACCTGGGACAAACCCGTGGTCTGCAAACCCCACGAAGTCGCTCTCTTCGATCCCCCAACCGGCCAGACCTGTGCCGAGTACCTGTCAGCCTACCAAAGTGGCATGGGTGTGGCAACAAATCTGCTCAACCCTAATGACACTTCTGCTTGCCGGGTGTGCCAATACTCGACCGGGGCAGATTATTTACACACGCTCAATCTAGATGACAAGTATTATGGTTGGAGGAACGCGGGCTTGGTGGTGGTGTTTGTTTTTGGCATGTATGGGCTTGTGTACCTTTTGATGAAGTTGAGGACTAAGCAGACCAANAAGGCGGAGAGTTAGTCGTGTGGAAGTCAAGGAGGACTTTACAAGGCCTAACCTGGATAGATTCAAACCTATAAGAATATTGACATTCGCACTTCACCAGAGCATTGAGAGCGGTAAAGCTCGGGACAATTATGTGACTCATAACAGGGTTGAATTGTGGTTGGTCTATCATTGACTAACAACAAGGAAGTAGCACCATGGGTGTTCTTTCTTCTTTCAAGAGATTTAAGATTTCCAGACTCAACAGACAAAGATCCTTCAACTACCTGATATTCATCAACGACCAGAGACATCGGTCATCGCCATCATTTACGTCCTCAACCAGGACATTGTAGTTATACAGAACTATGGTGACTTGAAACTCACTGTCATGGCTTCCATCAGAGTTTCACCGTCGTCGTTCAAGATCTTGTGCCGCGAGCTGGAAAACTGCATGTCTTATCACCGAGTCTGATGTTATCTTGCTCGAGACTGGATCCGGATATCCATCGTCTTGAGGAACTAGAAACACTTTGGAACTCTGGCTTTGAGAAACACTCCATACTGGTCAGATAGTGTGTAAAATTGAGACATTGACATGGGTCGCGAGTCGTGACCCCCAAATATGTGGTGGGTTGCCTGAATCTGCTCCATCATGCAGCTGCAGATCCACAGCCTCGTGTTCAGCCACGAAGCGGAGACGACTCAAAACATAAGCTCTCCCAACTCAAGGATACCTCGAACTTACTCTGAACTCATTTTGAACAGATATGCTTCCATGGCTGATCCATTTACCATCGCCGTCTCAGTAGGCGGTCTGACCAGTCTGGGCATACAACTTCTCCAAGGCCTGAACCAATATGTTGGTTCGGCAATCGACTCGAAAGGACGCATCAAGGCCATCTCGATTGATATCGACCTGACTGTGGAGGTTTTCAAATCTCTCGAGACTACCATCCAAGATGACACGAACAGAGCTATGATGAACGACACGGCCGAGAGACTGATTCGAGAAGCCATCATTCAGTGTCAGGACATCTTCACAAAGATACAAAGCACCCTCCCCGACCTTAACGCAACGGGACTTAGAAAGAGAGACTTCGTCGCTTGGCCTTTCGTCGAGCCAAAGTTGGAGCTTCTAAGGGGCAATCTGGAAAAGGTCAAGACGACGCTGCAGCTTCTGATGCATGTCATCATTCTGGCAGCCATGTCAAAGAGGTCTTTCATCTTGTTGTCGAAGTTGTTTCTGGCGAATCTGCTAATCAATATCTCTCAGACATGCCCAACAAACTTCCATAGACCAACAACGATTTCAGATTGAGAAGCTTCTCGAAGAAAAAGCAGCAGTTGAAGCTAGACTGGAGACATTAGAACGCGATCAAGCCCAGAACCTTGAAGCTGAACCTCCGAGAGAAACAACGTCCGACCATGCGCAACTTCAACTTGCTGTCCAGCAGCATGATTCCGTTGTCAGTCTGGAGCAGTCTCCAAAGATCGAAATGCCTATTCGGGTTCCATCGCCTCCAGCACAAGAAAACCTAGACCCCGTTCTTTTGTCCAACGATACTTCGATACCCATTGAAGTATCGTCAAGTGAATCGCTAAAAGTCTCACCAGGAGGCTCTCAAGGACAGGTCAATACGACCCCAGGTTTTGCCAGAGAAGATCTCCCAGAAAGCCGATTGAGTCACAAACTGCTCATGATCAATCTCCACGATGATTATACTGCTTGTCTCCATCAGATGGAGTCTCTACAAGCAAAATTGGAGATGGCATTGAATGAAATGTTTGACTCAACGAATAGCATAATAGCTGTCAATCCTAAGCTGTCCTCGGAGAGCAGACGAATGATTGCCATGTCGGTAGACAAGACCGCATGGGAGGCCTTCGAATGCTTGCAACAGAGAATTTTCTGGGCAGATGCTCATATCAATGCCACAGCTGGTCTGACAGCTATCCGTCTCGACCGTCGTGCTTCGAGGCGGATACCGAAGCTAGACTCAGAACACCTTTCGCATGACGATGATTGTGATACTGGGGATCTGGCCCTCGAAGATCATGTCCCGGAGCATTTGTCATTGACCAACAAGCTCAAATCAAGCCAAGACGTTCCGTTATCATCTGAATTGTACGAAGGACCACGTAGCTTGCGAAGCGCACCGAGCACTCCGTCACTTGATCACATTGACTCGCGGTTGGAGCAGGAGCCAGACAAGACTTCACTTGAGAGCCACATCGACTCACCAGCTCCGCAACGACATGTTTCGTTTGGTAGGTACCAGAGAGCAGATTGCGATCAGTGTGAAGTTGTCATGCGTATTGAGGAAGAAGCTAACAATGACACCCAATCAGAGCGTGGCATGGACCAATACGACGATGACTATGCTCTGGAGAAGCAAATGCTGTTGGAGTTAGAGGGAGGCCTCGACCAGGAGCTTGCAGACACCGAAGAAGAGTCTGAGGATGACGACGAGTATTTTGCTCAATGGGCACGCGAAATTCGGCAAAATGATGCCAATACATGTAAGCAACTTACTACGGGAGACACACCGTAGCTGACAACTCTCGTAGCTTCAGCAGTCTGCCCATCACCAATGCCGGAACCGGTTGAAGTTCGTGGTCGTTCCTCCTTACCTCCTGTTGATTCGGTGGAAGATCTGTTGAATGAGTGGACTCATCTCAACTCTGGAAGTGATCAGTCGGGAAGGAAGTGAACAGAGGCAGACAGTTTAGTTCGTAGGATCAAGGTCGGTCAGAGGGAGATGTGATTGACTGCTTAGATCTATCTCTTAAAGCACTCCTTTCACAATCACAATATTTTTCTTCTCCTAAGGAACTAAGAGCATTTCTCTGGTAGAAGTTCACAAACGCTGCAGAACCACGCAGCTGTACGAATCGTTACTTGTGCTGTACTTGTTATCTTTGTGACACGCCACGAACCCAAACACAAGCCTTACGGTTTCCAACCCGGCAGTGAAGTTGGCTGTAGACTGTATCGGACTGATTCGTATAAATTGAAGTAAACAGTCGTGTATGGTTTCGCTTATATCGGTAAGACCAACAAATATGCACTGTTCTCTCCGTGTCTCGATATGAGGTGCACTAGTTTCTTACTAGCAAACTCTAGACCGGCAAGAGTGATATGTCCTTTCATCCCTCTTCGCAAACTTCTTCAGATCTACTGGTCATGCGACTCCATGAGCGAACTCGTCCAATAGGAACAAGCCACGCTGCGTACACTAGGCGAAAGAACCGATGATGTATCTCGGATCTTCTAGGCGGCAGTGACGAGCCACGACCACAAAGTGTTTACAAAACAAACGAGAATCCGCTACATTCCCATTAACCTATTCACAAGCTCTATACTTCTAACAGTGGTATTCGTTCGTTCTACATCCCATATTCTCACCAGTCGGACTCATTTGGAATCCTACAAGCCAACCCATCGCAGGTCTCAGCACAGCACCATGGACACCCAAACCCGCGAAACCATCGCCCAAGGCCGCGACCAAGCAACCCACCGCTCCATAATCTCCACCATACAGCAGCACCTAGGCCAAGACGCCACACACTCAGACCGCTACAACCTCTGCAACAACCTCGTCCAACAACAAAAATACACAGAAGCAGAGCCGACGTTAAAAGACTTGCTTGTCTGGCTCGCCAAAAGACCTGTCCTGGATGCCAATTCTGGCCATCTGCAGACTCATTTTCTCGATCAAGAGGCTGGGACGATGGTGCTTTTGTTGCAGAGTCTCAGAGGTCAGGGTAGAGATGAGGAAGCGGATGGATTGTGGAAGGGTGTGCAGTTCTCTAGTCGTGAGAAACAGTCGCGGAGCAGGGAGCTACTGTACGGTTTGTCTGAATGACTGAAAGGATGATTCGTCTACGATTCCATCTGTTCCAGGTATCATCTGTCATGATGTTTGATGCCTCGTTCATTTCTCTTTGTGTCAAACCGTCCGTAAGATCGTGCTTTCCCCCAGTATCTTACACTCATTCGTCGGAACACTTATCGCTCATGCTTAGCGACAGTGACGACCAGCCGAGACAATCCATAACAATCGTAGATGAATGATGATAAATTTTGCAAGTACATCTCCCTACTCCGCGATCAACGCTCGATTAACCAGATCCAACACCTCATCAGCAGCTTGATACCAGATCGCATAATCCATGACTGTATCCTATTTGCTTATGTTGCGGACAAAATATGTGAAAGACTGCCCTTGCTCATGGAGAATCCATGATGCCGGAGGAGCCGAGGTCCGGAAAAATGCCAAGGCTTTCGAGATCCCGGATGGGGGTGGCGCGTGGGGAAGAGTCACCCTCGGATAATGCTCAGATTCCGAAAAGTGCTATTTTTCGGCATGAGTTGGATCCTGTTGCTCTGACGTTATGTCTCAGCCTTGCCGAACATTATTATAAGGTAAAGATGTAGTCTCTCTTCAGATTCCGAGCCGCCCTTTCCTTGCAACGTGATTTATTGAGCTCGACTTCCAATATGCCAGGAGATGCTGTTCGAATAGTCGAAGTCGGGCCTCGGGATGGGTTGCAGAACATCAAAGATGTAGTACCGACGGCGACAAAGATTGATCTTATCAACAGACTTGCTCAGACCGGGCTACAGACGATCGAGGCCACATCATTCGTGTCACCAAAATGGGTTCCTCAATTGTCGGATGCAAAGACTGTGATGGAGAACATGAAGTTGTCGGTTGAAAAGGGCGACATCTCATTTCCGGTGCTAATTCCGAACATAAAAGGATTGGAAGCAGCATTAGCGCTCGATGTCAAAGAGATCGGTATCTTCCTTTCGGCTACTGAAGGGTTCAGCCGCAACAACATCAATTGCAGCGTAGAGGAATCGCTTATCCGAGCCCAAGCTGTCGTCAAGCGAGCACGAGACCAAAATGTTCGAGTGAGNGGGGTACGTTTGACAGCGGTTCGTCCAGGATCTTGCTGACTTGTCAGGTACCTGTCTTGTGTGGTCGACTGCCCATACGACGGCAGAACATCGCCTTCGACAGTATTGAAGATGGCAAAGAAGATGCTGGAAATGGGTTGCTTCGAGATCAGCTTGGGAGACACGACTGGAACAGCAACCCCGGAAGACATTCATAGACTCCTCGAGACTCTGCTAGAAGAGATACCAGCAAGCAGACTCGCCGGACACTTCCATGACTCATTCGGTCAAGCGATCGCCAACGTGAAAGAAGCCTATCGGATGGGTATCAGAGCGTTTGACAGCAGTGTGGGCGGTTTGGGAGGATGCCCATACAGTCCTGGAGCGAAAGGAAATGTCGCAACAGAGGACGTTGTATGTCTCTTCGAGAGCATGGGTATCGATACAGGCGTGGATCTGGCCAAACTCGCTAACATTGGAGACTGGATAAGTCAGCAGCTTCGTGTTCCTAACGGCAGTCAGATTGGCTCGGCTCTGGTAGCCAGCAACAAACGAGCCCTGGAGGTGAAGAATGTCCATCAACAACCATCTACCATCCCATCAGAATGGCCGCACCTATCGCATCTGATATGCTGAGCGCTCAATCGACAGAGCGTCGATCATGCATCGTTTCTGAAGACGGAATCTCGATGTTCGTTCAAACGACGACACAAGTCTTTGCGGTCGGACCATTCTCGAACCGCATCAGCCAACTCGCAGCCCGTCTGTACAATCAAGTCCCACACCGTCTCTTCGAGATCTAATCCAAACTTCTTGATCTGCTCGTCTTGAGGACCCCACAACCGCAATGGCTTGTGGTCGTCAGCACTCATCAGATCGCCTTCGTCAACAAGGTGAGCAGCGTTCATCTTTGGGGTGTTCGCGTGCAGGAATGCCGCTCTGGGTTGCTTAGACTCGTCGCCATTCTGCTGTTGGAAGTCATCCGAAGCGTCGACCTGTATCATACCACTGCCTTTCTTCTCAATGCCATCTAGGCGTCCGACTGACGTGACACCTGTTTTGACGCGGTGATATGGGGCGTTGAGAACCATTGCTGCAGCCATGAATGTTTCCTTGTCTCCTTGGCCAAGCGCACCCTGACTGAGAAGCGGGTAATAGAAACCAGGTCCATAGATGTTGTAGTAATTCGCAAGCAATAAAGTCTTGAGATGCTTCCGCTTGTTGATGAGAAGTTGACCTGCTTCAGAGGACGATTTGGGTAGACCAGCTGGCATCTTGCCAAGACCCACAACGGTATAGAAAGATGGTGACTCTGTGGAAATCCAGAAGTCAGGCCAGATGACTAGACCAGTAGAGGTATATGGTTCTGTTGCGAAGAGCTCTGTCTCGGGGTTAAGGANGGGTATGCTATCGCTGTCTAGATAGAGGACGTGTTCGAATGAGCTGAGTAGCATAGCCAACGATTTGAGTTGATAGTGCGTTACTTCAAAGCCTTGGATGAAGTCTGAAAGTATCAGACATTCTGCACCAAGCTTAGGCAGATAGTCTTTGCATAGCTTCTCCTCGTATTCAGAGTCATCGGCTACAAAGATATGCACTGGAAGATTGCTGCCACTACGACGTAGCATGTGTATACCAATGATCGCTGGGCCAAAGTATTCACCGCCGCCCACAATCACAACGCCTGTGCCTATGTAAATTTGCTCGGCGAGGTGATCGGGCCATGACTGCAGTACTGAAACGAATTTACTGTGGGCAGTCTGTAAAGCTGATACAGAGTCAAGTCCCTGGAGAAGTTCTGTATGTTGGGTTCGCGCTGAGTGATCGCCTGCGGAGACAGGCAGGTTGCCTGCATTGAACATCAACTCAAGCTTGGCCGCATGAGGCTGCGTGGCTTTGTAGACTTGCGACCAGGCGGTCCATAATTCCTGAATCGAGTTGAGTTGTTGGGTCGTGTTTATTGCCAGTGGTACCGGTGTAGAAAGAGGTGCTCTGTAAGTTGAGAGATGATTGTTCAATGCTTGGTATGCAACGTTTGATTGTGAGAATGACAAAACAACAATGCCGATCAATGCGATGCTGCCGAAAAAGCGCAGGGCGAGTCGCAGAGTGATGCGCATGATGAACAGTGGCGTGACATGACCCAGGTTGCTGGTTGTAAGATGCAAGCGCGATCAATGGTTGAGGTGGTTGGATTGTTTGGGGAAGGACGCGCGGAGACACGACAATCGATTCGACTGGGGCAGGAACAATCTACACATTCCTTCGATAATGTGAAGACACCACAAAAATCATTTTGTTCAGAATTAAGACATTATTTCATCAATTACTATCTAAACAGTGTGCGCACTTAAGAGTTGTAGATGGTCAGAGCATCAGTCGAGTTGCTGTAAGTGACACCGCACTCCTCCGAAAAGTTTGAGAATCTCTGGGTCTTCTCATCAATGAACTTTTGGAAGGCTTCTCTCGAACAGCTCATACCAGGGCCGTCGGTGCACTCCTGCAAGAGCTGAGGGTTCTTGTTGACCAAGATGCGGTAGTACTCGCCAGTCTGGTTGGCGTTGTCTTGGAAGCCAAAGCTGTCGCATTCCATGCGCTCGATGGCAATGTTTGTCAAGAAGGACATGAACTTGCTGCTTTGCCAGACACGGTTGGGGTTGATTCCATCAGATGGCATGGTGGCGTTGACATCGTCAGAGGCAGAGTAGGCAGTGTTGTTGAAGAGACCGAGGGCGACAATGACGGTAGGAGGAAGTTCTCTGTGAGTGAAGGAAACGTAAATGTCCTGGCTAGCGTTCTGCGCAGTCAAGAGGTCGGTCGAGGACTTGACCCAAGGGTAACCGAGGGCACCAGAAGCAGGGTTGCCGTAACCAGTGTTGTGGTGGTACATGATGTCGTTGGTGTACTCGAACTGGAGCCACTCGTTGGGGCTGAACAGGTCCAGAGAACAGAAGGGCGAGTCGCCACGGATGACAGTCTCGTAGCCGCACAGCTGCTGCATGCCGTAAATGTCCGAGGCGGTCCAGTTGAAGGTGGGAACCTCATGGCGGAAACGCGAGATGATGGGGGCCGTGTACTTCTTCTGGAAGACCATGGACTGGTCGCTTCCTCTGCTGCCAGAGTAGGCAGGGCAGGCCTTGTAAGGGGTCAACGAGTCTGCGCCAGTCTTCTTGTACTCGCCAATCTGGACGATCTCCGTCTCGTTCTCCTTGATGGCAAGGCCCTCGACAAAGCTCTCGGCGCTGAGAACAGTGCGCTCGGCAGAGCTGGTCCAAACCTTCTTTGGTTGCTTGAAGTGTTGGTAGCGCTCGTAGACGTCGACGCCCAGCTTCATGGCTTCCAGGTTGCCGACCTTGGACAACTTTTCAATATCTTCATCTTCGATGGGGCTTGTCCAGGTGGTCAGGAAGGACAGGGCGTGCGAGCGGTCCCAGTTGATGGAGCTGTTTCCCTGGCTTGCCTCGAGCTTCTTGACAAAGGGCTCGATGTAGGACTCGTAGTCAAAGTCGTTGGCATAGATGGCAGCGTGGCGGACGAGGTAGGCGGCGCGCGTGACGTTGCAGCCTTGAGGCGGCGCAGGGTCGAAGTTGCTTGTCGGGTCGTGGGGCTCAAAGTAGGGAGCGATGCCGGACATGTGCTTCAGAGGGTCGAAGGTGTACTTCGCAGCCGCCAGTGCCGCCGCCGAGAGGACGAGAGATGCTGTGGTGGAATGCATGCTGCTTGCTGCGTCTGCGTCTGCTGTCACGTCGGTGTTGAGGTGGACGGTGAAAGAAGGGTCTTTTGGACGAAGAAAACAGGGTCTATATAACTCAACTGTTCAAGCACCTACCTGCCACCTGAAACCTACATCTGCCCATTACATATACCATGACGCGCGAGGCATACTTTCTTGTACATGCTCATTAAAAGCTTCGCGTCCAAACCAACTTGCATCCAAGATTTTGACGCCAAGACTCTTCGATGACGTCGTCTCTACCAACATCTCTATGCAGGAACTCACGGCTCCCCCTTTCCGACCACCCTAAATTGGCCTGGGCGATCATTCAGGAACAACTTGTTGAGCCACAAGCCTGTTTGTGGCTCGTAGATCCGCGTATCCAAGCCTCAGGATCGAGCAGGTGGTTGGGTCCATGCTGACCATTCTCCCTCTAACACGATCATCACGATCGAGTCAATTCTCTTGAGATTCTTGATGAAATTATTCTACATGCCAACAAAGGTATACATACGTGTCATCGTCTATCTACTCTCTGAGTGTTACACAGCATATGCACCCGAGTTCAGCTGCCGAGGCTCACTGGCGACGTCAAACGTGCCATTGCTCAATACTCGCAAACACTGTGCCGTGCTCTGCCCAGGGGCTACCCAAGTGACGTTGTGCCCCAGACTCTTCATGTAATCCACAGTCGCATTGTCGTATGCATATTCGAAGCTCACATAGTTGGGAGAAAGCTGGTCATGCAGACGAGGTGCTGCCAACGCTTCGGCAGCAGTCATGTTCTGGTCCAAAACATGCCACAATGTCTGCAACGTTGCGGTGATGATTCTACTACCTCCTGCAGAGCCCGTGACAAAGTAGAGAGAGCCGTCAGGGTATTCGGCGATCGTGCAAGCAATCGAGGACATCGGTCTCTTTCCGGGACGCACGAAATTGCTTTCTGAAGGATCAAGGCCAAACGCGTTCTTTGTTCCTGGGATCGAAAAGTCGTTCATCTCGTTGTTCAAGATCACTCCAGTTGATGGAACGATGAGCTGGCTACCAAACAAAAGATTGACAGTCGTGGTGAGCGAGATCGCCATGCCAGAGCTGTCGGCAGTGACTACCTGCGAGGTTCCGGGTGTATCTTTGATCTCCAGATTGGCAGGATCATATGCCGATACATTGAGGGTGTGCGTATCCGAGATGAGATGACGGACATTTGCTGCTGTGGTTGCGTTGATTATCTCGGCTTGATACTCGTCCATACCTTCGACGAACAGAGGGTCTCCCATCGAGGCACGGAAGCCATATCCGAAGCGTGTTGCTTCATCAAGATGATGAGTGCTGAGATTCAGGTACGCTTCTTCACCCATGGTGTCGTAACCCTCCACGATCTTCAGGATGGACAGTACCACGCCGCCTGATGCTGGAGCACTCACACTCTTGAGCTTGTATCCTCTGTAGTCGATTTCGACAGGATCACGGATCGCAACGGTGTAGTTCTTCAGATCCTCCATGGTCATTGTGCCATTGGCTGCTTGCAGCGTGTCAATCATGGCTTCAGCAATGGGACCAGTGTAAAATGCGTCAGGACCACGCTCTGCAATGGCTTCCAGAGTCGAAGCATAGCGTTGACGAGTGATCGTGTCGTTGAGTCGCAACAGAGTGCCGTTGGGTGCAAAATCGATAGCCCAATTCGGATCATCGACAAGGAAGTTGGTCGTCGCACCTGCTGTGGCAGAGGCCATGTAACGGACCAGATCTGCTGTGACAGGAAACCCATAGCGAGCAGTCTTGATTGCGCCTTGCATTACGTCTTTCCATGGTAGTCTGCCATACTTCTGGTGCAAGTGTGCCAGTCCACGGACTTCACCAGGAACACCACNTACTCAGAATTAGTACTTGGCGGCTGTTTGGGTCATGTTCGTCATTCAAACATACCTTGCTAAGCCCCCATAGATGCTTGCATTCGTGTTGTTCTTGTACATATCTTGGAAGGCGGCCGCAGGTGCCGTTTCGCGAAAGTCAATGAACTCATACTCTCCATCGGCACCTCTGACCAGCATAAAGCCGCCACCACCAACTCCAGAATGATACATGCCAATCACGCCAACGCAGAACGTAGTTCCGACCATTGCATCAGCAGCTGTTCCTCCTCTCAGAAGCAGGTCGCGTCCAATGCCAGAACAGATGGTGCTTTCCGAGGCAACACCTCCATGCAGTCTGGTCATGTTAGAGCCATGATGTCCAGCGTGAGGAAGCTCGGGAGATGAAGGAAGTCCATGTGAATATCCTTGTCTGATGACAGTGGCACCAATGTCCGACACTCCAAAGGCGAGCAGACAAGCGAGGGTATCAACCCAGGGAGAAAACAACATGGCGACGACACAGAAGACACCTATACCAAATATCAAGCCAGTAGAAAACACAGAGCGTGAGATTGGAGAAGCGAGAAACTCTCGCATGCGATCACGGAGCATTTATACTCGAGTACAACCACCCTAAGTACTGGTTGGAGTGGGGCGGCTGGTGGTGAGGGGTTGCGTTGTGCATGTACCTGCCTCAATTGTCAAAAAATCAAGTCTTGCACATCAATGAAAGCGTGGCTCAGCTGCCTTTACAAGTTACGCATATTGATATGATCGGCGAGGTCGGCAAGATAAGACACAGGTTAACCTTCCAGTGAGTGTCACCGGCCGGCAACGCACGTTCCCCGCATGAGATTTTATCGCGTCACTGGGGTGCTTGAGTGCTATCAAAGTACTCGGAGGATGACAGTGTATCTGATGGGCACGAGAAGCACCTAGAAGGCATAACTTGATCATTCATTATTTACTTTTGGATGCTATAGACTAGTCTCTGATATCTTCATGCTATCAGCGAGACGGAGTTGGTGCGGTTCACGTTTTCTGTTTTCCCGCCGCTCTGTCCGTCGTCCTGCTGAGTATCAGAATGGGCCCAGGCCAACAAAATGGACTGTGGCAGATGCGTGTACAACAGAATCGCAAATACCAACGCGAGTACCACATGGTAGATGATTTGGTTCGGATTGGCTGGTTGAAAGCCAGTCCAGCATGGGTTTGTGATACAGCGATCTGGGTATACGCTTGGGATGTTCCGGTCGTGTTTTGAAGGAGGTGGATGCAAGCTGTTTAAGCTGCTGCTCCTTTTGCGCCAACAACGTTGCCGGCTGTGGAGACCGAGGCAGGGCCATTGACTTGCATGTCAAGGTCGAGATACTCTCTGGCTGCGAGTTTACTCTGCTTTTCAGTCAGGTAGCCCATATATCTTTGAGAAAGGTCTCCGACAACATCTGCGTTCAGACGAGTCTTCTGTCGGATGGTGTGGTGAAGCGCCTTCAAGCGCTCGGCTTGTTCGGCTGCAGTCTCCAAAGTCGTCGGTTGGTCAATTTCGAAGCGGAGGTAGCCTGCCCAGAAGGACGGGCTATCAAGGAAGATGTGCTGCTGACGTGAGAGAATATCGCGTCCTTCGACAGCATCACCCTTGGACTTCCAGGCCAGTCGAGCCAGCTCTACAACAAGTGCGCCCTTGTCGTCAATCGAGCATTCGGAATCAGCGAGATACTGGTCATAAACTTGGACAGCGGCTTCATAACCAACTTGACGACGCTGGAGGTTGGCCAGACGAGTGATGGCTTCGAGGTTTCCAGGCAAGGTGACAAGAATGGCTTCGTAGATTGCAGCAGCAACAGACGGTCTGCCGCAAGCTTCCTCGAAGAGCGCCCAGTGGAGACGAACGGCAGGTCTGGCGATGGGGGTATAGATGCAGCTGGCGCGCTGGAATATATTGCGGACTTCCTCCTCTTTGCCCTCCTGGTTGTACATCCAGCGGGCATACCTCTGCCAGAACTCGTCGTAGTGCGCGCACGTAACGACACAGCGCTCGTACAAGAAGGCGCTGCGGGTGTAGTCGGCCTCACTCTCCTCGAAATCAAGGTACTTTGACCAGTTCTCGATTTGGGCTTCGTCGAGTTCGGTGACGTGGAAATACGGACGCTTGATCTCTTGTTCGTAGGTCCAGCGCTTGGTCGTCTCGGTTTGGGTGTTGTGGAAGAGTTCGAGGTGGTAGGTATCGAGGCGAGCGCGGATGGCGCGCTCCACTTCAATCTGGCTCTTTCCCTTCGTCTCAGGCTCGAGCTCGGCAGTGAATTGATTGAGGAGATTTGATGGTGCCAGCTCGGCCAACGGACGAGAAGCTGCCAGTTGGCGGTATTTTTCGAAGTAGCGCGCGTACTGGTGCATGGGAATGTTGATGATGCGGGCGAGGATGTCAAAGACCTTGTCCTGGGCCTCGAGTCGCTCTTCAAACTCGATGTACTTGTCCCAGAAAGGGTGAGATAGGAAGTCCAGACCAACACAAGTGGCGCCTCGTTCAAACAACCTAGGTCTGTTAGCCGATGCATGCCTCATGTAGGGCAAGGAAGGGTAGGCAAGGGGGAAGGGGAACCAAACAAGGCATATAGTCCTCTCAGCCTCCTGAGGCCGTCGGACGTGATGGACAACTGCAAGTCGACCAAACACCAGGGAGAGAAGAATGTGACAAGGCTCGAATTTGAACATGTGATGTGAGTCTGAAGGCTGTGCGTGAGAAGAGTAGGTCATGGGGAGTCTCGATGGTTTCTCACCCGTCTTCGACAAGCTGCATGTCTGTGGTACGAAGCGAGAGGGCCCAAAGGCGTGTGGATACGGTCTAGGTGAAGGTCATGCAGATATGAGGGGACAGTGCAGACTTACTCTCGAATGATGGCGTCGTCGTGTGTCGTCTCGACCTTGAAGCTACAGTAGTTGGCCCAGAGGTCGACTGAGATGGCAATGCTGGCCACACCGCGTTCGTAGACCTAGACTTGGAGTCAGCAGAGTGTGCTGGCGTGGTCGAGCGTGTTTACTGACCATCTCGGCGGCCTCGGTGCCGGCAATGGCAAACTCTAGGTCGGCGTACTTTTTCCAGTATCCAAAGAACAAGGGGAACTTTGCCAGGAAGCGGTCGTAGATGCTTCTGGCGGCTGTGATGGCTTGAGGACTCGAGTTTCTGTTCAGACCACCCTCAAGACCTTCTACTGCGCGAACCAGCTTTTCCCAATTCTCGAATTCGTCCGGGCTGGCTTGAACATCGAGTTCGAGCTTCCTGACTTCGGCCAGCTCTTCGTCGCCTGTGCCATAGCCGTAGTCGGTCATTGCTGAGTCTTTGTCGCGCAATGCTTCGAGCCTGATAAGATCGTGCGGGGGCGCTATTGTTATATCTTATTGAGAACGGTGTACGAACAGCGAGTGCGAGTTGAGAGTCGAGCGGAGAACAGTCGTGAACACGTCGGGCCTTGCAAGTTGGTTTGTGTGTCTGGTCAGCGCGCAAGTGTTTGCTCGCGCCGCGAGTCACAGCGACGGGAGCTGCCATTCGCCCGGCAGATCTTCGGCGTCTCATCCGGCTCGCGAAGCCCTGCCAGCCGTGCCTTGATATGTGAATACCATCCCGATTTTACTCTTGATGCTCATTCGATTCATGGTATTTTCATGGCTTTCTTGAGCAAAGAGGTGTCGGCTTAGATTTGAGATAGTATACTGTTCTCTACCTCAATCTCATTGTAATCTACGGATGCATGGTCAGCTACGTCTATGTTGGCTTGTTTCGCCCACGAAGACGTAGGTAGACATCAATGAATCTCGTGCGCCAGTTGCAGAACACAAAATCGAATCACGCAATGCCGCAACAAGCAGATCAGCACATCCAAAGCCTCTCATACAATGACAGTCTGCAATTTCCATATGTTTATACAGTTTTGAGGGTCTTGGTACAGAAGGTATCGTATGTTTCTGATCGTGTTCATCAACATGTCAGGGTGACACCAGCATCAACTCCACCTGTCCAACACAGATCCGCCAACAGAATGGGTCTCTCGGAACCGAGAACATGAGCAAGACTCACTTCCTAGCCGAGTCTGCCCAACAGTATGAGTCTGTCCTAGGGATTGCGGCGCATCTCGCTTAGACTTATTAGGCGAAGCTGCTCAACTCAAGTTCTGCAAACACGATAGACTCTTGAGAGGGCCGTCAATGATGGCTTTAAATAGACCAGATGTGCAACCCTAATATTAATGAGATCTGCTCAAACAACGATGCCATCCATGCTGTTAAATATCATTAGCGAGCATAGCGGTCGTTCGATTCTCACGTCAAGCAACTTGCGGTGACAGAGTCCAGCCCCAGCCGTGGCTATCCACAACACAACCCACTGCTGACTCGGCTGTATGTATCACGGCCCATCTGCCAGCTGGGCAACGTTCATGGGTACGAGATACATGCGAATGTCCATGTTCTGGAGCGTCGTGATTGGGCTCTGAGGTCCACCCAAGGTCCGCAAGCACAGCCGCACGCGTTCTCTTTTCCGTGACTCCACTGGCTGCTGGCAAGCAGATGCGGCTTGACGACATGACATTGCGAGGTCACCCCAGCCACGCTGCCTCACCTGTGCTGACCTCACTCTTACACGAGTGCTGAGAGGATGAAGAAAATTCCCAGAAGCGACATACACGCGGCCACGAGTTTTCCTTTGCGTGCTGTAAGCAGAGTATCTCATAAGTAGGTAGTCCGCGGAGGTCTAGAGTAGAGCAGGATAGGAGTGTTTGTTGGACGGTGGCTGGTGCGCCAGGTGCGGGCACACCCGAGGCGACTTTGTCGATATGCAGTTAGGCTCGTTTCATGTGTCCAGCTTCACTCTTTCTCTCACACCCGCCTGCCACAACGTAGATCTGTGACGACGGATTTGACAGGTCGTTCGACTTGGCCGTTCGCGCCGTAGGGCTTACCTCCATCCGACCGCTGGTATGGACATTAGGATAGGCCTCGTTTGATGAGCGTCTCGTCTCGTATTGTATCGTGTCCGTGTAGCAAAGCCAACGCAAACAGGGATGGTTGGTCAGAGGTGCCCGGCCACCGCACAGACAAGAGGGGCATCTGGGTGGACAACGATGCTGCATATATGCACCTCCTGCCGAAGGCGAGTCGTGCTCTCTTGTCAATCTTCCTTTTTTCCTTTCCCAGTCTCCAACTTTCAAGCTCCGCACGACTTGCGACCTGCGCCTTTTTTTGTGGCTCTGGAAGCCCGTCTCTTTCTCAACATCCAGTCGGAAGCCGGTCCTTCTGACTGTCTTTGGTCGCTCTTCTCTTCGCACTGGAGCTTGATTTATTTACGTTTCCCCTCTTGAGCGAGTCCTTGCACAACATTGGTACTTGTGTGGTACGGTAGCCATCGGACAGCAGAATCACAGCCGGACTGCACATCATCTTACACATGTCAGCGTTGGGCTGCACGACTGATCTCTGATATTCATCTGTGACTGGACTGTCCCAAACTTATCCAGCCTCTACTCGAGCATACCAAAAACAGTTCATGCAACTCGGCTCTCTCTCTGGCAGCATGCGTGACCGCAGGAACACTAACCTTTCCATCTCGTCGACGGGTTCGTTCGCTTCGGCCCACACGTCGCCAGTCGTCGCCGATCACAGTCAGGATAGTGCAGAGAAGGGAAGGTTTCTATGGATCCCGGCCAGAGAAGACGCCGAACCTCTGCCTTCACCCCTACTTAAGCACGCGCGCGAGAACCATCATGGCTTCTTTGATGGCTGGCAAAGGACGCCTCGATGGCGCACAGTCGTCATGCTGTTCGTTCTGGCCGTTGTATTGATCTGCTATACTCTTTCGCCTATATTGACTGTCGATATCGAATTTGATGCCGTCTTCCCCAATGCCGACAAACAGATTGATCTCATCAACGGAGCGCCAATTCCCGACCATCCTATCCCTGTCATCTTCCAGGACCAGTATGGTCAGCCTCGATGGACCGTCTCGATACCCCCGTCGTTCGGATTTCCTCTCAAGCACCACGAATATGACAAGATATGTTCGACCAGCGAAGGAGTCAGGGCCAGTGTCGAAGCCATGACAGGTCGCGCATCAAGAATCCATGGCAAGAGCAGACCCCACTTCTGGAAACGACCTTACTACGCGGCAGACAGGACGTTTATGTCAGTCGACGAAGCTGAAGACATGAACCTGCTACCAGCCATGCCGGAAGGACAAAAGCACATCTCGGTCCTTGGTCATGTCAATGGAAGCAGTCCTGATCTTCCGGTTTGCCAGAGCAGCTTGACCTTCGTCATGGAGACAAGCGAAGCTGGTTTCGGAAATACTCTCCTCGCTCTCTGGTTGAGCTACGGTATGGCCAAGAAGGAAGGTCGCACTTTCTTCATCGATGATTCTAACTGGTGAGAGCTTACTGAATGGCAATTGCTTCAATCGCATGCTGATACTCCTCTAGGNTCGTACGGAAGCTACACTACATACTTCAAACAACCTCCTCAGTCAGCTTGTGCACCACCACCAGCAAATCAGGTCCTTCCCTGTCCTCATAGTGCCCGCCATTTGGTTGTTTCTGCAGCTACCTTGCCTTGGACTTTTGGATCTGCATTCAAGGCTGAGTACCAGCAGTCACTCAAGCATGGATTCAAGAAGAATCGCCCCATCTATGATCTGGTCCGCCAAGGCTACCAAGACCTGTTTGATCTGCAGGGTGAGGACGGGTCCTTCTTGACACACAAGCTGATGGTGATGCGTGCCGCTGCTTCCGCCTCCCGGACGCCACTTGTCGGCATGCACATTCGTCGTGGAGACGTGCATCCTTTCGAAGTCGAGTACAGCCATGACTACCTCCCATTCGAGCGCTACACATCTGCAGCTAGCGAGCTGTTTGCTTCCTTCTCACCAAACAAGTCGTCGATGGAGCCCACTGCTTTGCTTCTTGCCTCGGACGATCCGGACATCCTGTCGTCGCACGATCTCGTCAACACACTGCCCTCCCATCTCGCCGTTTCGCGCCCCCAAGAGCGTATCGTTCTCGCGAGCAAGAAGACACTAGAACCCGCGAAGCCCATTCGTAAGCCTGGATCCGCCTATGTAAAGCACGTTGACGAGAACTCTGGCTGGGAAGGAGGTTTCTATGCTTCTTTGTTCTTCTCCCTGGGTAAAGGCCATCCTTCGGCATCCAAGCAAGGAATGGGCGATGAGATGCAGAAGGCTGTTCTGAAACTGAGAGAGCTCGTTGGACGTGCCTACCTCCTCGATCTGGCAGTAGTAGGTCATGCAGATGGTGCAGTTTGCGCCAGCTCTAGCGCGGCCTGTCGCATCATTGGAGTCATGATGGGCGCCGACAAGGTGATAAACGGGCAGTGGAAAAACGTGGACGGCAACCGTGTCTGGAGCTGGGATGGAAAGGTTTGATTGAGCATTAAAGAGCGTATCATTTGGGGTTTAGCAAGGCGCATGGCGTGTTTCATTTTCTGCTTTGTTCCTTTCTTGTCGAATACTCTTGTTTCATCTTCAGACTTGTTCTTGGTAGTCTAAGGATGATTTCTCTTTTGTTCAGACAGACAAATGTCAAAATTACGATCACAATTCTAACCACTCGAAAAGTGCACGAGGGTGGCAAGTGACTGTTGATGGATCATGTCGCTAAGAGGAGTTGTATCAACAGATGAGAGAAAGCTTGTTTGTTAAGCGAAGCAGAGAGCAGGCGGCGATGAGATGCTTGTCGCATGCACGCTGCCAGTCTATGCCCGTTGAATCTTGGTGTGTCGGCGGGGCTGCAGGAATGATGCTTGACCAGCCGGAAGACGGTAGCGAAGTCGGGACAGTCGAAAGCCGCATCCATGGCAGCAACAGAACCTAAGCATGCGACGCCGACAGGGCGCTTGGCTTACGCGCACTCAATGGCCATTGACCATGTGGTACGATAGGTAGCAAAGCAAAAAGCACTTGAGCGAGCGGCAGCGAGAAGGGCCTTGTTGACGCGAGGGCGGCAGTGGCAGTGCAAGTACAAGGGCATGCGGAAAGGGTGATGGATTCCTGACGCGGCTTCGGGCAGGTAGCAACTAGAGCAGCATTATTGGGGACTCGTCTCAACCTCCAATCCTCGTGAATGCGCCGACCTCTCTCCGGCCGGCAGTGACGATGCTCCCGCTGCGCATGATAGCCACACCATGAGCTCGTCGTCGCCGTCTCGCACCCAATCCACGTCAGCCCCGTCCGCTCCCTCGGTCCCGTCAGCCGGTCGCCGTATCCTGTCGCGCTTCGCGTCTCCCCTGTTCTCGCAAAAGGGCCGTAGCATAGCCGACTTCCACATCAAGGCCCATGATCCGCACAAGCAGTACTCGCCCGGCGAGAGCGTCAAGGGCTGCGTCGTCGTCAAGGTCGTCAAGCCCGTCCGTGTCACGCACGTGTCCGTCTGCCTGCACGGCTTTGCCCAGGTCTACCGCACCCCCGGCGCGACAGCCGACCAGCTGCGCGGCAACACCAATCGCATCGGGCGCGCCCAGGGCCGAGGAAAGAAGTCGGGTGAATACTTTGGCAATGGCTTCGCCTCGCTGTTCGAGGACGAGTCGGTGCTATGCGGCGACGGCCGTCTGGACGAGGGCGTGTACCGCTTCGACTTCGAGGTCCAGTTCCCCGACGACATGGACCTGCCCAGCAGCATCGACTTTGAACGAGGCACCATCTCCTACATGCTCACCGCCACCCTGACCCGTCCCACCACCATTGCTCCCGTCATCACCCACGACCAAAAGATCTACCTCGTAGAACGCGTCGACATTTCCCCGCTGCTGCCCCCGAAACCGCGAACCATCACTCTCGAGCCAGTCTCCAGGAAGGTCAAACCGACCAAGACCTCCGCTTCCCTACCCTCGAGGGCTCCGGATACCCCTACGCACGAAGCAGAACCGCCTACCCCCTCCCTCAGCGAGCTCAGTCTCGACAGTCGTGTCAGCAGTAGCCTTAGCGATGGTCCGCATAAGCTCATCACCGCCACAGTCGAGCTGCTGAAGGGCGCCTGCTTGCGAGGAGACAGTTTCCCTGTTCGAATCTCCATCAACCACACCAAGCATATCAAGAGTATCAATGGCATCATCATTACTCTATACCGCCAGGCTCGCGTTGACATGCATCCTGCCCTCCCTTTGGGACCCGTAAGCGATGGTCAAAAGCGCAAGTACGAAGATTACTACCCCAAGTCCATCACCGGTCTCGGCGGCTTGTCTCTGTCAGGTGCCGGATCAAGCCATACCTTTCGCAAAGATCTTGCCCAAATCTTGGTACCACTATATGTGGATCCCATCACTCTAACCGCCGAGATCAACGCCAAAATCGGTGTCCCTCATGGCGCATTCCCCACCATTACCTCTGTCCCCGGAGCCATGATCTCTTTCCGTTACTACATTGAGATTGTCCTTGATATCCAGGGCAAGCTCACTCATGACAGATATCTTTCACAGCATGGCAGTGGCCCGGTCTCTGCCGCTGCGCGCCCTGTCGACTCGAAAGAAAACAACCTCTTCAATGGCCCTGACGACACCNNCCCCTTCTTGATGCTCAATGGTGCAGGCATCCTCGATACCGCTCCTATCAGAAGAGACAAATCTGTCGCGACGTGCACCTTTGAAGTAGTCGTAGGTACCACAGACAGCGAACGCAAAGCAAGGAAGGGCAAAGAGAAGGCGACTGAACCGTCTCCATCATCGCCCAATGCTGAACAGACTTTGAACATGTCACACTATTCTCCACAACAACAAGGTCGTTCGGCAGTATCGAGCCGAGATTTTGAGTCATATCAGCACGTAGATGTGTACAATCATGACTATGGTCCCAACACGCCTCTGGAATATCAATACGGCTCTGGTTACGACTACGGGCCGGAATATCACGAATGGGATGGTCAAGAATACCCATACGACGAGTCTTGTTATCCCGATTATCACGAACCTCCGCTGTTAGAGGACGAAGACTCCCTCCCTGAAAAAGAACGTCTACGCAGAGCGGAGGCACGATTGATGCCGAGTCAACCACCAGCCATGGCTTCGACATCCTCGGGCGCAGAACAGGCAACAGCTCCAGCATTGCCTGAAGATTACTCTTACCAAAACCCAGCTACTGCCGTCGGCAGCTCGACACAAACCACCGCATTGCCATCGAACATGGCTCATCAATCACCTACACCTGAGGCTGCCCATGACATAGTCGAGGGCGATAGCAATCGTCTTTCACCGACGGACGACAAGCATGAATTACAAAGGCGTCAACTAGAACTCGCAGCGAGTGGACCGCCTCCGACCTCATCAAGCGTGACTGGGGAAAGCAGTGCAGAGTCTGGGCCGTCAGCACCAGTGATGATAGATAATAATATGGACGAGTACGTATCGGGGGTTGATGAGATAGGGACAGGCGTAACGGAAAGTCTTCCGCAATATCGACGATAAGAAAAGTCGATTGCAAAAATGCCATGATTGTTCAATGAAAACCACAGTGCCTAGTGCCCAAACGAGACGGACTCGGTGCTCGGCGCCGTCGGCGTCGCGGGACTGGAGCAGACGCAAGTACAAGCAAGTGCACGGGCGTTTAAACAAATAGGCGGCCCTTGTGCGGGCGCCTGCCTACTTTTCTTGCGACGAAGTGAAGATCGGGCATGTAAGCGAGCTGGAAGCAAAGGAAAGAAGGAAGCGTAGATGTTTTGTTTTGTCGTGCCGATCAGAGCCAGAAGCAGCAAAAACTAGGGCACGAGGGAGGGCGAGAAGAGTGGGTGGTTAAAGCGACATCTGCGATGGCCATCGTTGATGAAGACCAAAAGAGGTCCGTGAGGGACAAGATGGATGAATCATGGTTCGCCAAGACATGTGCTCATCGATGGCATCTAAATTAACAAAAGTTAGAATGGTCACCCAATTACACGGTCATGCTGGTGGCAACGAGTTTTGGCATGGGAAGTTGCAGCTGGGATCGGGTTCTTGGTCAGGTTTGTTGATCGATCAGGGCGATTGCATTGGTGTTTGGCATGTCCGTTCATCGGGGTTCTTGCAGGCGTCGAGAATCGTGAGCTCATACAGAGTCATCGGAGTCGAGTCCGTGAGCGGACATTCTTCCAGCTCCCCGTTCGTCCTCCCTTCCACTCTTGTCAAACGGAACAAGACTTGAGAGAGTCGACTACGGTGCGCTTTGAAGGAGCGCAATTGGCCTGTATCAAGGTAGCGAGCAATCGCGCAGCAGACGCTCAACAGCCAGCCAAGTGCAGAGGGCGAGTCGTCTTGTTTACAGCAGCGTTTTCGTCTTGTCCGGTCGTCATAGTTGTTCACATCAGGCTCTTATTGGCTCGGACTCAGCACCGACTGGGAGCGTGTGTTTGTTCGTGGGCCATCGAGGCATCGACACGCATCGCCCGTCAAGCATTACTTTATCGTTCAAGCACGCCGGCCCAGCATGTCGTCGTGACGGCTTCTGTTGATCGAGCGAGACTTGCCTGCGACTAGCGCATACGTCGCTCAGCGTCGCGTTTGCCCTCTACGACGACCCATAACTGTACAGCCCTGTCGCTCTGCAGTACTTGATGCTCCTGGACATATTGCGCTCCCATGACGACCCTCAAACAAATGCTCGACCGTTTGGATCTGGCGCGCTATCACGATGCCTTTGTCGACGAGGGCTTCGACACGTGGGAAATCCTGATGGACATTACCGAGTCGGATCTGTGAGTGCTCTATCCATTGTTTCTTGCTGTCTCGCTAACATTGACTGCAGCNGAGGCTCTCAGTGTGAAACTTGGTCATCGACGGGTGCGTCTTGTGCTGTCATGATCCATATGAATACTGACAGTGCCACGACAGAAACTCCAACGAGCCATCATCAGTGCATCCAAAGACAGAACACCCTTGCCGCTACTGTTGCACTCTGGCTCGCGCGACGAATCTACTGGCCAGGATGACTTCAAGAAAGGCCAGATACCACATTTCCAGCAACAGCGGTCCCANGGACTCGCAGGATCAGGAGGCTGCATCCCGGACCAACAACCCACCGCCGAGGAACAAACGAAAGTACAGACGGCATCCCAAAGTAGGCAAACAAGAGCGCACGTGGGTAGAGGAGGTGCTAAAGCAGTGGACGCACAGGCAGACGAGCACGCGCCAGAGCGACCACCATCGGCATATGTCATCTTTTCCAATCGTTCGTGTCGTCCTGGTCTTTGCACGACAGTCAATTGCTAATGTCCAGGTACGCANGAGATCCGCGACCAACTCAAGGGCCGCGAGCTCTCGTTCACAGAGATTGCCAAACTGGTAGGGGAGCGGTGGCAGGAACTACAAGCACACGAAAAGGAGCCATGCGAACGCGAAGCGCAGACGCTCAAAGATAAGTACTACTCGGAGCTGAAGAAGTACAAGAAGACGCCGCAGTACAAGCAGTATCAGGATTACTTGGTTGAATTCAAGGCAAAACACTCGGGTGAAGGCAATGTCCAGGGCCAGGGCCAGGGTCAAGGTCAGGGTCTAGATGGCGGGCCAGACTCCAAGAAAATCAAGCTCCGCAGCACTCAATCGCGTAGCTATGACGAGACGAACGTCGACGGCGACGAAGGCGTTGATGTTATGGACGGTGCGGATGGAGCCGAGGGTGATGATGGCATGGACGGCCTTGATAGCGCACACAACCAGGCAGCCTCGCCGTCCGAGAGAGCTCAACATTCGCCCTCCTACAGCTCGCCCGCCACCGAAACCTACCGCCAGTTTCCACTCCCGAAAGAGACGTCAGACGCCGGCAGCGCCTCGTCCTACTCCACTTGGCCGCCTGCTCAGCATGCCTTCCATACTTCCACCACCTCCCTCCACAGGCACTCGACCAATTCCACCCTCCGCTCCGATCATGCCCTAGACTCGCCCACCCTGCCGACCCACACCAGTGCGCCGAACAAACCCGCCCCCATACTCCCCTCTCTCAACCAATTGAGCTCCATCGCCTCGCGCAAGTCTTCCGACACGCCCCTTCTCAACTGGCCCCTGCATACCACATTACCCCCTCTCGACCCCAGAGCCATGACTCAACGCTCCGCTCCCAACTCTAACTACTCTCCGACAACCCACCACGTCATCCAACCAACTCCTTCCCTGCATACTTCGCCCTCGTTGCCCATGAAGGACTCTCTCGACCTCAGTTCCCAGAACAAGGCCTCGCTGTCCACTCTGCTGCGCGCCACCGAACATGTCGAACGCGATGGGGCACATCCTACCGACTCGAGCGTCCACAGACAAAGTCGATGATTATGGTTCCTCCCACACAAAAGAACTCCTGTATGCCGAGGAGACAATACTGCTAGCTACGCGTCGATACCGCCATGCCCATCTACCTCTTGCGATAACAAGACAACCCTTACTCGCCGCATAGAGCCCCATTTGGTCCGCGTACACAGCAGTCATCAGAGGAAGAAGAAAGGAACACCAAGGAAGAAAGAGACGTATCTGAAGGAGATCTCTGGGAAAAACTCATGTCACAGAGGAAAAAGGCCTTTTTGGTCGCGTGACTATTCACGATACAATAATGCACATCTCACTAGCTGCCCCCTTGAACCTGCCCCCGTCTACTCCGCCTCTGCTGGAGAGAATTGAAATTCTTCTCTTCATGTCCTTGGCTCGCTCTATGATTTGCTTCCCCGGATGGACGCGGTGAATATGTAACTCCAAAAGCATGATTTCTGATCTTTTGCTTCCGGCCGCGGGTGACTTCAAGAACGCAATCTCATCATTGCATGAGCCGGAGTTGATCCCTTGGGGGTTTCAAGACGATGGGTTTCTGATCATTATGTTTTTTTTTTGGCCCCCAAGCGGCATGACAACGTCTTGTGTATATTCGATAGCTTACTGCACTCTCGAGCAGCTTCTTTTGTCATACCGAAGGGGAATGTATCTAGCATCGTCAATCAGGAACGTCTGTTCTCAGCAGCTTCCCCACGCAAGTGCCTTCCGACCTCCGCCTCCAACTCGGCAGAAACAACAGGTTGTTGCTGCTGCCTCTGACTCTTCGCAGCACGCCCGAAAAGACAACTCCACAGATCATCATTGGGCACAACTTCACCGTCGCCCTTTCCCTGCACCAAAAGTTTCGAGATGGGTGCCTGTTGCAATTCAAGCGAGTTGGCAGCATCAATGGCGGCTTCACCCAATGCAGGAGTGGAGGATTTTGAACGTCGGGGTTCCTTTTTGTTGGCTTTTTGCATGTGTGCCAGACGTCTGGCGACTGAGATTTCGTAGATGGCTTCTTCGACAGTGTCGCCGATTAGGTACATGTATACTGTGGTGGGTCGCTGTTGACCGATTCTGTGCACGCGAGCGATGGCTTGGAGTTCGATTGCCGTGTTGATGAGCGGTTCAGCCAGAAACACGTATTGCGCGTTGACAAGATTGAGACCTGACGAATCGGTCTTCGCATCTAGGAGGAAGCACTCGATACCAGCATCACTTCGGAATCGATCAATGGCACCGGGCTTGCCCATACGTGAATAGCCGATACCAAATTGCTTGAAAGCGGTGCTGAGAACATCGAGAAACTCCCTGAACTGACTGAAAACGATTGCTTTCGCACCAGGGTCATGCTGGCGAATCCAGAGAATGTGTCGAGCGAGAGTATCTATCTTTGTGCCGAACGATCCATTTAGATCAATGGATTTGATCTGTGCAAGCGTGTCGCTATTGATGTCGGCATACAGAGCAGATCCCGGAGTCGCACTTTTACTAGAGCCCTGGCTCGGCGAAGATGGTTCGGACTGTTCCTCTTGTGCAAGCAGCTCCTGCGGTTTGTATGTAATCTGATGAAAGTCTGCGAGCACCAGATGGCGCTTACACACCGGGCAGGTGCGATGGGAACTCCACCAATGATTGATGCATTCTTTGCAGTATTGATGGCCACAAACGGTGAGAACACCCTGCTCGAAAGAGCCTTGACAAATAACACAGATTCTTTGTGTTTCTTGCGAATTGGTGCTTTCTTCCCGCAGATGAAGTAGGAAGCGATTCTTGGTCTTCAAAGCTGCAAGTGCCTTGGTTTGGGTCTCTTGTCGACGGGTTGCAGCTTCGAGAGCAGCTACATCGAGGGTATCGTCCCAGTCTTCTTTGTGAGGTGCGACAGTGTCCGAAATCACCTGGAGCTGGCGATAATATTCCAGACGCTGATTCATCGTTGCAGAGAACAGTTCGATCATTTCCTCGAGGCCTTTCAGGATTTTGTTCTCTTTCTCTACGATGAGGCCGAGTTGTTTTGCCTGGCCACGAATGATCTGAAGCTCAGCACCAGCACGTGTGTTTCCATCTTGCCAGTCGAGAGCAGTTTCGATACCACGGATCTCGTGCACCAAGCCACGCAAAGACAACAAGTCGTCAGGCCTCTGTTTCAAACGCTCACGTTCCGTGAGTAACTCGAGTATAAGCTCTGGTGCGTGTCCATTACCCAATCTAGCCATCTGAGCCAGAGAACGCATCTCCGCATCAACGAGTGGCGCACTCTGTCCAGTGATACAAGTCGAGCGATCGGCAACCATGGCTCTCAGAGCATCCAGATACGCGTTTAATGTATCTTGGGATTTCGTCGAGTCTTCGTATTCGTCACCGGTAGTCTCGACGTTATCCTCGTCCTTGTCGACCAGAGGCTTGAGCAAAAGCTCGGTAACCTTTTCTCTCCACTCATCAATGACTTTTGCTTGTGCATTCATGATTCTGGCAAGATCACGAGCTTTGTGAACNNCTTGAAATCGTTAGTCGTTTTGTCATGTACAGGTTCATCTAAAACTTACTATCTTGACATTCTCGACGCCCCCAGGGCTCTCTATGGTTGCCAGTCTGGATCGCTCGAGAACAACCTCTTTCTCTTGCTCTACCTTATGCATAAGCTTCTCAGCCTTTGAGGAATCTTCATTCAAGATTTCTTTGCGGGTCAGCTTGGCAGAGTCATAGAAGAGTGACTCTTGTTCCTCCAGTCCTCGAAACCTGTCCGAGTCTGGCTCGGTGATATTGTCGTTTGACTTCATCTGGAAGTACGAGGTGCCGATGAAGAAGGCACACGCATGCTTCAATTGCAAAGCAGAGTACAGAGCAACTCTGCACCGTCCCTCAGCAAGATCCTCTGTCGTTTTTTCGTCATCGGAATCGACGTGTTTCCTTTCGAGGTCATTCAGCCGAGCAGCTGCCCTAGCAACGTCGGTCCTACACTCTGCGACAATTCTTTCCGACGCCTCGAGTGCAGATCTGTAGATTTGCAAAGCCTTCTCAGCTCTGTGGTCATCATCCTTTGCGTTGCCAATGATGTGGCCACGAAGAAGCTGGGTATTGATAAGAAGACGAGATTCTGTACGAATCGACGTTTCGTTTTGATCGATCATGACCTCCAAAACTTCAGCCACAGTGCGCAACGGACCTTGACCACGTCCAAGTGCTCTTCTGTTCCTGCCACCGACTTGTGGATGCAGGCAAGTTTGACGTAGCTGACAGAGCCAAGTTCGCATCCTTTGCAACAATACAGGCGATCCCGGATCCCAATTATCCGTGAAAGGGGATCCATCAGAGCGACATCCACATTCTTCACACATCGTCTCAAATAACGTCTTGTAATTTTGTTCCTCGATTTGGGTAAATGGCATAGTCAAGACAACCCTTCTCTGAGGAGGCAACCGAAGTTCGTGCCGTACTTGATCTTTAGTGTGACGTAGCGTGATGCGACCAAACAACGACTTGAACAAATCTCCGTATTGGTGTATCAGACGATTCCAAATCGCGGAGGAATCGCAGAATGGTTGATACTTGAGGAACACCAGAAGTCCGAACAGATCCTGAACGTCCTTCTTGAGAGGTGTACCAGATATCGCCCAAGCATTCTCACGCGGCAGGAGAGAGGCTACTTGAGCTGCTGCACTGACACCCGATTCGACCATTTGTGCCTCGTCCAGGCAGACTCTCCACCAGTGCATCTGTACCAGAGGGCTGCGAAGTCGATTGCGCTTTCGCTCTCGAGTTCGCAGTGAACGCTCAGGGGGGTCGACAGCGAAATGAACCTCGCGAGACAATACAGCGTATGTCGTGATAACGACATCTCGCTGCGCCAAATCCGCGACAATCGACTGGGCTCCTTCCTTGGACGACTCAGCTTTAGAAATACCTTTGTAGTGCGTAACAGAGAGATGAGGAGCATGTCGAGCCAACTCGTCTATCCATTGTTGCAAAATAGTCTGTGGTGTGACGATAAGTGTCGCTCGAGACTTAATGAGCTCAGGAGCCTCTGCCAGTGCAGTATGCATCTCAGCAGAGTCTCGTCTATTGAGGCATATCAGCGCGATGATTTCCACCGTTTTGCCCAGACCCATCTCGTCAGCTAAGATAGCCCCTTTTGGTTCTTGGTATGTGCCATAATGTGACGGAGAGCACACGATACCTTCCATATGGCTGACAAAACAAGGCTGGCCGTTTGCATCAATGACTGGTAAGTAGGACAGCCGTTTTTGAGACTGGTCGTAACATGGGGTTTCTCGGTCAAGCATCCATGCGACGGCGCGTTTCTGGAAGGGGTATAGATCGGTTTCGAGGACCTTGTGTTCGACCTGCTCGGGTACGTGCGCATCGTTTGATGGAGAGTGTACACTAGCGTAGAACTCTTGTGGCGTCCAAGACTTTGCTTGAGTGCCTTGAGGCTCCGGAAAAAACTGGGTAAGAGTGGCCCAATCTTCTTTCTTGGTTGCTAGAGGTCCAAAGGCCGATTCACCATCAAACCATGTGATGCTGCATTCTAATGTGTAAACAGGACCGGAGAGGCCAGCTGAGCGATGCAGAAGGCAAGTAGATCGACACACGCCTGGTCTGACATTGCGTCTGGCTCGCTTCTCGAGGTTCGCTATGCGTGAGAGCAAATTGGCTGTGGTTGATGAGATGGATGACGTAGTCTGGACTCTCAATAAGGGGCTCTTCTTGTAGCTTGTGTGCCCAACTAGCGAGAGATAAGGCTGTGAAGTAGCCAGGTCCCAGGCATCGACAAGCCCGACTTCGATCTCATCCTCCAGCAGAGTTGATGAATTGCTGTGCTTGGTCGTGTCTGAAGATGGTCGTAGGTTGATGTTAAGGCGAGCAATTGTGATACCTGATTCGAGAGAACGATGTGATGGCTCGGAGTTATCTGCGGACTCGACTCTTGCACGTTTGCGTGGCCTGCCGCTATAGTCTTGTTGAAAAGCATTGCGGCAGTCTTCGAAGAATACGGAGAACGCTTTGGCGCCTTCAGCGATCAAACCTTGCTTTGGATTGTGCGACCTCAAATTGGCAGTGGACACTCCAGTATCCAATTCTGACGCCATCGTCACAAACTATACGATCCTGTCACTCCGGGATGTGGTTTGGTTAGCAAGAATAAAAGATGGAGGGCAACAAGTGAGCATCGAATGCGGAAAGTGCCGCCACTCTCGGCGATAAGAGACTAGGCCCGTTCCGAGGCTCACATCTCTCAGGGCGTTCCTTCCACACCATGTCATAAGAGTGAAGAGTGACAGTGGTTCCATACCCAAGCATGCAACGCGTGTAGCTATAGAAACGCAGAATGCAATTGAGAAGTAAGGCAGTGTCCATTGAGAGTCAACTTTTCATTGGCTCTCCTTGGCCACCTCCCTGCTTCTAAAAACAACTGTGCCTTTTTATAGTGCACTACTTTGCTTTGCCTGGTGAGAGGAGAGTGTGCTTTGTTGGTCAATAACTCTTACGAAATGCTGCATGAACAGAATGATGAACGTTCGTCGGGAAGGATAGGGATGATCAGTAAATAGGAATAACGCACAAATCTAACTCCCCCAGGCCATGTGAACTACGCCAGAAAATAGGAACAGAACGCTTTTCTACGCTTCCGTCCATGATGCACCGTCATGATAACCCAGGAAGAAATTAGGCCACAATGAGTTTCCTCCGACCGGAGGAACAGAAAACTTGAGCAAGAATCAACACTCCTATGCCTTGACCATGAAAATCTGTAGAGGAAGTTAGTTTTTGCACATGTGTTATCGCTGAAGGCTGGATGTACCTCTTTCATGGCTTGCGGATCCATGAATGCAAGACGCTTCTGCGCAATGTATCGCTGGCGAACGTTCTGTCTGCCGTACAACGCAGCCACTGGTGCAGGCTCTGCAGGAGTTCCAGGAGTCGTTGATGGCGTTGCAGTGCCTGACTTGGCTGCCTTCTTCTCTTCCTTTTTCCGTCTCTTTTCCCCCTTCTTTGCTTCCTTCTTTGCACGTCGTTCTGCCCGGCGTGCCTTCCGCTCAGCCCGTGTCTCGTCCTCTGAACCTGACGCATCGGTAGCCTTTCGCTTCTTGTCCTTCTTGCGTCTCTCCTTGGACTTGGATTCGTCTGCGCTTTCGCTGCTGGCATCCTTCGAAGACGACTTCTTTGATTTCTTGTCCTTCTTGGACCCCTTGGCCTTCTTTGCCTTGGGTGCTTCGTCAACTTCCTCATCGTCGTCAGAGTCGGAAGAGTCCGAGTCAGAGGAAGCGTCGTTGGTGCTCTGCTGTTCGGGTTCCGATCTCTTGCGCTTCTTGTTTGCTGCGTCCGGCGCAGACTTTGAAGGGGCGGACTTGGAGTTGGGCATTACGGTCGACTTGAGATCCATCTTGTCGCCGACCAGGAAACCTGCGCTGATGAAGTTGATGTTGCCGTATTTCCTGCCTTGATATAAGGCCAATTCGACGTCTCGTTGTGCCGTCTGCTGCTTCTCGACCTCTACCTCGGATTTGCCGTTCAGTCTGCCCAGGAGACCCGAGTACAGACTCAGACCGAAAGTCTCTGCATTGTTTCCTCCTCTTGCTGCGCCCAGGCCCAGGTTGTCGTCTTTCAAGAGCACGCGGATATGTGAGTTGCTACCGACGGTGTAGTGCGAGGCGTGGTTTGCGTCTTTGGCGCCGAGCGTGTCGCCAGGTTTCCAGCCCTGCGAGGCAAGGATCTTGTGGCCGAATGAGTCGGTTGCTTTGGCCCAGTTGTTGTTGTTGGGATCGTTTCCGATCTTGGAGCGGCGTTTGGGACCAGCGAGACCCATGTTGACGAGTGATAAGGTGGTGGTTGGTAGTGTCTTGTCGTCGTCTTGACGCGCGAGCAATAATTTTTCTCCACGGAGAGAAACCGAAATTTACCCCGCATTTACTGCCTCGTCCGCTCTTTCCTCTTTGATCCAGCGTACCGAACCGCCCTAATTCAGCGTCCATACCAACCCAACTCTCTTCAGAACAATACATCAGGATCGTTCGCAGTCTATCGAGATCACTGTGAGAAAACGTCACATACCGGTTTTTTTTGTCAGTCAGAACCCTTTTCCTCGTCTTGTCAGCCACCACAACCATGCCTCCCACCAAATCACAGAAAGTCGCCAAGGTTGCCAGCACTGAAGATGGATCCCAAGGCTTCGTCGAGAAGCAGAACGAGTTGTACAAAGTAGTAAGTTGCATGCCTAGTAAGCTTCTTCGACGTCTCTATCCTTGAGACTCGATTTCTGTCCTGCTCATGACTGACGCTTAAGCGCTTTCAAGGTCAAGGCTCGCCAGGACGAGGCGCGCTCGAAAATCCGCAAAAGTCGTACCTACAGGAACAAGGACTTGCAGGCGCGTATCAAAGCTCTGAAGCGTGGTCCGACAACCAAACAGTAAGTCTCTTGAACAACCTACGTAATCACAATCACAAACACATGTTGCTTCGGTANNAATGGTGACATGCATATCTGCCATCGCAATCACAAATGCCCATATNGCTGCACTTCAGCCACACATGTGCTTCGGCAGCCCTTGCCTTTTGGATGCATCGAGCCTCGAGGCACCGGAGAAAGCCAAAAACGCTAAAACTTTCGTTTCTTCTAGGCCCGGGAGCAACGCCGACGCGCCAAGTTCTGACCACACGGCCTTCGGCTCCCTTCGAGACCTGCTCGCTCGCAAGACCGACATTGAGCGACGCATCACTGAAAGCATCAATGTTCTGGAGGCGGCCATGCGCATCGCTTCCTCCGAGCTCCAGATTGTCCTCAAGTCGCGCTCCGAGCTTTCCGCGACTGCAACAATGCCTGCCAAAGCAAATGCTGCAACTGCAGATTCCAATGCCCTTGTCGTACAACAGTGAAAACCGCAGATCATCGACAAGTGTACCGTTGCTAGCCGCTTTTCTACGAATTACGATGGGAAATTGAATGACAGTCTGCCACCCGAAACCGATGTCTCTCAGGAGAAAATCACATGCATGATATTACGCCAGGGGCTGAATCGACGACCCTTTGCTGAACCCTACGAGCTCTGTCAGCCGCACTAGGTGGAGCTTGTCATGACTCTGTGGCATTCATTCTCGCTCCCACTTCCTTCAAACAACATTATAATCGTAGTTATAACAGCAATCCGAGTCATGCCAATTTCGAATGCGCTTTCGGTTTTCCATACCTGTATTTTGAGACTTCCGACTGCTTCTATGGCTTGTGATTCTTTGGGTCACTTGCATGTGCTCGAACAGTCAATCGGTTGGTGTGGCCAGAGCTGTGGCGCCTGCCGTGTGCCGCCAAACACCTGTTGCCTTCAAAGTGCTGACCTCACCATCCATGGTTGGCTTCGAATCTTCCTTAGCTCCTTCCTCGAAAGGCAACTGCTTTTTCTTGGGTGCATATGGCATTTGAAAAAGTCCATGGAAAAGATGAATAGACATTGGGATAAGGGTTTTGGATTTCTTGATGCTATGAGGTTTCGATTCGTTTCTTCGTAGTGGTAAATACATTGCATATGTCGTACATGATTCCGTTGCTTTTTGTACATTGAGAATTGAAGATGTGTTGGGTGAAGAAGGCGCTTTGTGTGGAAAACATGAAAAAAGGGTGGAAAAGCGATGCGATGAAAGCAGTGATTCAAGCAATGCATCATATGTCCAAGGAGAACTCAATGGCAAGATGTGTTTGATGCGAGAGACGTCTTCCACGCGCATGGGGATCCGGGTAAGAGCTTCGTGTATTTGCTCTTTGTGTACGTTTGTGTGTTCTGCTTCGTGGTTGACGAGTGCCGAATAGGAATGGAGGATGTTTACGGTGATCGCAGCCGTGTTCGATGATGCCAGAGATAAAGCCAGGCTTGATGACCAGTCCCATCACGAGGGAAAGTGCATCCCTACAGGAGACATGCTGATCGCGCCCTGGGGCATCTGTGCCGGGCGATGGAACATTTGCACCAACCGCTGTCCAATACTAGGCTCAATCTCTGTGCCATCGCGCGCGATCTTGATCTCTCTGTTCTCATTCCAGGGATTACGCAGACCACGGGTGCGGTAGAAGGGTAGTCGGTTCGTCGAGATCCAGTCGACCCGGAAAGATTTGCCCCACTCTTGCCTTTCTTGTCGGGCACCTGTTTCCTTCTCTTCTCGTTGGGTTTGCTGTAGTGTTGTCGCGGAAGCACCGTCGATTGCTGCTCCTTCTTCTTCTGTTCCGTCTTCAGGTGTGTTGTCGACTTCCCAGAAGATTGTGCCGCGTGCCGAGTCGTCTACGATGCGTCCCTTTGGCGCCCATTGTGTTGCCGGGGTTGGAATGGACTTTGGCCCGCTGTCCAGGTCTTTGGTCTTTGGCTGCAGTTCCGTGGGAGATGTTGTCGGTTCCGAGGTGATGGGGCTGGTCATGCGAGCATAGCCAAAGTATTCTCCAGACTTGTTTGCGGAAAAGACGAGGAAGACGTTGTCAGCGGNTCTGGAAAGATAGTCAGCTTGTGCTTGTAATGTGAGCGGACACGATCGAAGATTGGGGTTCCTTACCTCGTAAGCATGGTTCAGCGCAACCTCGTTGTGGCTCTGCGTGGCCCAGACTCCATTGCGCACGCTGGCTTCGAGATCCTGCAGCGTAAGACTCTTGACCACGAAGTACTTCTCAGGCACTCGTGCTGGACTGTGGCCATCGACCTTGTCGAGTCCGTCAACACCATCTACTCCATCAACGCCATCAACCTCATCGACACCATCGGCACCATCAACTCCATCGACACCATCAACATCGTCGACACCATCAACACCACCGTGCGGAGACTGTTTGTCTGGCGATGAACGGGCTGAACCATCCACAATGACCGGACCAGAAGATGTTCTTCGTAATCCTTTGCGACCCGACTTGTCTGCCTCGTTGGCGGATTCAGGAGTCGTTGAGTCGGGTATCGTCGAGGAGTATCCAGCGTTGGGGGTGCTACGACGAAGCCTACATACCAAACGCACACCCTGGAACCGAGAATCGTGGAATCTGACCATGGCAGCAGCGCACGCAGTCTCGTTGCGGTAGTTGACAAACGCACAGTTGCTCTTGGAGATGAGGAATAGACTCTCGATGTCTTTGGTTGCTTCGCGTGAAAAGTGGTCCTTGAGGGCGCCGATGGTTGTGCCAGGGGGCAGGTTTCCGACCCAGAGTGCATGGCCAGATTGTCTGGGTTTTCTTGGTGGACCTCTGGGATAAGATGGTGTGGGCTGAGTGACCAACTCGGGTCTGGGATNGGCCTGTACGATCAGAGTCAGTGTCTTGCGCTTAGCTTCTGGATCAAAGATGATGGAGATGTCTTGCAGTTCATCTCTCTGACCACGTGGAATAGACGTACTCAAGTATGACACGGGATGATTCGGCTGGTTGTTGAAATCGAAATTGTTGGAGGGCATTCCGGGCATCATTGAGTACCCTACGATGGGCTGTCCCTGGCGTTGCATGCCGAGCTGCGAGGGAGGTACACTGTAGGAGTTGTGATAGTAGTGGGGAGCCATACCAGCGGCTTGCGGTTGGTTGCGCAGACCAGACATGGGCATCGTCATGTTCGGTGGATAAGCCTGAGCTCCATACTGGTGCAACTTTTGCGGTCTAAAGTTCATGCCTGGCGCCTGCACAGGCAATCCATCAGCGTGGGATGACGCTTGTTGCGCGAAAGCTCTGGCAGAAGTGGACAAGGGAGAAGACCCAGGCAGTGTAAGTCCTACCGAGCTCATGTCCAGCCCATGCATCGACTGCTGGTACTGATAGTTGGCATATGGGTTAACATGTTGCGAGGTCGATGTGCGAGACGTCTGTGAGAATGCACCGAATTGCGAAGAGAAAGGTGCATGTTCTCCTGGAGTCGTGAAAGTTTTCTCTTGCGATTGGCTCACTCCATCCACTTGCGTGGGACCCTGGTAATCCGAGTAGACGGTGTTTTGCCGATCGTGAGATTGTGGTGTCTCTCCCATTCTAAGAGAGTTTCAATCCTTGCTTGTCGCAATTCAGCAACGGCAAAGTCTTGGAAACAACTCTGCTCAGATTTGAGTCAGCTAGGACTAGATGAAACTTGACAAAGAGATAGCAAGTCAGTGTAGTGGTCTTTAGCTTACACAGAGCCTCAAATGATCGATCGAACGGACTATGTGGTGCCGCGTAGGAGAAAAAAAAGCCAACAACGAGAATCTGACCACGTTACTCCTCCATGCCAAAAACAGGTAATGCGGCTAGGCTAAGGGACGTTGCGAACAAAGGAGGAAGATGCTAACGAACAGATGAAGTAAAGAGCAAAGAAGAGAAAGAGAAGGCAAGCTGGCGGCGTGCGGAAGAGGCTGGTGTGACAGAGGGGGCTAGCTCAAATGAACAAGTGGAGAGGGGGATCAAGACGGGAATCCACATTGGCATGACCAGAACCACATGGCGGTAAACCTTTCTCCATGACCTGCCGGATCGTCAAAAGACTACCGTCGAGGCTCATCGATAAGGGTGGGGATAGTGCCGACGAACATGCCATGGACAGCAAAGAGATCGGGAACTTACAAACTCGATGGCTTTGCGCAATGTGCGAAATCTAAGAAGCCCACGCTAATTTTGGGTCGCAACGCGGAAGCCTTGACTAGAGTCGTGTCGAGACCAGTGTTGCATCTGTGCAGTCCTTCGAGTGGCTCTGCTGTCAACGGTAGTGACGATGTGGCTGTAGACACAGCTATGCTAACGGAACGAGCAACAGTGCATATGTTAGATGAATCAAAAACAAAGAGCGGGAACAGAGAGATGGCTAAAGCCTCCAAGCAAAGAGAGTATATCTTTTATCTATCACTCAAAGGCCTGTAAGCAGCTAGGGCCTGCAGAGCGTCACTCGCGCCACTGAGCAACTCTGCATACAATTAGACTCTGTCTTTCCTGCCGGTAAAAGTGTGTGTCGCTTAATTGGCCATGTGCAAGGACGAGAGCATGCAGGGAGCGTTTGGATCGGGAAAGCTCTTACACGGCTCAGGGCTCCGGTGGCAAAATTCTAGAGACCACATTTTTGATTTGCTCGAGCTAATGGTAGCCCAGATGTCTCTGCATCGAGAACACCTTGAAAGCCTTTACGATATGTTCTCGAGCAGGAGTTCGCTCTTGATCAATTTTCGAGTTCTACAACAAACCCTCACCAATGGAAAGTGAACGCACCAAGGAGCAGCTTCCGTTGAAAAAGTCAGGGCGTTAACGTGACATTTCGGAGAAGGTCCCGAAACGAGTGAGGCGCAAGAGCCGCAGGAGATTGACAACGACTTTCTCATTTGTCGCTCGGACTTGCCACCGTTCAAGATGCAGAAATGAAAATATACTTCAGATTGTGCCGGTATTTTCCTGACGGTGCTGCAATGGCCTTGGAATCGAATGGTCTCGAGCCTTCTTTAATCTCGGTGCTCCCACAGGCTTTGCTTCGGGACATCTTCGTGTGCTGGTCACTATCACGGAATGGCTGCAGAAATGCACAGCACTTCTCAGGTCAGCTTTGTCCATGGAGAGCCGTTGACTTGAAATTATCTCTGTGCACACGCTTGTAACAGACTCGCGCAATCCCTGGCTCTGTAGCTCAATGACAGCGTTCTGAAAATGGTGTGGTTCGTGAGATTGTGACTCGATTCAGTACGCGAGGAGGTATGTTTTGCAAGTCGCAGTCGTTTCTCAAATGCTCGGGACTGCGTAAAGGCTCTTCCCGAATCATGCATCATCGTGTTCCTCAAGCGAACTGGTGTCTCTAGTCAACTGCCAATCATACATGTTTCCGAGGCATCTCAGCGACGAAATAAACGGTTCGTAGAGGCTTTCTCCGAGCAGTGGACTGCAGTTTCGAAGAACCCTGGTCGTCTAATTTTCCCTTGGCGCATAGTGGGTGCAACCCGTCGAGAAGGGCATGACATGGTCTGTACGACCAGTCGTATGTCGTTGCACGCATGTACCCTGTAGCGCAGCTGAGCCTCAGGGACAGCCTGCGGCTCGAACAAAGACTGTGGAGCCAGGCTAGAACGAGGATACATGCCTACCTAGACTCAGCCTCGTTCCCGCGACACAAAAGCAGCCACAGGTCGAGACACCTTGGTGCTGTCATCGTTCACGCTAAATTTCTACAAGCCGCTATCACGTCGTTACGGGCTTGCCAAATGCAATCAAAAGAAGCGAGCGTGACTGAGGAAAAAAATAGACGGAACAGGAGTCCGAAAAAGCACAGACGAATTTCTGGAGTGACATTTCACATCGCGCACACGGCATTCTCAGAGAATGCCATTCTCATAAAGTCCGAAAGTTGTAGATTCGAGTCAAAGCATTGCCAGCTTCACGAACGTTGCAGTCGTAGGCCATCACGATTTCGTGTTCGTGTCGTAGTCACACAGGCAGCAACTTCCCCTTGCCCTCTACTAGTTGTCGTCCTCGCGAGAATCTAAGATTATGTATGCCTACGCTGATAGCGGTTTGCGAGAATGGCACTCCCCGCAGAGGCGAATATTATTGTGGATACCTCTTTTCGCTGCTCTCTATGATGTGATTTTGAAACCTTCACGCGAGTGCTCGAGGATGACACCGACCACAAGCTAAAGGGACAACAAAACCAAGAGGCTTCAATAAAGAGACTTTTGGCAATTTGAAAAGCTCTCGTGGAATAGGAATACAAGTCCAGGGCACATGCGCAAGGGGTGTGCGGACTTCGTTTGGAGATCGGGGGAGTCGTCTCCGCTCAAAACCAACCGTGTATGCGGTGTAGCCTTCCGTATGTTTTCCGAAATAAACCGACGGAAACTGCTCGACATTTCTTGCCGAGCCACTGGTATTCATGCATTTTTCTAGACCACATGCTGCATAAGACCATGTTCATGTCACTCTGATTCTGCTCATGGATTGCTACATGGTCTGCTTCGGTAGAGTGTTTCTCGCTTTGCCACCTCTTAATATTCGCAACCGATCTTCCCCATTTCGCCACACATCCACGTTATGTGCAGCAGAGGAAACGAAGCCTTGATGGAATTTGGTCAGTGTAAGAACCAACAACATGTTTGAAACACTCGCCATGTGCTCGATCTTTGGCCTTACAGCCTCTTGACATCGCTCTTGCGGGCAAGATAAGATGCAAAGAAGGCGGCACAGTGGAGAGTTGCTCAGAAAATCCATATCATCATTCTGGATTCTTTCTGGCACCATCTCGCGAAGGAATCCGCTCAGGCTGACAATGGTAATCACTTTCGGCATTATGCTTGTCACGTTGTCGGTATCAACATGACCGACGAAAAGGCTGCCCCCTCCAATGATCAGTAATCTGTAAATGTGTCAAATGATAACGCACCTTATCACCTCCAACCTCGAACGAAGTGGCATATTACGCAAGCGATGCACTATCGACACCTCAGACCGCAGAGTGACCGTTGTTGGAGGCTCTGCGGCACTGTTGGCAGAGGCTCCGCGGCACATCGCCGGAAGCCTTTCTGTCTCGAGACGACATGCAGTAGCTATGTTGCTCCAGATCATCATACCACCCTCCGACATCTATAATGTGTCTACACAACTGTCACTCGCAGCTCTAGAACACACCATAAACCCGGGACAGCATTTCACCCATCAGGGATCCGGGACCATATTCCTCTTAGAACTCGAGAGGAAAGCAAACACAGAGAAAGACATCTTGCCATGACTCGAATTTTACCATCACTACTTGATCACAAGGACAACAAACGCTTTGAATTGACTACAAAGGACAAGAACCGCCTCAACACGACACAACAAAGAAAATCGTTCAACTCAAAGAAAATTTCCCTTCTTCTTCTGAATGCAAAACTTAACCAAACTAGACTAACTTGACTCGGGGTTTTTCCAGCATACAATCCTTTCGATATGGTCTTTAGACGCCACTTTCCAGACTCTTTGATTCTCGCAGGTCTTATGAGGCTTGAGGATGCGCTCGCGAGTCCCCGTAATTGACTTGTTTCGAGCAAAGTCTTGCATAGACTTCGAGTCGTCTTTTGGATGCCTGCTTGACTGGACACACCTTCTTTCAGCCGTGTACTCGCAAGACTTTTTGCCTTGGGATGCGGCAGGACGTCTGCCATCATACTGTGAGCCCAAAGTCCGTCATTCAAGGGGACCATGCCTGGGATTCATAATCCCGCTCTAGGCGTAGAGATACTTCCGCTCTGCACTTTCCAGACAAACCAAACACACTACTCTCATACCCCCTTTCTCTCTAAGAAGAGGCTCAAGGCAAAGGCAAAATCACCGCCAATACATTTTACTCACCTCCTCCAGTCAAACGCACATTCAAAGACTTGTATATACACTCATGAGAAGGGGGAGACGGGGATTTTTTTCTCAAACATGTGCCCGCAAGGTCTAGCATCAAGAGATCCGCTTCGTTCACTGTAAATCTTGATAGGAAGTAAGGGCTCTCTCTGCAGCCCCAGGCGTTAAAAAAAGGGTTGAATGTAACCAAAATGAGACAAGAGGGAAAGAAAAAAGAGCTTTGTCTCTCCAATCTTTTTGACGGCAGTCTGTTCCCCCTGCTACTCCAATGGATTTTTTTTGACACGAAAGAGTTTCACAGAGACGGGATTGCGAGTTATGTCATATCTTCACATCATGGACCCAGACTCCCAGATACCCCTCACTTTCATCTTTAGAATAACATCGGTAGAACGTTGCCGTATATCTGTACGAAGACTACTTTTTTTTTGTTATCGGTCGTTATGTGTATCCTGAACTTTTGAAATGCCATGGTAATTTTTACTTTATACCGATAACTAAACACTGAAAAATTGTGCAATAATGTGCACCGCTACGCTATAACAAATACTATGTACAAAAGTGCAGAAATGGGTATCTCAGGGAGGAGGAAAAATCAAGCGCAGTCATCTCCGCTGGGACGCTGAGAGGGTCCACCGCGCTTATGCAGCCTATCCGCAATCCAGACCTTATCAAGCGGGGATACAAGACTAGGGTTGATGAAGCGCATGCCGCTTTCTCTAGACTCATCGACGGTGAGTCCGTGATTCGACTCTCGCTGGTAGCGATGATGGTCATCAGAGTCTGCTCCATGTTGTTCTGCAGATGCATAGTCGGCATGCTCTGCTCTTCTGACACTCTTGAGGGCGATAAACTCCATCAACGGCTTGTAGGTCCTTCCGAATACGAGGAAGAACCAAACGCTGCCAACGACAAGAGGAACCAGCATGATACTCCTCAACAGAGCCTTCTTGAGGGCGAGCTGACCACCAACAGTTATTTGGAAGAGGATGATACCAATCTGTACGCGATCGCAAATCATGATCCAGCTCTTGCCGGTAGAGTGCTGACGATGGTCCATAGCATAGAGAAGCTGGTACTTGTAGACAAAACTTCCAATGACAAAGTAGATCAGACCAGAGAGGATGACCTTCCAGCTATCTCTCAAGACACTGTAGACGACGCAGATGATGAAGATGAGAATAGTCTGAGGGAGATAAAGGCCGTAGCTGAAGCGAGGGGGTTGAATGAGTTCGGCGTAGTCTCTGGGTGTTTTGGCTCCCATGAGACCGATGGGGTAGAGAGCCATGGTTCCGATTTCCAAAAGCCTAAAAGGGAACAGACCAAGACCCTGCAGAATGATATAGTTTGTATAGAAGGGGAGGAGGTTCTGCAAAGAAGATGCGAGTGTCCATGCAAATCTTGTCGTATCTCTGAGGTTCTTGCCGATATCTTTGTACTGATCGTAGAAATTTGAAGCCGTACCGAGGATGGTGAAGACGATGAAGAAGTTGAAGAAGGTGAAGAAGAAGTTCTTGGAGATGACAGACAATTCGACATCACCCTGAGAAGTCATACCCTGGCAATTGGAGAGCCNCTGTGGAGAGTTAGTATCTCGAGAATCGAGTATTGAACAAACATCAGACTTACAGTCGTATAGGTAGGGCACAATAGCATTGAGAAGAGTCACGGCAATGGTAGGGAGTTGGTTGGTGACAAGTTGTCTGACCAAAGGGTGCGAGTCGAGGATCTCGGCAAGAGACGGAAGGAACTCGCGAATGGTGTCGGTGTTCAAGAAAGTAGCAATAGGAACGAAGGTAACGGACCAGAAGACGGTCAACAGCAGAATGAAGGCGGTAATGGACCACGAGCGGAACATGCGACTTCTCCTGCTAAGATACGTGTTAGTCCAGACGATGTCGGCAGGTGCAGGACTGGGGTTGGCCAAGAGTTGCAGCGGTGAAGGGTCGAGGACAGCCTGGCAGGCCATCTGGCAAGCAGCAACGCTATCCATTGTGACAAAGGCCAGAGGGACGGGGTCGAAAGTTTTGGTGCGTAGTTCCCTGATCTCGTCGTCACACACACGTAGCTTCTCTTCGTAGTAGTCGATGGCGTCTACCTGTCGGCTGCGCAGCTTGAAACGTCCAAAATAGATTTTGGCCTTGGGTCGAACTCTGGCGTAAGGAGTCTGCGCGGGCATCGCATCGTCTGAGCGTAGTAGACGACGGTGTTCTTCGTCATCATGCTCATCATCCTCAGGNNGGTTGACCGAGGGGCCAGGTGGTACAGGCTGCACGACTGGTAAGGCCTCCAGGTTCCGCTCGATAGAACGCTGGCCTTGATAGACAGTGTAAGCCTCTTCGAGACGGCGTAGAAGATCGTTCCTTCTGACAATGTGCTTGTCCAGCTCAGCCCATTGGCGGCACATCAACACGCTCTCGACATTGCCAATGCCCAGCTCTTGAATAAAATCCTTGATCTTGTCTTCGGACTGCAACTCTGGCGGAATACCCGATAGACGGATGGTGCGGTCGGTGATTGTCGTCTGGGTACCCAGGTACTCTTGGCGGACTTCGATGATGTTGCGCGTCTCGGAGGTGATGAGATACAGGGCAATGGCGGTAAAGACGTAGGCAAAGACGGGATACATCCATAGATAGTCCGTCTCGACCTCGGGCATCCATGGGGCAGAGTGGTTCATGGGCATCCACGACTCGCTTCTCTTGCGTAGTTCGTAGTCGAAGTCGTAGTCGGGCACAAAAGGCAGGGTCGAGTTCTTTGGCTTCTTGTCATCGTCGGGATAACTGTCGTGGACGGGCTTGATGACGACGAGCGAGAAGAACAGGGTCATGGACAGGAACTTGATGGCTAGCTTGAAGAAGCGGAGGAAGACGTAGGCGTCCAGACCAGCCGAGGCGAGGACTTGTTGTTCGGTGATGCGCCAGAGCGGCAGCATCCATCCAAAGAGGGAGTTGGACAGGTCGGGCAGAGCAGAGCCCTGGTCTTTGGTCTTCTTCCTCGCTGCATAGAGGCCGCTCCAGCGCGGCCGCAAGATGCAGAATGCTAGAAAGGCGAGCACTCCAAGCGCCAGCGACAGCTCGACCTGGAGCGCCGTCGAGCGTTGCTTGCCCCGAACATTGTTGGGGTCGTCCTTTCCTCCAGCCGTGAAAAAGTCGTCCATCGCTGCAGGTGCAGAAAGTAAACAATCCAAACTTGCGTCGACCGCGACTTCTTCTCCAGACTCAGACCCAGACCACTTTCAGGCCGCCTCGTCATCGTACACCGCAACATGGTCAATGCGCAAGCCTCCTTGATTTGCTCCTGACCACAACCACCAGTGTTTCGCCTCACAGACAATGTCTGCCTCGACCATCGCCTTTTCTTACCGCCACATGTGTAATCGCTGTGTAAAAGGAGGTTGGGAGTAATAGAGTCTTGGCACAAGTCCGTGATAGATGGGCATAACGCTGACCGCCTCAATGAATGACCTTGATAACCTTGTCCCCCGAACAAGAAACCCATCTCAAGCTTTGCATGCCCAGTAATCCCTCTCGCCTGTACCAATCCATCGCCAACACCACCGACATTGCAAAAGAATGTCTTTCTCGTCTCTTGATTCTCCTTTCTCACCCATCAAACTTCTTCCCCATCCTCGTCCCCACGCCCATTTTCGTCCCCATTCTCGTCTCCATCATCATCCCCATCCACTGACCCATCTGTATCATGTGTCCCATTCGTTCCATGCGTTCCATTCATCCCATTCATCCCATTCGTTCCATTCGATCCGTTCGTCCCATTCGTTCCTATTGCCCTCCTCGCCTCCATCTCCTGCGCTATCAGCTCAAGCTCGGCCGATTGACAGTGCGAACAGTGTATCGGCTCTGTAGGTATATACAACCCGCCGTTGCTCGTATACGTCAGAAGCTGGTTGCCGGGGTGGTTCCAATCACCGCAAACGCCCACAGTGCATTGTGCGAGTTTCTGAATATTGTGTCCGCACGCTGCGTAGAATATGAGGCGCCATCTGCACATGGTGTGTGATGAGTTTTGGAGATGAAGAATTGGTGGAGTGGAGTTGGTGGAGTTGCTCGATGACTTGACGATGAAGCTGATGATGGAGTTGATGGTCGCTCAATCAGGAGATGGTGATTCCTCGATGACTCTGGGGCTGCAAAATGAAGAGGTGATGATTGCTCGATGAGGATTTGATGGGTCGCTCGATAGCACAACAGTCAGAAGATAATAGTTTGATGGTAGGTTGATGGGATCGGTGGACGACAGCTCCTGATAGTCTAGCTGATTTGCTGGAGAATCGCACGATGAATGTTTCCCTCTGACTGAATTGTCGATTGAAGAAATAGCAGATGGACACTGCCGATCGAGGAATAGCGGATGAGAAATGGTTGATGGAACTATGGCTGATGGAAGAAGTGCTGATTGATGTTGATGTTTGCAAGGATTTTGAGTCTGCAAGATAGATGGCAGGCGCTTTCCCTTCTGTCCAGCTCAACAAACAATCCGCTTCGTCATTCCAAAACCACCAACTTGTGGAAAGAGCAATGCTATTGATATCATTCCCCATCCGGCAGCAACCCAGAACGCCTCTTTACAACAAACATATGCACCAGATTGGACCTTTTGTAATCCCAAATCTTCTTGACCCCATCAATCAACGAAACGCCCCATGACACTGCTATGAAAGTATAGAGAGATACGAAATGTCTATCCAGAAAAGGTACAGATTTTATGCTCTACCTCCAGACAGTTTTGGCAGAGGGAATATCCTTCCTCGCAGCCATGCTCTGTGTGCGGATAGGAGCCACGCGCATGCTTCCAGTCCCAATGATGCTTTCCCGAGAAACGTTCCGCAGACTGGGCATGCTGGGTGCATTCTTAACCACCGGTGCTGAACGTGGACTCAAAACATTCGTCGCCTCGCCTTTCTCGCTCTTAACCATCCGGCGGGCATGACTTGCTGTAAAAAGATTGTTCTCATTGGATGAGTTCGGGGAACCACTTGTCTGGGCGGCGGGACTGCGTCTGCGATGCCTATTCGAGCCGGAGGATACGCGCCTTCTCATCGCAGACTGGATTTGTAGAGCCGAGTCTTGAAGTGATCTTGTCGGGTCTTCGTTGTCGGAAGCACTGCTGCCAGTGTGATCATCGTTGGCAAACTCTGCAGCTTTCTGCAGACGAATCGGGATAGGCGATCTCTTTGGTTGGAACGTGCTGTTAGCTTCGATCTCGCGCAAAGGTGATAGATTCTCGGACGCTGCCGTTGCGAGGTTGGATAGTGCTGGCATCACAGGTGATCCATCACCTTTCTTGAGGAACCCCGCTTGGAACCGGCTGTTTCTCGAGCGTAGCTCAGATGACGGTACTGGTGGAAGAGGGATGGGACTAGAGTTTGGGCTATCAGAATGATCTCCTAATTGAGATTGTGAAGGAGCGAACTGTGACGTATCTGGCTCATTAAGCGAAGAATCCAGTCCGGGCGGTGTTGGTTGGAATTCTTCCAGCTTGCCATCTTCGGTATCATCCCGCCATCTCACACCACGCTTTGCAATCTTGGCCGGTGATGACGACTTCTTCTTGGGTGTACCGCCATTGAAGGCCACAACCGTAGACTTTCTAGGGACTCCCAGTCTTCTTCGCTTGGGCGACGCTGGAGATGGTCCCATGTTAGGGGACTGTCTGAATTGTGGAGCGATCATGCTTGGGCGAATCTTTGATTTTATCGGAGAAGGACCCGCCAGATTGATTGCCTTCTTCTTCTTGGGCGTCCCTGACTTAGTCGGTGGTACTGCTTCGATGATGGCAAGACCGCCGTCTGGGCGGATGACTTGCGAGGTAGCCTCTGTGCATGAGTTGAGTAGCTTGGTGAGGACCATCTTGGCTGCCTTGACAGCTTCTTCCTCATCCATCTGCATGATCTGACCGAGAATTGCGATAGTCTCAAAGTGTGCTTGGAGCAGGACTTGTACAAGTGCGGTATCGCCGGTCTTTTCCTGGTCGAGAACGGCTGATTGCGCGTCTCTCTCTGCTCTGCTCCGCAGCACCTCGACCTCTTGCTTCAGGCTTGCAACTGCGGGAGATGTCATGGACGTTGAAGCGTCGACTTCTTGCATTTGACGTATGCCATTTTGAAGGGCCGTGTCTAGAGAACGCTCCCAACTTACTTTTGCAAGGCGCTTGTGATAGTGCTGTCTGCTTCCCTCGAGCTCGGCGAGAATTCCCACAGCTGTTTTACGCATGGATGTCAAGCTGAGCGGTGGTTCCTCATCCTCGCGGTTCTCACTTATCTGGTCGAAACTACCGATCCAGGCAGAGATGAGGCCAATTCTGCGCTCGATTTGTCGCAGTCGCTTCATATTGTTGATGTACTCCTTGCGTTCATCGCCTGAGTGGTCGTATGCCGCACGAATCCTGGCAAGAGCTTCTTTGAGTAAAGCACTCCTCTTGTCTTCGACCTTCTTGAACTTGGTGAAAGCGAGAGATTCGAACTCCTTGTGCTGGGCTTGTAGATCCTTGATGAGAGCCATCTGTTCGTCAATCTTCTTCAGATAGTCCTTGACGTGGCGGTCAACATTAAAGACGTTGCGGACGGCCTTGGTCTGGATGTTCTTGGCTCTGTTGGCGTAGCGCAGGGTGTTTTGTGTTTCGTCGAAATGTACGGAGCTCGGACTGACGCAGACTATCATGACGGTTCTGCAATTTCCACCCAGACTGAATTTGAGGAGACGGGTAAGTTTGCTGTTGCGATAGGGTACGTGGTTCTTCTTCTTTGGATCGCACAAAGCATTGATACATGAGCCCAAAGAGAGCAAGGACTTGTTGATGTTGGCACCCTCGAGCAAGCGCTCGCCGCGGTTCTTTGTCGCCGAAGCTCTTTCTGATCCAGCCAAATCAATGATTGAGAGAGTCGCAAAGGTGGTGGGTTCGGAGTGGCCGGCATTACGATCCTTCTGGGCGACGTTGATCTGCAGGACGGCGTGGGATCTGGACGAGGTTGCGTTGGCTTCGGTGGGTGACTGGGTGCGGTTTTCGTTTCCTCGAATGAGCATGTCCATGACTTCGTTGACNNCTGGCCACATGTTAGCTGAGAAGCCTTGTTGTAGGTGAAGGTGTACGATACAGACATTTTGGGGACGATGCGAGGTGAGGCCTGCGACCGAAACAGCCTGGTTGGCGTCTTCGCGCAGCATCAGGCCCTGGCCTCGCTTGGTGACCTCGCCGACGGGAATGAGCAAGTCGCGGATCGTCTCGTTGTAGATCTCGAGATATGAGAGGGTGACCTCTGTTTGTTTCTCCTCCTGCATCTCGCCAATCCTCTCAAACATCTCTTGCATGGTCAGAAAGATGATACCTGGGTGTTGGGCTGTGCNCTCTGCTCGTCGTGTCAGTGTGTGCATGGCGTCGGATTCAGGTGTCGGCACATACGTGATGGTGTGTGTTTTACCGCAGCCCGTGGCACCGTAGGCGAAAACGGTGGCATTGTAGCCGTCAAAGACGCTGTCGAGGAGGTTCTTGGTGGTGGCTTCGTAGACTTCGGCCTGGGTTGTGTTGTCGTCAAAGACTCGATCGAAGGTGAAGGGCTGATCCTTGGTTCTCTTTCCTCCCATGCCCGGTCGCAAGCGTCCTTGCGTAGATGAGTCTTCCGGGTCGAAGATNNCCTGACGAGTTTGTTAGTGCTTTGGGCGGAGCGGTGCCAGGCTGTGGGCATACAAGCATTTCTCATCCATGACCTTGATGACGGATCTGATGCCTTTGCCGGCATGACGTTGGACAGGCGCAGCAGCCAAAGAGCCGTCGCCCAGGAAGAGAGGACCATCGTCGACGCGGGTCAGTTGTGCAGCCTCGCGGATGGTAAAGGGCCTGACGCGAACGGCGACGGTGATGGAAGAGGCGCCGTCGATTGCGCCGGCCATGTTTGCGGCGGCTCAAGGCAGTATTTGGTGTAAGAGGGAGCTGCGCGCAGATAAGACGGTGACGATAGAGGATTGACAGCCGCCAGGGCGTGTCGCAGTATGAATTGGCTAATTCTGCTCGGTTGTTGTTTTTCAGCTCCTTCCTCGAATCAACAAATGATGCATCTGCCTCTTGCTTTGTTTGCTCTTTCCCTCTTTGGGAACAATTGTGGGGCCGCAGCTTCAGGCCGTCAGGGTCCCTTCCCAATCATCTTGCCAACACCAACATGTTATCGTTACACAACCGTCTCATCCTTGAAGTAAATCTATACTCTCGTGTAGCCCATTTTCTCGTAAAGATTGACGTACACTTTCGTAGCTCCGATGGTACTTTATGCCATTGCTGGTGAATTTTTCATCAACTACTAACGCCATCTCTGAACGCGACTTCGACATCATACTCGTGGATCCATGCAGCATACGGCCTCTTCTTCAACTTCTCCCTAAGCTGCTCATCCGTCTCATCCGTCTCCTCTTCTCCTCCTCCCCATAGTCGCTGATTGTTCATACCATACATTGCATGCGCCACTCTCAGCACTTTCTCACAATGCGGTTTGCGTACCGCAACATAGCGTTGCAGGACCTGCTGTAACTCTTCTGCTGTCAGGCTCAAATGTCCATCTGAAGACACCTTGTCGAGAAAGGATAGGTAAAGACAGTAAGCATCGTCAATACCCAGAGAAGCATTTGCAGCCAGTGCCCCTCCATGCGAATGTGCTGCATCGCCCACAAGCACAACCCGACCCCCAAATTCATACGAGTCGAGAAAGCCACCGTAAAAATTTGGATATGTGCGTACATGGGGTACAGCTCCAACGATGTTTCTCACAACTGGATGAAAGTCGTTGTACAACTCCCGGAGCGTGGCTGTATCTGTTGTTGCATCCCAGGACGTCTTTTCCAGCAAGTGTTGGTTTTTGGAGGGATCGACGCTGTGGAAGGCTACGATGCCGTACCTGCCTCTGCCTATTCTTGTGCCTAGGATACCATCTCGAGAAGACCANNCTGTTGCCAGAAATTAGTCACAAGAGGTTAGGAGACGGGAACGCAGACTTACCCATTGTGATGTGTCTTCCGGCAAGTCCTCGACATTATCAAGCAGGTTGACATCGAAAGCAGAGCGATATGCAATCAGTCCCGACCACTTGAGCTCAAAGTCTGGCACAGAGAAACCACGAACAGCTGAGCGAATGCCATCTGCACCGACAAGTAAGTCTGCATGTACGCTTGTACCATCCGCAAACTCAACGTTGACACCCTCTTCCTTGATCTTGACATCGACGGCTCGCTTGTCAAGGTGTATGATTTCTCTAGGCAGGTACTCCAGTATCGTCTCCTGCAGGCACGGTCGATAAAACCTCGTCATCTTATGCTTTTCCTCGACATGTTCTGTATGCCGCTCTCTTCCCACAACTTCATTAGTCTTCCAGTGTCTGTAACCGTCAGTATTCCCATCATTCGAATACACCCCGACACCTTACCTCAATGTCTGCGGTATGCCGCTAGGACACCTATATCCCAACTCATCAGAGAGCATTTTATGTAATCCCAACTTCTCAAGCGTGCGTAAACCATTAGGATTGATAGCAATAGCCTGCCCCAACTCTCGAAGCTCAGTCGCCCGTTCATAAATCTGTACATCCACATTCGGTAGTTTGCGTAAAGCAATCGCAGTAGTGAGACCAGTGATNNCCTAGATCAACGGGGGTCAGTAAAACGACATCTCAAAAGCAGATCTGACATATTATCACACACCAGCACCGATGATAACGATCCGCAAAGTTGCTGTCTCTGCCATTGTTGTCAAGTAGTCATGTCGAAAAGTGTGATGCAGATCAGAGTGTTGGACTTGGGCAAGCTGCTTCTATATATCCCTCACAGAAGGATCGCTTACTGTAAATAGGGCTGCTCATATAGTGGTGGGGCCATGTTGCGTTCGCTGATTCGCCACGTCCAATGTGCGTGCTGAATTGTTCGTATACTCGCCCAGGTATCTTCGTACAAGTAGACTGTGAACAGCAACCTTGTCCCGACTGAAAGCATTTTGCAACAGCTCGTCAGCTCCAACGTTCACGAAGATTTCTCTGATCAAATGATGTTGAACAGCGTGCTGTGAGTATCCATCGTGAACCAAACGTCAAGTCTGTTATCTATCAGATGCTTCATATTCGTGGGTATCAGCCTCTACGTAAACCTGCCATCCCAATTCCGGTTCTACGCGTCATAAAAACCAGACGGACGTCGTTAAGAACAGAGGGCCACTTGCTCAACCTCCTAGACCACCCGCCCCTGCTGTCTTCCCCTTGGTATATATGTGTGGACCGAGCGAGAAGAGAAAAAAGAAAAGTCATGCCCCCATAACTGTCATGCTGTGTAAAAGTGGTGCGAAAGCCTTGGTGGGCTCGAAGAAAGGTAACAACGCCGATTACGCCTTTTTGGGAGTCTTTTCAGCTCCGGAGCCGCTGGAAATGCAAGTTCAACAAGGAGATTGAGAGACTTTCGCTTAGACCTGGTACTTGGCCTTAGCACGGGTGGAGCCAGCGTTGGCAGAGTCGGAGTGACCCATAAACTCGACGGGATCCTTGTCGGTGATCTGGAGAACGTGCTTGAAGCGGTCGCCGATCTTCATGAGGATAGCCTGCGACTCCTGAGGGGTGCGCTGGGGCTGGCCTTGCTTGGTGGGGTTGGCCTTGGTGCCGGCGCTGCGGGTCCAGAGACCGATACGGTAGAAGGCCTTGCGAATGTTGATGACGACACCCATGACCTCGTTGTCGTTGTCATCCTCGAGCTGCTCACCGATGGCGGCGAGCAGGACGTGCAGCCAGATCTCGTCGTTGGCCTGACGCTGCTTGAAGGTGTAGGACCAGCGGCCACCGTGCTTGTTCTGAGGGTCTTCCCACTCGGGGCGGACGCCATGCTTGAAGAGGTGGTAGTCGGACTTGGGAGCGAGCTCGGAGGAGGGGGTGATGTTGTNTCTGAGAGGAATTAGAGATGTCCAAGTGAAGAAGAAACAAAGACGACGGCTTACGTAAATGCCCCAGAACTCCTCGACACTGTTGAAACTGATGACCTCCTTCAACAACTCATTCCAGTCTTGCTGCGCAGGGTGTTAGAAGCGTGCGGCTGGTGAGTGTGATTGACGAGCAAGTACCTTGCCGCTCGGGGGCTTAGTGAACCACAGGGTCCAGGTGTGTGCAAGCGGGTGCTTGACGTTGAAGTTCTCGGGGTCGTGGAAGACAGTGACAACATCGCCAGAGTTTGCGCTGGGAGTGGAATCCGAAGCGGCGTTACCACCCTCGGGAGAGATGGGGATAGTGTCAAGAGGGACGGGTGATTGAGCGACTTCGGCCATGATGAGATATGGATCGAGGATGAGGCGGTATTGAGCGATGAGTTGCGAAGAGTGGCGGTTTTGGGTGCAACAGAGAGGTTGTCAAGCTTGTGTCTGGACTGTGAATCTTTCTGTCAAAGTGAAGGCGCGATACGCAACGCTGCACTTTCTTCTTTCCGCAGCTGCGAATGCGACGGAGCTTGCCGCCTGTGTTTTCCTCCACCAACAGCTTTGCAACTTCACTTGTTGTTGTCACGAAGAATAGGTTGACAATTGTTGAAGTCTTGTTCACGTGAAGTGTTTGATTGATCTTGTTCTGAAATAGGGGATTGTGGTAATGGTTGGATGGGTATCTTAGGAGGTGATTGTGACAGGACAATGAGTGAACGGAGAAAGTGCGACGCTCGCAGCTTGAGTTGTGTGCCAGAGTGCCTGCACCACCTTCTCATAGCACCTGTTCATTGATGTATCGCTTCATGCCATCGAACTGAGTGCGCCCTGTCGAGATGAGATAACGGATATGGCCAATGTCATGCACGTCTCGGTGCCTCTCGAACTCGGTGCGCGCATAGTCTCGCATCTCTCTCTTCGTCGGCGACCCAGGGATNNTTCTTCAACACATCAGTCATTGGGAAAGGATGGACTTGCACATGACAAACGTACTGGTAATGGCTCGCATTATCTCGCGCCAGAGACTGAGCGCCTTCTTCTTTTGCATGANACTTTTTGTCATTGTCAGCCATTGCCAAACCCACTCTCCAAAACCAAGGCGTACATGTTCCAGCGTCAGGACATTCTTTCCTCGGAGTAGCGACTTCTGTGTCGCTATCCTTGCCCAGAGACTCGCTGTTTGCCGCATCATTTCGAGGCCAAGTTCATTCTTGTTGATGTCGTCTACATTTTGCGGAGCATGGATTCAAAAAGTCCAGCCCTCGGGTCTTTCGGATGACGACACGAAACACGAACACAACACCGTCGCGTCCGCCAGCAGAATTTATTTCACCCGAAGACCGGGACACAGCTCACGTCTAACCATGTCGAGTGCAGCAATCGAGACAGAAATCAACAAATGGAGACTGTGGGGCGTCAACAGATTCCTCGAGGTGAACACTGCCTTGTCACTAAAGCAAGAAAAGAACGGCGAGCCACCAACCCTTGATCTGGTCAGATCCTTATACCATGGAGATGAGAAGGAAGCCAAGACACTCTTGCAGGAAGCTCGATCTTCGCTCAAAGACATGGACATGATATGGGTTATATTCGGAGCTTGCGAGCTTCTCAACGACTTCCCACTGCGAACCTCCAAGAAGAATGGATCTGTGCTCCTCAAGCATAGCGACGTCTTTCGCACATTCGGGAAGAAAACTTCTCAAGGTACCAAGCTTTACACCGAAGCTGGTGAGGCCTACCTGCGTTTTCGAAGGATCAGAGACCTCAATACTCTGCCTATGCTCCAGTTCACCAAAGATTACCTGCCTGCGGGATGGATGGAGTACACATCCTACAGATCAAACATCAGCCAACAATCAGAATCGAGTACTGATGCCAGCTTACCGATCTTTGACATTCTTATGTCTACAAGTCTCGACCTCTTTGAGCAGATTGACGCAGAAACCACTGAATCAACCAAGCCTCCCCCATTCGTTTCACAAACCCTCCTCGAACTGATCAAACATACGAGCTACACAGACTACAACACAAGCGAACAGGGCTGGAGTGACAGCAAGAAACTGGATGAAATGAAGGATGAAGATATGCGCTACCTAATCGTTAGGCTCCAAGGAGGTCACTCTCCAGAAACCGAGAAGCAATGGAGCGAAAACCTAGAGTTGGACCCATCAATCATTGGCTTCTTGTCTTTCATGATCACAGAAGAAGAAGAAGAAAATGTCGCCTACATCTACGAAATCCACATCTCCGAGCACTTCCGGGCCTGTGGTCTGGGACGACACCTCTTCGGTCTGGTCGAAAACATCGGTAGAGCCACTGGTATGGACAAAACAATGCTCACCGTCTTCACACGTAACACGCACGCACGAAGATGGTACGACTCACGCGGATACGAAGTAGATGAGATCAGTCCAAGGCCAAGAAAACTCAGGGGGGGAAGATCTATTGAACCAGAATATGAGATTCTAAGCAAGCGTCTCCAGGAACACGCGAACAAGAAGACCAAGTCATGATGCAGTCTGTTGCTTCGCTGAGTTCGACCAGCTCTCCTTGTACCAGGATCAGCCAGCATGATGCATATACGACATGAAGCTTTCGCCATAGCGGCGGAGCTAGTTCCTTCGATCCCGTGCACCTGAAGGGCCCTAAGTGCATCCTTCGATCCTTCATGTCTACTTCTGGACAGCTCCACTAACTATCCGTCCTTGAACACTCAGGCGCATGTAATCGTCAAAACTCATGGCACGCACGTCACGGCAGTCTAAGGCTACCCCAGGTACCGGTTTTAGCTACGACCCACTTTCAGCGGCGCCGGCCTCACCTCCATCACTACTAGGGCTGCTGGAAGACACGTTCGTCATTAGCGAGGGTATCTGCTTAGCTGGTTCACTCGTTTGTGTACGCGGCGATCAACCCGTGACCAGCCACTACGGATTGTTATCTTCAAGCGCATCACTACACAATAGCAGACGCGTTTGTCACGCCGTACCGCACAACCTGACTGCGCGGCTCAGGATCCTACGACGCCGTAACACTTTTGGCTTTGCAGTCAAACCTTGATACGAAGCAGTGAGAAAGCATCTCCACAGACCTGTTAGTTCTGATTAGTCTAGGTTAGGTTTTTGCTTTGTTGTACCACAAGCACTCGGACCTGCCTTCGGGACACATTGATTCGCTGGATGATGGCTCCAATTACCTATCTTGAGTCTCACCATTGAGATCCTTATGAGGGAACCAAATTCACTCACCCCTCAGTGGTGCGATTGCGTTCGAGAATTTAAGGGATTCTACATGCTGACATGCTGTACTGCGTTCAGTCTGTAAGACTGGAAGAATGTTGATCCAGTGCCACGATCGGATACGGATAGGCAGAGAAGTCTTGTGGGCAAGTCTTGCTCCTCCTGAAGAAACAAGCCCGGATCGCGAAGTCCATCATGGACATTGAGCCGCCAGCGTTTCGCTTGCATGATGCACGCTAAAGCATGCGAAGCTATTCCTACTTGTTCAATGCCGACCGTCAACGTTTCTCATAACTGGCACAGCTCGGGAACACATGTTCCACTCTTAGACTGAACCTGCGCGCGGAGACGCTGGTTGATTTATCTGAACGAACTTGTTTGCCCTGATGTGAGCGATGGGAATGCCCTGTGTACATGGATCCGAGATATAGAGTTTCGCGGGTGGAACTAGCTAATGTCCACATGATTCCTACTGTCTTGCTTTCGTGTGTAGTCAGAACAAAGAATGCCACCATGAAGTCTTGAATTGATTGTCGATCTTCTTGTATGTTCGGCATATTCGTAGAGCCGCAGGGTCCATGGAGGGTTGGTTTCACTTGTGACAGTGATAATGTCGCATCACATTCTAAACCTTCAGAGAGGATTGGGATTAAATTCGGTCTCGGGATTGAATTCGGTCTCAATTCCGGAGTCGCGAGCCGCAATCGATTCAGAGCCCTGCGAAAAAGCAGATGTTATCCTGAGCAGACCAGATCTAGTGCTTGCCTCTCTTGCAGCCGTGTACACGATACAATGTCATGCCAGTCATAAGGAGATTAGACTCTGTGTCTTCGTCACTTTACTCCATGATCGGTGATCGTTTGGGTAACATACGGCGACAGGAACCGGTTTTACAGGAAGGGTCTGCGAGTAGGTGCTTGTACCTAAGCGAGCTCAAGGGGTTCACGCATCTTCCGGAGCCTCATGTCACTGAGAGTTTCGGAACTGGTGTGATCTTTATCAAGCAACAAGGAGGACCATGTCAGATGGTAGACGCCTAAGCGTGACAGGCATGGAGTGATGTCGCCGCCCTCTGCACGACGATCGGGATAGCAAGCGGCAAACGGCGGCTTCCTGGTCAGCTACAGAAGGATTGGAGACAGCAGGCATGTTTGGTCTTGTGACGATGTCATCTCGAGGCACGTGATGGTGCAAATCGGCCGAGGCATTCTACCGAAAACGCACTTTTTACAGCCGTTGAATATGGCGTGCAGCTCCGACCTGTACGTATCCAAGGATTGCAGGGGGTCAAAGATACTACCGAAGCCTGGGACTGGCAGTGGGTAAGCCACGCGCCACCTGCCGATTGCAGACATCTCGTAGCATGGAACCTTCTCGCGACACTAAATCACATCCTATACATTTTAGGCAAGGTACGTGCGAGCTTTTTCCTTTCAGAGTAACTTCTCGGTGGTTCGCGAACAGTATGGTCTTGACAGTCCCATGTCCCTGCTTGTGGAGTCCTGACCATACAGATCCTTGGACATAAGAGTAGCTACCTGCTAAGCGCTTGTGTATACTCCACTCTCCACTGGAGTGTGATTGAGCATGAGTCGATATATTTATGGCAGAGCCCCAACAGCTCAAAGTGTTTAGCGGCTGTCTTTGTTTGCATGCAGGACTGGACTGGAGTAATCTCCGGGACAGACACAAATCCACGCTTGAACTTCTCTGCACGAGGGTATAGTTCGGCTCACCCACCTTCAAACCAATCTTGTAGGGCTAATTGTCGAGCTTACACTCATTGGTCGTTGCAAACTTTCTCCACTATTCTTCTTCCTGTATCTGCCCATCATCTCATACATTCCACAAACTCTCACAGGATGAAGCCTCGCAAAACGCACTTGAAGTCACGCACAGGGTGTGCAACATGCCGTGCAAGGCGGATCAAGTGCGATGAATCCAAGCCGCAATGGTATGTGTCGTCAGTTGAGAAACATGAACTTTCTGCGGATGCTNNGAAATGCATTCATAGCATCAATTGTACTCGACGGCAGGTTCGCTGTGACTTCCTGGGAGCCGCTTCTTCCTCGCAGTCCTCTCCGGGAGAATCTTCGCATCAGGTGGCTCGCATACTGCACGCTCTCTCGGACAGCGATGCAGACAGTGCTGTCGAACCAGAACCCGATTCTCTCCTGAGATTATTTCCTACAGATTGCCCGGACTTGTCAAAGCAGGAACGATTTCTGATGGCACATCTGTGTGGAATCAGTGACAGTCTTGTCGCTGGTGGTATGGACAATCTTGATTTTGGTCTTTCGCTACTACCTGAGTTCGTGAACCCAAGCTCAAAACGACAATCTGTTCTGACCGTGACAAAATAGATCCCANNTCGCATAGCAGTCGACTGCTCATTTGTTCGACACAGCGCTTGTGCCCTTGCAAGCACGCACCTGGCGTTCCTAACACAGTCTTCGAGTATCATTCATCTAGCATACTACTACAAGTGCTTGGCACTTCGGGGACTCCGAGAGTCGTTGAGAGTGCTCAACCAGGACAATGTGGATGCCATGCTGGCAGCATCCTATCTGTTGAGCTGGCAAGCTTCTCAAAGGTTGGTGAGGCTCTTTCTGTCCACGTTTACACTATACCCGAACAAGAAGTCGCTTACACTCCCTCGACACAGCCAGGAATTCATGCAAATCATGAAGGGCGTCGACCTGGTATGCAGAATTCTCCCCAACTGATGACATACTGACGAACGGGGCTGACACTCGCCAAGNGCCCTAATGGAAATGGAAAACTTCGGTCACCAGTCAAAGCTCCGGAATCTTGCTCAACATTCGAGTAAAGCCATCGAGCTTCAGAGAGACATCGAGACGAATTCCGTCGCGAACGCGCCCTACCCGATGAACAACTCGGTAGAGCTGGCTTGTTCGACACTAAGGGAGCTGCAGGAACAGGTCAGCGACGAACCCGAGCTCGTTCGTGGCACCAAGGAGTTGATCAACTTCATGCAAAACCTGCGAATATCTCCACCAGGACCGACAGCCGACGAGCAATTACAGGCACTGCATCCTATTCGTCACTGGGTGCCCTGGCTTCCAAGATCGCTCATCCGTCTCTCCGATCGCGAACCGCTTGTCCTGGTTTTCCTTGCACATTACCATATGGTCGTTTTGGCAGTTGAGTCGATTCTGCCAGCCGCGCCCAATTTTCTCCTTACGTCCAAGCGCGTCGAATTCATCGAACGACTTGAAACAGCAATCGGCCAAGTATACAGACCGACGGAAAAGTTGCCAAAACAGCCGGGTACTCGAAGACGCAGAGAGAGTCTCGAGAACCTGATGTCTGGTCCTGCGGCTTTTGCTCGGCAGTGGAGACTGACGAATCTGCTGGCCTCGGAATGCGCTCCTTTGTGGGGATCTTCCCAGTCCGCGGATCAGGGCACAGAGCCGCAGTGGCAGGACCCTGATCCCGTCGACTTCACTCTATACAAGTACCAATAAGTTTTGTTTTCTTCTTTGCTTCATACATCCCATTCTCTATCGTCAACAGGTGAATTGGGCAGTCTTTGGTTGTTAGAACTTACAACGCTTGGTTCGCAAGATCTAGAATAATCTCACAATACACCAACCTGGAACCGAACACGACAGCTGATCCTACACGTGTGTTCAAAGTCTGTTACAGTGTAGCTATAAGTATATCACTCAATCGAAAGGGGTAACTTCTACTGTGATGTGATGCCGCTGGCTCTTTCAAAGTCATCTCTTGCATGGACACAACTTTGCATCGTGATAGCTAGCGACGACCTTGACTGCATTTGAGCAAACACCAAATTGCGACAATCGCTACGATACCGCCCCTTACCTTCTTTTGCCGTTTCGGCTTCGATCTGGTGCATCGCCCTATCCTCGTTCTCGTTCTCGGCTCGCGTTTCGGTCCGAAGCACGCTGGGGTCCCGGGCTTGTTCGGCATTCGTCTAGGCTTGCTATACCATTTGCCCTTGCGTCGACTGGCCGTCGCTTCCTGATCAACAAAATCTGATCGACAAGCTATCTTGAGTGCACAATATGTCTCACCATACTCGCTGTGAAAAATACTTCCAATTTCGATCACCTCTACGCGACGATGTCTCACGGCGCTGAATACATTTACACTGAGGCCAAGCAGAGCACGCATCTTCCAGACCTCAGCAATAGACGATGTAGCGCATTGCGCACGACAGCTGCACACCCGTAGCTTCGTATTTGACTCCGTGTTTAGGACCAGACGGCTTTAGATATAGAGACGCGACGACACATGTTCTGGTAGATACACTGGCACTCTGCAGACCAAAGGTCAATGAGGCGCCGGATCGTGTGCAGTCCATGTAATCCTTCTCTTTTTCATGGTGTTTCGTTGTGTCTCTCGAGTTTGTGGGCGGGGCATTCATGAATGTGCAGACGGTCGAGCACGCGTAGATATGTCGGCTCGACGGTGCACAATGTAGGTATGAGCCTTCAGTGAGGGCATCTGGCCGAGCGCTGGCGGTTCTAGGAGTCAACAAAGCACGCGCGATGGCAACAGCATGATGGCAGTCGAGGTAGGTTGTCTGAAGCTTGTCTTCAAGAAGGAGCGAGCCTCGGACTATCAACCAAGACTGACCCTCCACGCGTGACTAGGAATACGCACCCGCGGTTTCCATCATACTGACCAAGTCATTGACTCTTTTTGTCTGCTCGTTATCATTCGTTCCCATCCACCGACTAACATTAATTACTCTAGATGAACGCTATTTTGCGATTCCCTCGGGGCATTGCCGGAAGGTTCATAGACAGGGCTACTCGCGAAGACAATGAGCAGTCGAGTTGAAAAGTCTTGCGATAAAAACGCTGCACTATTGGTCGGCACTCATACGGCCGAGTAAATTGATCGAAGCTGTGCCAACATGGATGAGCGACGCGTCCTCTGCAGGCGCACTCGGGTAGCCAAGAATTATCTCGAATGAGGGATTGAGGAGGTGTGCCGATCGACGAATCACTGACGCGCCAGCTGCTCTGCTCGCATCCTTTCTTTCCTTCCACAGCAGCCCGCCATCATTATGGAGGTTGTGGGAAAGAACATCACAAGATGGCAACGCCTCGCCCACGGCTACAACAGATACTGGTATTTCAAGGCTACTTTGCGCTGGCTCGCTCTGATCACCGCCGTCGTCAGTCTCATCACTCTTGGTGCGACATGGCTAGACTATGCTCGCTATAGCCAATACGATGTCGGTGTGGTTTACGAAGCCTTGGCCATTGTCGGTGTATGTCGTCGCATTACCNNTTGTCCGAGCTTAACAGTATAACAACTAACATCGCGCCAGCCCCTATGCTCGGTTGTAATCGATGTTCCCGCTATCGTCTTGTTGTTCATGACCCGGACAAAACCGAACATTAATCCCACCTATCTACTTGCCGGCGACACCTTCAATATTCCGTTACTGATCCTTGACGTGGCTTTCACGTTTCCCGGCCGATACGCCTTCGCTGTCAGTACCGCATCTGTAGAGTTCCCGCCTGTTGTGATCTGGGGTCTTTCCACAGGCTTGACAGCTCTGCAACTCATCTTTTTCTTCACTAGTGTCTGGGAAACCCACGTGTACAGAGCTATGCGTAGGGAACAAAAGACGATTGATGCAGAAGACTCCCGAGACCTAAAACATCAATCGCGAGATTCAGAGAGTGACACCAATATGACAACCTCAGTCACCGAAGGACCAGTCAGGATTGAGCTTCCGGATGGCAGGATCNNTTTGAACTTCCGGAGGGGACTAGATTTGAGCTTTCTGCCGAGCAGCGGTCAGAACTGCCGGCACAACTTCCTGGCGTCTTCCTTGCAGAGCTTGAGGCTTCGGTTCCAGCAACGAGGGTCGATGAGAAGTCCGCCCAAGGTCCAATCACGACAGCGCGTACCGTTGTTGACAATTTGCTTGCGATACACTCGAGAAATGCTCCTTGAAAGCATACCTGACCGAATCTACAAGCAAATTTGTCACACGACCAGACTATTCATGTTGGAACGTTCATATCGACCTTCCCATGACTGGAGCGTAAAGAGATGACGACATCTACTCGGTATAAGGTGGTGGAAGTTCTATTCTTGCCGCCCCGCCAAGATGCCTCGCTCCAACGTACGGAGGTTCATCATTTGGCTCATCAAGACCCCATTTGTGGATTCTGCTCGTCCCAAAACTACCTTGCATGGTCAGAGTCTCGTGCAAAGCGTACTTTGCTATGGCTTTGATCATCGGGACACCGCTGGTCTCGTCTTCCAAGCCAATGGCTCCTTTCTGGCCATCCACCATCGCATGCTGGATTCGCAAGTCCCAAGTCATAGGTCTTGGCCCTGAACGTATGCTTGGTGTCGTTGGCAGGGCGTACCGCGTCGTGCTTTGGACCTTTGGTTTATCCCACTTGTATCTCCATACAGCTTGGACGCTGATCCGTGGACCGCCATAAGATCCTGAATCCAGAGGACCGGATTTGTTCTCGTTATCAAACTTCACTCTGCCTCCGTATCTCGCACGTTTCGACCAGGTCTTCAAGCTGGCGAACATGCCATCATAGTTGATAAACACGTTGTCAAACGCGACTCTGAGTTCTGTCAGGACTGCAATAGGACAGCGTTCAACGGGTACAAACCTTTCATAGCCCAGAGCAGTGATGCTCTCCAGCTTTTCAACCGCTTGCTGCACCAGTCGGTTCTCACCAATCTCTTCTTCTGCAGTTATCATGGAAATATTTTCTGCGATATCCAATCGCCTTATCTGGATCGTCTTGAGACTGGCAAATTCTGACATTTGCGCGTAAAAATCAAAGTCGATTTCCTCTTCTATCGCAGTGGATTGGGGTTGGGCGACGTTATGTTTTCCAGAAAAGTGCATGGATGATTGCTTTTGGAGCTCAATCTGATTGTCGAACCAGTCTCTGATGCGATTATCTGTCATTTCTGCGTATGTAACAAGTATCAAGCCAAGGGATAGCAAGAGCAATGATGTCCTCATGGTGTTCGAGTTGCGCTTTTGGCAGTAAAAAAGTGAAGGGGATGGGCGAATAATGATTGCTGCCTTGCCGCTAGCCCGAAGGATTCGGAAATTCTCACTGTACGCACGTAAAACTCAAGATGTGATTATTGCTCTTACCATTCTAGAGGTATTCGGTTTACGCGATCCCCTGGGTACCTAACAATGACTAGCAAATCAGGTGCTCGACATTCGTTCATACTCATGACACTTGCTGAGTTAAGATGCACAGCAATGAATGGGATCAGCAGTCGGTTGATCATCGGATGTCCGAGTCGGAAATGCGGAAACCTCAAACCGCCACTTTCTTTCCTCTTTCCTCGCACCATTCAAGCTCGCGCCGGAAATTTCCACGCTGGACGCCTTGTTGCATGCTGGGATGTTTGAGCCTCTATGACACCCTTACATGCTGATTGCGCTTCTGGAACATGACTGCCGGCACATGACTGTTACATGTCACAGGTTCGCGGAATCCGCAGCCATCTAGGTGCTAAATGATGATCAAAACCCGGGCTACGAGCTGGTCATAGCTACACTATGGCGACCAGCGGACACAGAGAGTTTGTTAACCTTGACTAGCCCGGTTTCGAAAAGCTTCTACGCAGACATGGAACCAAGGGAGAGTCAATCTACATGTCACGCGTCGACTCTCGAACAAATCCCGTCTCTTGTTTCGACAAAGTCAATTGCGAACATGGTACCGATCTGGTGTTCTGAAACCCCATGAGATACGAATCTCGTCGTTGAAGTGTCAAAGGTAATTCACGGCCTCTGCTTGGCCTAGCATGGTGCATCTTGCCACTTGCATCTCTATGTACCACTCATTGGTGGTTCCCACGTAGTCACATATCACTCTGGTCCCAGCCCGGTTCCATGAACCGTCGGTCGAGGATCTTGTCCTCGCAACCTTACGTCACGCCTCTGGAAGTGTGCTTCTCCAGTTGTTCCTTACTTACTGCTACTTGGTATCGCTTTCATTGGCCCCCATCCTTCGACATGGCGTCGAGCGCGCCACCAACTCTCTACGGATTGGGCAAGATTCCGCAAGAGCTTTACGTTGTTGCACTATCTCTCCTTGTCGCTACATGGTCTGCAGCCTTTTCGAGAGCCTACGTTCGTGGCTACATGCTGCGATCTTTTGGCTGGGACGATTGGACCCTGATACCTGCTCAGCTCTGTTATACGGTACAATGCGCCTATCTCATCTCAATGGCCGGGGTGGAGATGAATCCCGACGAAAACAGTAGCATACAGAGTATTGCACAACTTGTCACTGTGAGCGAATCGAGGCTCATAATTAGGGAAGCGCCTTGCTAACATAGCCGCTGTAGNAATTTGGTTGTCTATTCCGGCATCTACGCTCTTACCTGTGTCCTCCTCAAAATCTCTCTGGGTCTCTTCTTCCTTCGTATTATCACGCAAAAATGGCAGCGCAACGTCATATATGCCGGCATCACCATCAATACCGCCTTAGGCCTGGCATATTTCGGCCTGTGCACGTTTGGATGTGGTGACCCCTCGAAATATCTTCTTCGCACTACCTTAGGGCAATGCATCTCTATCAAGAACGTCGTCATTCCTGCTTCATACATATTTACTGCCCTCAACGCTGTCATGGATTTCACAATGGCCCTTCTTCCAATCAGTACCATTTGGCACCTAAAGATGCCGAGAATAACGAAATTTTGGGCTTATCTACTGATGTTGCTGGGTGCATCTGGCAGCGTTGTCTCTCTCATTCGCTTTGCCTTTGTCGAAAGTCTAGAACCTGGTCCCGAGTTCTTCAAGGATACTGGCAAGCTTGCTTTCTATTCTCATATCGAGCCTGGAGTTGGGATAGTAGCTGTATGCGTCGCGACTCTGAGACCGCTATTCAGGCAATGTCTCGAGGGTGCCAAGTCCGTGAGTAGTACACAGAAGAGTCGTGGTCCCAGCGGCAAGAGAATCAGCATTACAGGAACTTCCGATGTTCCATTGACCAGCATGAAGACAAATCGTCAGCCGAGGGACGGCTTCGACACCCTCGAGGACGACAGTGACGAGATGGAGACGCATTGGTCGAACAAGCATGGGATTGGCGTCAAAACCGAATTTAGAATCGAATCCCATGCGACGAAAGTCGGCAGCCACGACGTGGAGCAGGGAAGAGGGTTATCATTTTCTCGGCCGCCCTCTCTACCGCCATCTCAGCCACCATCTCGACCACAATCCCCTGTTCGCATGCCCAAGAAGATTATCCCGGGTGGATACTTCTAGGATACCGGATCACGAATCGTTCTAAGCGCAACACCTTGCATCATTGCCCAATCGATTGTACTGGGTTACTTGGTGTCAATTCTCCAGCATGCTTAATTTGGAACCAGTCCAGCTACGAGATCAACATAGACACAGACGCATTCATCCACTCACTGAAGAGATTGACTCCTCGAAAGCAGCTTTGCGTGAAGATGCCTTCAAGGAATCCGCAGAGGATCTTTCATAAAGTACTCAAGCTCGACTTACACAGTATCCACTTTCAGATCGAATTCCATCAAGATCCCTTGACCTGAACGCGAGCTCCTGAAAACTCCAGTGTTTGACAGAATCGTCCTGGAACGCAAGCGACCCGATCCGAAATCGAGATTCTCAAGCACTCGCGACGCTTTTATCGGGCCATGACTCTTCTCACAATCCTACTCGAGCCCACGACTCATGGAAACAGTGATGGTGACATCTGCGGTACAACAAATATCATTCGGCAATTCATTTCATGCTCAGATGGCAGCCACTTTACCTTCGTTTTCAGCCGTATCTTACGTCTGACTTGACGCTTGAACATATTGCTGAAGTTTCGCTGTTGAAGGAACATGTAACTCGGCCGATCCGTCCGCGAGAGCCTTTGCTCATACCCTTGTCACACCATGCTCGACTCGCAACTATCATCCTGGAATCTGGTATTCGTAATCTTCTGGAACAAGTCGTAGTCGCCAACGTCCGAGTACGTTGTCTAAGCAGACAATCGTGACATGTGCCGCTGCAGATAGCAACAAAATAACCTGCTGGTGGCATGTTTGAACTCGGACTTTCCCCGTGATATCGTGCCGGGTCTGTCTGGAAGGCTCGCATGTAGAGTGTTTGGCAGCTGTTGTGTTATTACCCCACTTGGGACTTGTTATTGATGTAGTCTCAGAGCGTGACTAGAGTCTTTCTGGATACTACTAGGAAGTTCTTACAGAATCACCAAGATCATTCGAGCGGCTCTTGGAAAACATGCGTCTCACTGACAACAAATGGAGTCGCACTTCCCCGACTCGAGCCTCTAGTAGTCGAGGTGGGCCAAGCTGCCTTTGGTGCGGGGTTGTGCATCATCACACCTTTGAACGTGTTCTTCCACCTTGACAACGAACCCATAGACATCACACATCGTCCATCGTACATCGACCGCGGGCTTTACATACGCGATTATTTCACTGCTTTGGTCTTCCATCGATCTTCCATCAATCATCATACCCATCGCCAAGTGTCGTCTTCGGCAGTTGTAGCTTACCAACATGACGACACACCAAGCTTATGGCACCGAGACTACAGGTAGTCAAGTTGTGGACGACTTCTCTGACAGAGTCAAGGGCAAGATAGGTATGTCCGTTTACGTGTTGGAAAGATCCCGTTCGATACTCATGCCTTCGTCTTTTGACNNAGTCGTCATCACTGGTGTTTCACCAAAATCTCTCGGACAGATGCTGGCAACGAACATTGCGCGGCATCAGCCCGAGCGCATCATATTTGCTTCTCGCACTTCGTCAAAGCTCGACATCGTCGCTTCCGAAGTCAAGAAATCCTCGCCAAACGTCAAGGTCCACACTGTGATTCTGGACCTTTCATCACAAGCTTCAATCAGAAAAGCAGCCGAACACATCAGCAAACTCGTCGATCGAATCGACATCCTCATTAACAATGCTGCAGTCGTAGACTCTGAACTGCGCCATACAGTGGATGGTCTCGAAATGCAGTTTGGTGTCGGGCACATTGGTCATTTCTTGTTCACCAATCTTTTGATGCCTTTCCTCGAGTCTTCTGCCAGAACTTCCAACAGCGCCACCAGGATCATCAACGTGTCATCTAAAGGTCATCACATTGGTCCTGTTCGTTTCCATGACTACAACTTCGAAGGCAAGGAAGTTCCCGAAGAAGAACAACCGGCAGATGCTCGACTTAAACAAATTCAAGGGTACAATGTTTGGGTCGCTTATGGCCAGACCAAATCAGCCAACATATTGTTCTCGCTGGCTTTGAATGATAGATATGGTTCAAAGGGTATCCGCAGTTATGCCATGCACCCCGGAGGTTAGTACGGCGCCTTGTGATAAAAATACATCCTGTTAACGTATCCACCTNNAGCCATTCAGACTGACCTTTCTCGCTCCCTATCTACGCAAGACGCCGCCTTTCTCGAGAAGATCGTTGATGGCAAGTGGATCACACTGGATCAAGGCACTTCGACTATTCTGGTTGCCGCTTTTGATCCTGCTCTTAGCGAAGCACAGAGCAGTGTCTATCTAAGCGATTGTCAATTCGCTAACGCGGAACCTTATGCACACGACTTGGATATTGCGAATAGATTGTGGACCTTGAGCGAGAAGCTCACTCTGCCTCGGCAACGTCTCTAATACGTATAGGCTATAGGCAAAAGGTCTTGTCTCGTTATCATAAGATCTCAGTTGACGGTGCGTAATACTTTGCTTACGAGCTCTAAGCCCGATGAACATTTTCAAAGAAGGCGCGATCGTGTCAAATGTCCGTGGTAATCACTTTTCAACCCACAGAGCCATCCAGCACAAACAACTAGTAGCATGAGATACATCCTTTGGCTTGGCATGTTGATCCATGGCGTCAGAGGCTCACGAAGCTCCTGCTGCCTAAACACTTCGTCTGTTCATCAGTGTAATGTCGCGCTGTCAAGATAAGATTTTCTTTGTATCAAAGCTTTACCACGAGACATGAAAATTCACCTGAGATATGACTTCTCCCAATAACGCCAATAGACTATACGAGGCTGCTTCCAAGAACCGTCTGGATGAGCTCGAGTCACTCATTGCTGCCGGCGTCGACCTGAACGCGTCGACTGGAGACGACGAAGATCAAGGCACCGCTCTGTACGCCGCAGCAAGCGAAGGACATGTCGACGCCATAAGACTCCTCCTCTCCCACGGCGCAGACCCTGACGCTCGCGGTGGTCGATTCGCAAACCCGCTACAAGACACATCCATCAACAACAGCCCGGCTCATACGGAGATTGCAAAGTTACTCATCTCTCACGGCGCAGACGTCAATGCTCAAGGCGGCGGGTTTGGCAATGCGCTCCAAGCAGCTGCGACCTCTCCGATCAACAAGAATCTTGTTCGAGTACTGCTTGAGCATGGCGCGGACCCGAATACCTCCTGCGGCATGTTTGGATTTGCACTACAGGCTGCTGCTGACGGAGAAGGCAATGACGATATCATTGAGTTGCTTTTGGACAGTTATGGGGCGGACGTCAATCGTGTCGGAGGAAACTGGGGCACAGCACTGCAAGTTGCCTCGGAAGCAGGGTTCGAGAGTACGATATTGCTACTGTTATCCAGGGGCGCTGACCCTAATATTGTGGCTGGTTGGCATGGTACTGCGTTGCAAGCAGCAGCGTACAGAGGCTTTCGAAGGATTGTTGAGATCTTGCTTGAGCACGGCGCCGATGTTGACATTCAAGGCGGTGCAAAGACTAATGCGATTCAAGCTGCAATGGAAGGGCACGGTAGACCGAATCCGGAACTTGCAGAGTTTCTCCGGAGCCAGAGTGAGGCAAGAACGAGTGGGTAGAGGAAGTATCGGATTTGTCGTGTCACATCTATTTGGCGACGTCGAAAAAGAGCTCTGCGACGTTGCAGTACATGCTTCCTTCAAGGTCGTCGACCCATGTCATATGAACATAATCGATTGCCGTTAATTGTGATAATTTTGCGCTGCATGCCTCACTCCACACCCAACTCTCTGTAGAATGCTTCTGCGCTGGGCTTACGATCCAAGAACTCCACCAAGGTGGTCATCTCATCGACACTAGCCCCTTNTTCCAGTATCGTGCGTCTATATCTTCTTCCCTGTGCTTTATCCATGGGATCATCCTTGAAGACAGAATAGAACATATCCGCAGCATACACTCTTGCACTNNTTGCAATGTGTCAGTCATCGCAAAACAATATTTCTCGAGCAGGATAAGACACAGGCGGGACACAAACTTACTACAGATAACCATAAAATCCGGCATCATAAACACGAATCACAGCATCGAAATTCGCATATCCTAGCCCTTTATACTCGTCACCAGTATCGAGATAAGAAACTCGGCCTTGCAGACCATTCCACTGCTCTGCGATATCCATGTCGAGGATTTNTTGCAGGGTAGATGGTTGATGCACAATCATATCGAAGTAGCTGCGATGTAAGAGACGGCTTTGGAATAGACTCCCGTTTACATTTTTTGCCTTGACGAGTTGTTCGATTGTGCTGATGGGGATGTGCTTTTCTGGCTGTGGGCTTGTGGAAGGATTTTCCTTCTTCCAAGCAGCAAGATAATCGGGGGATAGGTATGTGTAGTGATGGCTCAGCGATTGCAAGAGTTGTGGTACCCAACACCAGAATTCCAGCATCTGAGACGGGGCCTCACAGAAGTCGTCCACGGTGGCTGTACCGTGGAAAATAGAATACTTTGTGCGGGCGACGAGATCGTGGATGCCGTGGCCTAGTTCGTGGAAGAAAAGCTGGACTTGTTCGTGGGTGAGAAGCGATGGCTTGGTCGCAGTTGGCTTGGGCAAATTGCAGAGTAGTGCGGTGGCTGGATAGTGGCGAGTGCTGTCTTCTTGCTCGAAACCNNCTGGATTCGAATATGAGCTGGTTGTGGAAGGGAAGTTGCGAGGGAAAAAGCTTACGCATTGCAGATTCATGTTGCACATGCCTCCGAATTTCCCCTTGCGCGGGTAGAGATCGAGATAGAGGTATCCGAGGAAGGAACCGCCCTCTTGATCATCATCCCAGACAGCATATAACTGGACGTCCTCTTGCCAGACAAGATCTTCACCGTTACCTGTGGGTGAGAGAGCGTCCCTGTGCTCCTCGACAATCTCTTCGAACACCATGCCAAAAAGCTGGGAAAAGATACCCATGACGCCCGTGACTGTTGTTTCCAGAGGAAAGTACTCTGCAATCTTTTGTCGATCGACTGAATGTTCCGTCTCGAGCATAATACGATTATAGAACGGATGATCCCAGAGATATAATTTTCCATCGGAAACTTCGCCGCGCATTCCGAGATCTCTGCTCTTGAGCTTTTTCAAATCATCAACATCGCTTTCGACCCCAGCAGAAAGTCTCGAGTACAAGTCGTCGAGAAAATTCATCACGGTTTCTGGACTCTTGGCCATCTTGTCCTCAATCCGGAAAGCGGCGTAATTGGCATATCCGAGGAGTTGAGCAGATTCGTGCCTGAGAACCATGATTGCTTTGAACATGGGAACGTTCTTGGGACACTTGTTCTCGTAGGCGGTAAAGTATATCCGGCGAGTTTCACTGTTTGTCGCATACTTCATCGCTGTGGATAGATGCGGAAAGCCAAAGGTCAGTAGCACTTTCCCATCGTGTTGGTCGTCCCGAGTCAGAGAGGACACCAGATCATCAGGCACGCCAGCCAATTCTTCGATGCTGAACCACACACCCTCGTTTCCTTCTCTCAAGTTTTTCTCAAACTCACTCGTCAATTGGTGGAGTTGCTTCTGAATATCCTTGAAAGGATCGCGATTTTCGTGGGGCATACCAAGACCGTTCCGAAGATACACGCTATGATATCTTTCCAACAGTCGCCTGTCCTCTGCCTCCAAATCCTCATTCTTCTTTACCACTGCATCAATCAATGCGAACATACCCTCATGCATTTTCGTCTCAATCTCAAACTCCGCATACAACTTCTTGGCTTCGGCAGAAGCATCCTGAAGAGTTTCATCTGGCGAAACTGCTTCGTAAAAGCTCAGCAAAGGGAGCTGACAAGAAACAGAGTTTTGGTTGCGAGCGAGCGGTAAGATCACATTCGCGAAAGTTGCAGACTCTGGTTCTATAGTGGTCAAGATGATTTCTTGCACTTTTCGAGAGTTTGCGATTATGCGCTCGAGGTCTGTGAGGATCGTGCTTGTATCTGTGGTAAATGTTGGTGGTTTCTGAGGTGGTGGACGAGGCTTGTTGCGGGACATGGTGAGGGGACGTGATGGTGTTGGTGGCCAATTCACGAGATTGATGAGACGAAAAATTGCTTAGTGGTGTGTTAGGTCTGGACAATTCAAAAGTCATGTAAAGGCACAAAAGGAGACATCGCCGAAGCACTATCCTTGGATTGGAAGGAGTGTTGGACTGTGGTCGGTTAAACAAGTCAAAAACTGATAGGCGTTCGTCTAGCGTACCGGCAATCGGATATCGGCAACCTCTTATCAAGATCTGGGGCAAGGTCCCCTATATGCCATCCATAGGCTTCCTGTATCATGTTGGTCTTACCTTTCTCTGACTCTGGAGGGACCGAGTATCTTGGGCACAGAAAGACAATATACTAGTATTTTCCAGCTCTATATACTATCTAAGCAGCTCTGCAAAGTCTTCCATCCTTTTGAGGCACCCAGTACTCCGATCCAACAGCAGTAGTAGCATAAAAGATATGGTGAGGATCGTATTTATCCTTGATCTGACTCAATCTCTGGTAGTTCTTGCCATAGAAGACCTCCTGGAAGTTAGGTTGTTGGAAATCGCCCTCGTTGAGATAGCAAGCTCCGTTGGGTGTCAACTCGGCAAGCTTGGGGATCAACAGATTGGTCATCTTGTCTTTGTTGGCAACCATCTCTTCCCAAGGAGCAGTGAAGTTCCAAGGGGTGGTCAGGGTTGTGTCGATCAAAGCATTACGCCAACCGGGGTTGACTGCATTCTCGGGGAAGCCGGAACGAGCAAGGGAAGCATTGATGCCGACACCGATGAACTGACCACCGTTTTCGTTGATGAAGCGGAAGGCTTCAGTCAATGCAGTGTTGTTGTTCTCAACCACCGAGCGAGGAATCAGACGACCACCGTACTGTGCAATGCCGACCTGAATAGGCGAGAACATAGTGTCGAAGTGCTTGAGGTATGTAGCGAATTCACCAAAGTAGTGAGTGTAGGTGATGCCAAGTTGATCAAGCTTCTTCATAAAGGGGGACAACAGTGACTTGAGTTCATCAAGAGAGACACCAGGAGCGGTGATGGGAGAGATGGCGAAAGACTCGTTGGTGAAATACCAGACGCTCATGGCTCCGGCATCAACAATCTTGGGGAGAGATGCGTGGTATGCGGTAACGGCTTCGTAGTATGTGTCCATGGGAATGCCGGCACTGGTGAAAGTGAGGTTGAAGCCGACAGTGGGTGTGTCAGGGTGAAGCTTGGATGTCATGGATAAGACGACTCCGTAAGTACCACCACCGCCGCCAGACAAGGCCCAATAAAGATCACTATTATGCAGACGGTTGGCAACAAGGTGATTTCCAGTACTAGTGACGACCTCCCACTCCAAAACTTGATCAGCAGCGAGACCATGTCTAGACGTCAAGGCAGAGTGACCGCCACCTTGAGAATAACCGCCAGCGATACCGACAGTAGGGCACTCGCCACCGACAACTTGATAGCCAGCAGCATCGGCAATCTTGTAGGCTTCACCACCTTGAATGCCAGCGCCGACTTTAATCGCTTTGCCGGTGTAGTACTTGTCGGACCAGTCCTTGATCTCAGTGTCTTTGAGGTTGGCCATCCAGAGGCCGAGTGCACCAGCACCAGTACTCTTGCCATTGTAGTCGTGTCCAGTGTTGCGGACTACCAAGCGGATGTTATGGTTGGTGGCAAAATTCAAACCGTTAACAACATCGTTGGCGGAAGAAACATTGATTGCGTACTGCACGTAGGTGCCGATAACGCATTGCGCAAAGCGAGGTTGGAAGGGGTCGCAACTTTGGTTGGCGAAGAAGGGGGCCATGACTGAGGACGAGCTGGGTAGGCTTGAACATGTCAGTCATTGAGCTTTGATCAACACAAGCATCTCGACGTACTGGGTTTCTGGATCCAACCAGTTGTTGCGGAGCTCGGCACATGTCTCCTCGTCATAAGCAGCATACTGGTCGTCGTGGCAGGCAGCGGCGAGAGGAATGGTCGCAATGAGACGACCGTTCACAGTGGTGTTTAGGCTCCTCCATTCATCTGCACTCGGCCAGCAGGCATCCCCGGGGAAGCATCTGCAGTCACCACTGTTTGCATATGCAGAGGGAGACAGGGCTGCAGCCGATGAAACGGTGGTAAGAGCACCGACTGTGAGCCCTGAAAGCAGCGTGAGACGAAGCATACTGGCGATGTGTGTGTCGGGAGGCCTTAGAGTTAGGAGACCTGGTGAGATATATAAAGACCGCAAAGAACGCAAGACCCACTAGAATAGGCTTGGTTGGACAAGTCAATCATTTATCATGCGAGTTCATACTCTGGGATCGACGACACAGCTGGCTGGACCTGGACATTCTGTGAGTCGCTGCAGGCATAGATTAATTGACCAGTCCTCGTGGACTCAACGACAGTTCCCCGAGACAGCCCAGCTGTGGAGTGCAGGGTATCTTGGCAGGATAAACCACACGCGGGAGTCGGCCGTCAATCAGGCTCGCCTGAATGAAAAGGCCGGCAGAGCTCGACAACTTCCTGAGGGATATATGGGTACTCGAGGTTATACTCAGCGAGATTTGACTTGGAGAAGAAAGAGCTACCGACGGACGTAGAGTCGTACACAAAGCTCGGACCGCTTTGCCCTGCTTTTTAATAAAGATCGTTCGCGTAACACGGAGAGCTGCCGAATCTTCCTCACATGCGGAGAAGCTTTGGTCTCAGGGTAACTGCTGCATATCCTGATGCACGAGATATCAACTTGTTCAGTAGGGTAACTATCCAAAAAGACCACTTGGTGGTTCCTGTTGCTGGTGTGTTGAAGGAATTTTCGAGATCGTCCATCAATCCTACGCCCGTAGAGACACGAGCTTGCGCTTCGGTAAGGACCCAAGAATTTCCTCGTCCAGACCCTCCTGCAAAGCGGCGTTCCACCTGCAGGATTCGCCAAAAAGAAAATTGTATCAGCATTTGTCCCGGCGGCCTGGGTCGGTAGTGAGAGGTGTGGCGAGTTATCGAATCTTTTGACGTGAAGTAATCTCAGGATTTTGCGCTAGATACAGTGGTCAGAAATGCGCAAGTTGAAGGTATGGAGGCACAGTCCAAAGGATGGGCGACTTAAGCGATGAGAAGTTGAAAAGTCCGCGATTGCCGCGATTAATTTCTACGCATCGGCGCGAAGGACTTTTCTCGACGCATATTGAACTATAAGTGAGAGTATGCGGATAAGGTTGCATCGGAAAATTTGCCCCAAGGATTATACCTGCCACTCGAATTGTCCCGTGGGTCCTGTTGAGTAGCTTCTAAATTTCCGGCGAGCACAAGGTCAGTTGATGGAACGTGTGAGTGATCGACTGCTGGAGACCTTCAAAGAGGAATTGGCGTGACTCCCACGAAAGTCAGCAGATATTATCTCGTGTGCCGCATCCCTCTTCCTTCTTCCGACAGGTGGTGTTTCTCCGTCGAACCCACACATGTCTTCTCCACCATACACTCTGGGATGGGTCAACAATCTCACACACGTACCAAGCGAGAGTGATGCTCAGGGTATCATAGCACTGGCAGTAGTCTTTCCACTCATTGCTATTCTCTGTGTTGGGCTCAAGTTCAGGATAAGAATAAAGACGATCGGCTCAATTGGGTGGGACGATATCATACTAGCGATCAGTTGTGTGCGTATTGAGCGGTGAGTGGGACGATGACCTTGATTGCTAACTCCCAGCTCANNGGGGTTGAACATCGGATACAGTGCCACTGCCATATATCGTAGGTCGAGGTCGTGATTCGAGCGTCGCCGAGGGGTTTTGCTGACCTGAGAGGTGTGCNNAGAAACTAGATGGGGTCTTGGTCTCAAAGCAGAGGACTTTCCTGCAGAGAACGCGGTACCCTTCAGTCGGGTATGAGGATTCGAAGTCCTCTTGCATCGCTGAGTGCTGACTATACAGACANNGGTACAGTTCGCTGGAGGGCCACTATACTGTCTTGCAGTCCTGGGTTTCAAATTGTCGCTCCTCATAACTTACCTTCGAGTCGCCGGGTTCAATCGCATCTATGCCCTCATTGTATGGGTGGTAATTGTCTCTGTCGTGATCAGTCAGATCCTATTCACCATACTGCTGTCGGCTGGTTGTCAACCAATTGCGAAGCAATGGGACCCCAGCATTCCGGGCAAATGTCTTGATGCACTGCCAATATATTTCGCGCTGGGAGGGACAAGTCTAGGGTGGGACTTGATCATCATCGTCCTGCCTTTCCCAATCTTGCGGAGGCTTCAACTGGACTTGCGAAGAAAGGTTGGTGTGGTCATTTTCATTCCAGGAAGTTCTGCTGACGATTATTGTGTAAAGCTCGCGTTACTCGCCGTGTTTAGTTTGGGATTCTTCGTCACCATTGTCCAAGCGATTCGACTGACGAGCATTGCGAAGCTGGCGACTTACACGGACTCGAAAGGATCTATCGAGTGGTCTGCGGTCGAGATCAACCTGGGAGTGGCTGTCGCATGTTTCTCGACATTCGGACCTCTCATAACAAGATTCGGAAAAAAAGTGTCGCGTGGATCCCGTTCGAAAGTATCGAGACTGGCCAACTCGTCGCGACGAAAGACAAACGAGACACGCAGTCGACTACCTGCAGACATGGGTCGCAGCTGGAAAGGCCCGACGGTGGCTGAAGATGAGATCGAGCTTTGGACATCCACAAATCGCATCGTTGGGGGCGCGTCTCGAATGCAAACTTCGGCGACGGGCTCAGACGTTGAAGAAGAAGGGAAGCAAAGTACTGCCCAGTCTATCAATGAGCAGCAGATCCGTGTGCAGCACGATGTCACGGTGCGGCACGATGAAGCTGGTCATCAGCGTGTATAATGAATCATATCAACAGATCGGCTTCCCAGACACTGTACATCATTCGGGCCCTTGTAAGAGGACCAGCGAGGACGACAAGGTGTTCACACTCTTCGATGATTGAGCACTCTGGCATCGGTTGTAACGTGCATATTTACCGGACCTCTATTCTTTGGCTGAGCCGCTGGTTGCTGAGTCGCATCGTCCCTTTGAACGTCCACAGTCATGACGGAAGGTCTTGATACACGTATCGCAAGGAGGCTTGTCCCACAGCAGAGGCTGGTAATGCGCTTGCGCAATGCCGTCACCATCTGATGGTCCGTTGAGAAAGTGCAGTTGTGAGTGTTGGGCGGAAGCTCGCCCAAGGGACAATCCCGTCGCGGGCCGACCAAAACTGTTCATTCTTCGAGAGCCTTGGACCGCGACTTCCCTTGAGATCCCTTGCCTTCTGTCCACCGCGCCAGAGATTTCAATCATCTCCACCGCTCGGCGACATTGATCATCTTGTTTGGTATGGCGCCCGCTGCAGGCGTTTGGTCAATGAGTCGCCGCCGTTTGAGAGTTCGACCGGCTGATCCACGATGGGCTCAAGATACCCCGGACGAGTACGGTTGAGTCGACGGGCCAGATGAACCTCGACACGCGCCGCGAAGCACTGGTTCATTTCTCTACCATACTTCCTGTTCGATGGCATCAGAGCTGTGCTATCACTAGCCAACACCGATTACACCACTCCGTAATACAATATGTGCTATATCACGGACTAGATTCTACCAAGGACAATACATCGACTTCACGGGACAGGATCATTGACTTCCAATCCACTTGCACCATCAATCTCCAATTTTATACGCTCGCCACCATGACACTGAGCTCGTTTAAGTTCTAGGAATCTGTCCATTCTGAATTTCTGTACCACGAATACCTTGTCGAGTGAATAGTTGGCCCAACATTGTTCGAGATGATGTATCTGCAAACTCGATGATGCAGTATCATCATCTCTCCACCTTGCTGGATCACACCTTTATCGACTGCGTCTAGACAGGGACGCTGATCTCGTGCAATTTCGACGTCCTAGGATGGACCACCAGCAACACATCGACCACGGGTCCGCAACAAGCCATGGAGCGTCAGCTGTTCATCTTGAAGATAACGCGGTGCTCTGTAGATCCTTTTGCATGTTGAATGTGCTCTCGGGATAAGGTGAGCATCTGCTCCCGTCTCCCCGTTAATCCATTCTCTGACATAGAATCTTTGACACGACAAAAAGCTACTAGGAAGTCTACCGGATCGTCTCCTAATCTTCAGCCAGTCAGTAGGGACATGCGAGTCAAGCCCTTTCTCAGCCAGGACCTCTGCTTGGCGAGAACATCTGGCGAAGTCTATCCACGGTGTACGAGTACCCAAGGGTCCAGATATCTTCTCGAATTCGAGCCTCATGACCCCACCGGCAATGTGGGAATGGTGGGGACTTTGGCTTTGTATGATCTGAACAATTATTGATCTTCAGTAACTACATCCGAAGCTTTTTAGATGGTTGATCTTTGGTGCTCTCGAACCTCGCAAGCTCTACGACTCACCTGGCCAAACATCAACGGCCGTCCGGTCCAATGAATAACAAGGGAAGCGTCAGGAATCGCACTCCATGAAACACTATGTGTACTGTACATCAGTTTCATGCAATATTAGCCGGCAGCAAAACGTGGGTGCATAATCGGCTTTATACTTCAACATCGATGTTTCAACGAAGAACCCATGACTCTCAACAGTCTGGTTTGGCTACGACAGATCCTATGCCGAAATTTCGGCTGCGAATCATACACGTCCGCGTTTTTCAAGATCTCCGCAATCTCATTATCGGTAATCCTCCAAGATGAACAAAGACGTTAATGGGGTCATCTCGAAATTCGACATTGGCAGGCAAGGATGTCACCTACCGTTTTGAAGAATGGAACCGTGCATTCTTGCCGCGGCCAACCTTAAACTCGGACCCTTGGCCGATATCCTACTATCCGAATCTTGTTCATGAATCGTTAGCGGCTACCTTCTCTGAATCTTTGTTCGATGCAGCTCTAGCGTACATGGGGCTCCGACAATTTTGTATGTGGAAACGCACCGTGCCACCATCGGAATCGCTTGATCAGGTATGACTTGTACGGTAAAGTGAACTCAGGCTGACGCTCGCCAGATTCGACCACTCAGATCTTATGCTTCGCCTCATACAAATTCTTGGCCAAAGCGATATCACTACGGCCGACGGCTATAGTCACCGCGGGCCGTTTCTGGCACGATGGGACTAATCAGACCTTGTCAGGTAACCCATCTGAAACTAAAGTCTTCTCAATGTTGCTGATCTGTGATTGACAAATATATCCTTCTTGCTCTCTTGCTAGATACTTATTTGTCCCCTCAGGCCGCCTGCTTCGACCTGTCATCCCGACCTCCACACCCGATACATCTTTGGAATCGCAATGGCAAGTCAAGCAGAAATCGACACTATCATGGCGCTGGTCGCCCAAGGTATCCCATTAGACCAAATCCCCGCTGGAAGGCCACCTCCAGGACAGGTCTCTCACCTTCAAAATCCGGTTGGCAGAGGCCACATGATTACGACCTGCGACATCATCTGCTTGGTCATCGTTTGCACAATTGTTGCCATGCGAATGTACACGCGTATCCACCTTGTTAAGAGCCTTTGGTGGGATGACTGTAGGTTCTCTCACACCTGAAATCTATGTGTCAGCAGACTCACATCAGTCTTAGGGTGCACATGTTTCGCCCTCGCTTGCTGGGTCGGCGAAACGGGCTTGTTCCAGTTGGCAACGGCATGGGGAGCTGGCGTACACATCTACGATCTTAGCGTGGCCGACCTCTATCCTTGGTTGCTGCGTGGCTGGGTCGTGGCTGCAGTCATGTATAGCGTGACAATGCTCTTCTCTAAGCTCTCCATCCTGCTACTCTACCGCCGCCTGTTCCCAATCACAAACTTTGCAAAGAGTTGGTGGTTGGTAACTGGTTTCACCATCGCGTACTCGGTCGGAGGTGCCGCGGCTTCATTGTTCCAATGTCGACCCATGGCTTCTGCATGGACTTTGACTTTAAAGGCCGACTACTGCATCAACACCGAGAAGTTCTATACAGCCAATGCAGCCTTGAACGTTGCTTCCGATATCATGATCCTTCTTTTACCCGTTCCTATTGTTTGGGGCCTCAACACGGACTTGCGTAAGAAGGTCATTCTTACTGGTCTCTTCTCAATGGGTAAGCCACTACTTGATTCGACTTTGTCTTTGCGTGATCTTTTTTGACTGACGCGCCACTTCNNAGGATCTGTCTCTTGTCTCGTCAGCATTCTTCGTATGCGCTCGATCATCGTCCTATACAAAAATGGCTTCTCAGACTTGACCTGGGGTCTTACCGAAGTCGTCCTGTGGTCGCAGGCAGAACTCACCGCAGCCATGATCTGTACCTGCACACCTTGCTTGCGCCCGCTATTTGAGAAGGTCACACCCATGCTTNNTTTCTCCTCCGTGTCCTCCAGAAAGGACAACAGCAGTACTGGATTCGGCACCCACGGAAAATACGTCCGTACCGGCGATTATGGACACAGAAGTACGGCTAGCAAGGCAACGTCACTTGCTGACGTGGAGTTGGAGTCCAGGATCCACAAGAAGGTCACCGTGGATGTTAGCGCTATGGGTATTGATGACAATGATAGCCAGAAGAGCATCATGCGACATGAGTAGATACATAGCACGGCGGTCATCTATTTAAGGAATTTGGGAATTGATTGGGAACGGGACCTACAGCACAATAACACACAATACATTCTTCCATTTGTCATGATGTGTTTACCTTGTTGTCCCTGTCTCATTCATGATGAAGTCAGAGTGTGTCAGCTGCAGCGGTATCTCACGGTAATATTTCAATGGAGTAACTTGTCTTCGTGTCTTGATTCAGTCGCTCGGTGACTTCTGACATCTGTGTTGTGTCTTGAGGTCGACGCGTCAAGGTTGTGGCTCGGCAGCCGGGACTCTCGCCGAAGCTGGACCATTATGGAAAATTTCGGAAGCTGCTTGATAGCCACTCGGGTTGACATCTTGTCGTGTTCGAGAACAAAGAAAACATCGTCCTACGGTCACATACTAATGGCGCTCATCTCCGATCCTCTGGGTAAAGAGGTTATGGCCAAAACTTTTGTTCGATCATTTTCTTGACATGAGAATCCTTGGACGTTATCAAGCCAGTCCGGCTTTCGGGGAAACACTTGTCGCTTTAATACATTCCAACACAACGTCCCACGTATCATTCAGAGTCACACCAAAGTCACTCAGGACGTCGATGTAATATTTAACTCTGCGCTGGCTCGTTATAGTGTGTGGCTCTACCGATGTCGCGACCACAATCAGGATGTTGGACCTCAAAAGCCTTGTTTGCAGTGCGACCCTGTCAGACACAACTTCCAGCCCGATACTAAAGCGTTTCTCGCTCACGCAGCTCCAGATTCTGGTCGCAATCTGGCGGCCGCGACTTTGGCTTGCCCTTCTCATCTCAAAGCCGCTCCGCCTTGGCACTTTCGCCCAACGACGCAATTGTTGGTCATCAACTTCATGCCGGCATCGACGTCAAAATACGTGTTAGGTACCAACATATCGTCTGATCACATCATCAACCTGCACATGTTCCGGCAAGGCGCCTTGTCAAGGCTTGTATCACACCACCCACGCTCCATCTCGATATCAAGAACGACACGAGCAATGGCAACAGCTTCCAAAGTCCAACTCTCCCTTGGCGAATGGCCTGAGTTCTATATCAAGGACATCAAACAGGAGTCTGCAACAAGGACTTCAAATTTATTGCAAGAGAACCTTGAAAAACACCACATATTCTTCAATAATTCCGGCTTCCACAACCATATTGCCCATCATTTGCTAACAGTCTACTCATTGGCCGCGACACCCTCGCAAATCCAAAAGCATTACGATGACAATGTGAGCTATCAAAGACCACCTCAGCCTGTTGAGTCAGCCATCATACAAGGCATGGAAGACCCTGCAAAGTTCAAGAAGTACTTGGGCAAGGAGCGTTATTACAACGACTACCTCCGCTTCTTCCAAAGCGAGATGGACAAGAAAGGTTGGCAGCAAGTCTTGAACGAGTACGTCTTCGCCAGAGATCAACGAGCAGACGACATGCTGGTCCGCATGTTTGCGGGATTTCTGCATCCTATCATCCATCTAGGCTTTGGCATCGAATTTCGCCAGCCTGCCATCATCGCCGAAGGCCTTGCTCAAGCTGCTGTCCATGATTCTTGGATGAAACCTTTGTTTGAGGGTGCTGAGAAAGTCTGTAAAGAGACTTCTGGGCCATCCAAAAGCATTGTTGAATTGCTGGACCAGACACATGCCGAGAAACGTCTAGCCAAAGCCGCCGATGTGGATGGCAATCGCATTCGCGATGGTATAATGAAGACCGAAGCACAGACAATGATCGACATCGTCGCCCAATATCATATCAGCAGCTCTGCAGAGCTCGAAGAGCGCACAGCAGAGATGACAAATGCAGCCGCCTACTTCAGTGGTGCTGCACAACGCCGCGACAAGGTAAAAATGGTTCACGTTCAAAGTTTAGCTCTGTCTACTAACGTAGTCTCAGGTACANNCAAGTTTGACTTCTTCTACATGCACTGCATCAACTCTTCCATCTTCTTCTCTGCCTTTATCAAGCAAGACTGGCTGAGCGATGCCAACAAAGTGCGCCTGCTCGAGTGGAAGGTCAGAAATGATATTGCTTTGTATGCGTCACGGGGTTGCCCAGACCTTCTCATCGACGAAATCATGAATTATAAGCCGAGCAAACCAACATCTACAGCCACCGACCCCTGGCACGATATCATCGAGCGTGTAAAGAACTTTGAAGATGATGGACATGGCTCAAAGCTGGTAAGAGCACTGGCACATGGTCAGCAGATCTGCAAACTGTATGAGAACAAGGAGAACTTCAGGGTCAAAAATGACATGTGGTTGCAGCTTGGCCACATGGCTATTGACTCCGTCGAGGGCTCTGAACCTACATGGGTTCGATCGGCTGGCTTTGACAGTGCTTGGGAGAAGGTAGCAGATAGGCCTCGTGCGCAGCTATGAAGCGCATTGAAGGGCTCCGTTGACAGCCAAGTCTGCTAAACTCTAGCTTTGTACCTTTGAGAGCCGATCAAACGAAGTTCAATATATGCGTATCCATTGCTTTGACAGGTATTTGACAATTCAGTATTGACGAGTCGCTAAAAGAGGGCACTCTTGTGAGTCCTTCATTCCACTAGCATATGATTGCTCGTGTTTATCAACCATCAAAGCAAATGTGGAAGTAGCGTTTGCCGCTCGAGGTTGCTTCTGTCGGAAAGTGCTACTGAGATGAGCCAAACCTGCATTTCTCAAAAACCCTGGGCTTCTTTCATCCTTTCTCTTGCACGACAACGACCACTTTCTATTAGCCAGCATGGCAGATATAAGATACCCATCGCACTTCGCCATGTGTCTCGTCATCTCAACTCAGATATTCTTTCAGCCATGGATGACCCAACATTCATGCTCTTGCAACTGCAAGAGAATCTACAGTTCATGAGGATTGGCGCGCATGTCCTCTCCTGCGTTACTCACGATCAGAACGGAAAGCCTTACTGGACTTATGTTCTTCTCACTTACGACAACTATGGAAATGTCCAAGACTACCATGACCCCCTTGACGGACGTGCTGAATGGTCTGACAACCCCCTGGAAGCGCTCAAACAGCTGCATCTGAGAGTGGCTGAGTTTGTCACGAAGAGACTGACCCATAACTGTTATCCTCGCCTGAGAACGTTGGCCCAGCAGCGCCATGATGAGGAAGTTGAAGANCGATTCTCCAGGCACGAGCCATCACACTACCACAAGACCCCATCGACCGCCACCTGCTACTTCTTCGTCTGCTCCGCAGCCCTCGTCAGANNACACCTCAAGTCGAAACTCTCTGATGATCCCCCATCATATCAAACCCGGGCATCGACTCAAGCTCGACGCTCTCGAACCTCCCCAGAAACGTTGTCTTCCGGTACCAGGAACGAGCTTCGCAAGACGCAAGGACTTGAGAATGGACAAACAGTGCATCTTCAGAAGCTGGGTCCCGCCCATTTCCCTCAACCTTCTCCCGCGCTGGGCTCGGAAGCCTGGTCGTTCGAAGACACGAACTCGCACGCCAAATCTACTAGAATCCCCAAGGATCCCGCCAACTTGGACCCACGATTCTTTCGAGAAGACGAAGCATTGGCTCAACTTGATCGTAATCAGTCAACCCGGAAGCACTTCTCTAATGCTGGACTGGGTGTGAAGTCTTCAGTCTCTGAAAAGACAAAGCCGATACATCAGACCTCCAATGTCAATGCTTTCTCCATTCCCTCATACTCAAGACCCCAGCCACAGCAAGTCCGCGCAAGAACCGATCTCTCAGGAGTCACACCAGGAAGCAATGCGGTCCAAACTAACGCTCAAACCAGTAAACCTTATCTCTCGAGCGCTGCAGATGCCAATCCTACATCAACCAGTAGCGGTATGCACGGCCTGCGCGTTCAATCAGGCTCCAGCGTTCACCGTCCAGTGGACATGGACACACTTCCACAACCGCTGCGCTCCAATCCTCCCTTCCCAGGCAACTTCGTCACAGTTGTGATGAACCCAGAGACCTTGACAGATTTCGAAGAATTCAGACGCGATCGCGGATCCATCGACCCACTCACCCGTATTTCACAAGAAGTAGCCTCATTCTTCAACTCTGCTACCCATGCCGCTGATGAGGGCTTAGCTTCACTGGCCACAGATCTTGCCAAGAGGTCTCCTAGCCATGCTACTCTGCCGTCCTCTCCTGCTTCCGATGAAACGGTTACTACATACCCTGTGCATCGTCATCGTAGAGTCACACAGAAGCGCTACGGTAGCAACGAGACTGATGAACCACTTCCACCTCCTGCGCCATCTCCTCCGGCTAACGCTTACTACCCGTCCAATGCCGCCATGTATCCACCTACTCTTGTGAGTTCGCGCTCGGAAGCTTCGGTACAGAGGGCTTCCAGCAACCATGGAGGTAGAAACGCAATGCTCTACCCCAGTGATGAGAACATGAGACGCCATGTTTCCTTTCATGAGGGAAGCGACTCAAGCATGCCCAGTGTTGTGAGACATGCACCCATCCAAACTGACTACACCAGTGAAGAGGAACTGCTTGCCAGAAGAGGTGGAGACGGAGCAGGAACCAGACGTCCTTCACAGAACCAGCAGCAAGGTGAGCGAGTACGTGCCTTTTGTCTTTCCCAATCCTTTCCTTCCTCNTTCCTACCAAACCACCTCTCCCAGGTAATTGACCAAGATGTACAAAAATAGGTTCACAGAGCTCCTCTTGTATCCAGAACTAGAAGAGCCCGCGACACGCTCAAGGAAGTGCGCAGGAAAGTCAGCGACACCGTTCGTGGCAGACGCTTCAATTCGATGCCCTAAGCTGCCTTTACATTTTCCAACAGACACAAACACAAGTTCATGATTCCAATTTCCTCTCCAGAGCCGATTCTTGGACCAATATCTCGCAGAGAAAATGGCAGAGATACGCAATTACGGTGCGATGGACGAAGAACACGAGAGATTCCTACACATTGATTTGCCTCTTTTCTCTTTTACAGGTCCTGCATGATTTGGTGGCGGCGCAAGAGAGCAGCAATTTGTACTGTCATCAAAAGAAAAAAAGTTTGATGAGCGAAAAGGGCAAAGCAAAGGACGCAAAGGAACCCAAGGAAGGAAATAGAGAATGAAAACCTGCAGTTTGATATTCACAAAAATTTCTCTTTTGCTTGCTTGCTTCGCCCAAAGTTATGACATTACAGTGCTTTGGTTTTCCTCTCGAAAGGAGAACAATGCTTTGGCCTTACGAATGTCATGAGAAGGTGAGTCCCAAAGACAGGAGTTTCTGCTCGAATTGTAACGGCTTTCATTGGCTCCCTGATATGTGTATATATGCCCTCAGAACATGGTGAGAAGTATGATGGAAAATAAGAAAAGAATCCCTTCAAGTTAAAAAGAGTCCCGCAGGATGGGGACAAATAAGAATGAGAAGTGGAAAGAAGATGAACAGATCAGCATAAAAAACGAATGTCATGAATTTGTTCAGAGACACGAAGAGAAAAAGAAGTGAAACAAGAAGGGAAAGAAAACAGAGAGGCAAGATAAAGACCTCCGACCCAAACAGAGACGACCATATGTTTTCTGCGGCATGCTCTTTTATGCTTGACAATGCGTCGCGAGTTGATCGTGTTTTTGTGCCATCTGGCATTCACGACTGCCCAACTCTGGTCATTGCGTGTACTTGGCAACATGATCTGCGGCGAAAGAAAAAGCAGAGCCACCAGCTGGTTGATCAGCAGGGCTACGAGGACTCAACGGCAAGGCAAAGAGATCATCCTCCTCAGCAGCCGAGTCACTCCTCGTTACCGACGGCAGACCAGTTGAAGAAGTGGGCTTGACGTCGATGGGACCTTGATTGATAGCGAGGGCGTTCAACGATGCCATGCTACTGCCACTTTGTAGCCGTTGCTGTGCAAGGATCGAGTCGGGCGGTAATTGCGGAGCGATTCTCCGTTGGGCTTGTGGTACTACTGAATCCGTTTGCTGGTTCTGATGTACGATGCGTTGAGGAGGTTTGGCGGCAAGAGTGCTGGGGTCTGGTAAGCCGTGCAGTGCAGCGAAGGTATTGAAGTTGACGGCGACGTCTGATCCTTCAGGGCTCAGAGGGTTGGAGTCGTGTGATGGGGTGTTGGTGTTAAGACTGAGGCCTTTGAGCTTTTCCAGTAAGGGGCCACGACCAGGACTGCGAGGACTGGCTGGACTGGGCAGGCCAAGATCCAAGGATGCAGAAGAGCTTGTGGTAGCAATCTTTAGGCCAGTGGGCTTTGTACGAACACCGAAGTTCGACTCTATCCAGTCGCGCTCTTGTATGGCCATGGACAGAGCAACACCCTCGGGACTGTACTGTTCTTCGTGGTGTATCTCTTGCTTGAGGACTTGTAGACGCTTCTTGGCCCATACGGTATGCAAGACGCCCTTCTTGCCAGCTTGACGAGCCGAAGCTCCCAGCTCAGGCGGGAAGATGGCGGGTAGTGGATGTGTGCGCCAGACTAAGTTTTCCTGCTCCTGGTCGTCGGGTCGTAGGGTGAGGGTGACGGTGGCCGGTACGCGCTCGGCGACGGAGAGCAGGAAGTACAGTCGATGCAAGCCTTCTCTCTTGCCGTCGGCAGCATTAGAGCTGAGCACGGCGGCACGTTTGGCCTCCCAGCTGACGGACCATTGGCCGGGAACTTGCTTGGTCTGGTCGTCGTCCTCCCATTCGACCATCAGGATCTTTGTGCCGGCCTTGTCGCCGGCCGGCCTCTCGAACTCGAAGCGGGCGAGGGCATTGCCCGAAGTCAAGGACGGCGATTCGACATGGTCTTGGTCGGGAGTCAAGGGCGTATACGTGCCGCTGTTGGCGAAGAAGGCGCCCTGCGTCGACGTTTGGATCGGCGGTGGGTGCGGAGGAGCAGACATGTTACGTCGTTGAGCTAAGTCGAGATGAGGGTAGGAGAATTGAAGTGCAAGAGAAGTGTAGCTGCTATCTATCTAGACGGGCCAGGATCAGTCGTCTCAGCTAATTACTCTGCAGCTAGCTGTAGTCGAGCACCAGTCTGCGACCTTTGGTGGAGTCTCTTTCGAAGCCTGGTACAAGCTGTCAGTCGCGAGTTGTCGTCGTCGTCGTTGTCGTCGTGTGCATGTCGGTGTCGGGTCATGTAGCCGGCGACATGGTAGACTCTGCATGTCAGAGCAGGAGCTATCGGTGCATCGCTGGGCAATCTGAGCGCCATCTCACCTGCCACATGCTGCGAGCTGCCACGATCTGCATCCGATGCCCGTGGCCCAAAATAGCAAATCCTTACTCCTTTGCAGCGCCCTTCTTCCCGCCCAGCCTCTCTGCCGGCCGACATTCCTCTCCAAATCTCACATCTACTCCGCGAGCAACATCGACATTCAACGTGCTTCAATTCTCATCTGTATGCGCTGTAGTATTCCGCCCAGAGCTGTATAGTACCCCAATCCCGCCAAGCTCGCCTAAAGCTTCCCATCTCGAAATGAGACAGTGTCGCGACTCCGCCTCAATGTCAGTCAACAGTGACCTGGGTGTAATGCCGAAAAGAAAAGGAAAGAAAGCAGAAAAAACAATAGCCATAACAAATCATGCCCCTATTACGAATATTCTACACGACTCGCAAGTCATGTCTGGGGGTATATCGTGAGTCCGTAAAACTCCGCTGTATCTACAGGTATTATTGTAAAGTGGGAAAGCAACCAAACCAGGATGGACAGAAGAATATGCGTGACCGTCAAGGCCAAACACAAGCAAAGGATCTTAGATCAACAAGAAATCCCATCCCTTCTGTCGCATCACGTCTCGCCAGGAGACGCTTTGGTAGCTTCCCAATGCTGCCTCACTGTCGACCAACATCCACACATCCTTGAAGAGCTCACGAACACGACCGAACGACCCAAAGTTGGCCGCTTCTCCAAGTCGTGTACAGCGTTCTTGGAACATGTTGCGGAACGCTGATGTGGGCAACGACACCGAGCCGACCACGAGCAGTGGCCACACCAATGAACGGTCATGTCCCTCCGGTCCAGCCGGTATGTACTCCATGACATTACAGAAAGCATTGACCAAGCTAGTCACATTGTGATCGTCGAGTCGGAAGCCGGGCACAAGAGAGCAAAGGTAGATGCGAGCCGCATACATAAAGGCGGCCGTCACATTGATGCTGAGCTGTTTGGGCTTGATGGCCCCAGTGCCCGAGAAAGCACTCTTCACCGCACCGGGTCCTGGCTCGCAGTAGCCAATGCTGTGACCGAGAATCTTGACATAGTCGCAAAGCACGAGATCATCCATGCCTTCTAGCTTGTGAGCTTCGAGACATGCAATCTCCGAGATGAGGAACATGATGTTATCGTCGCAGCCCATGAGCTCTGACAGTCCAGCACTGCCTTTGCCGATGTTGAGGTCGCGATAAGTATCGGCAAACCTTGGGTAGCGGCCAAGCATGCTTGCTCCGAGGATGTCAATCCAGCCGGTGAGAGCCATGTTGAAGGGAGGACGCGAGACATCACCACATCGCATGGCACCGATAACAGTAGTTGGGAGCTCAAGTCGATCAACAAGATCAGCAGCAGCCTGGAAGTGTTGGTGCCAAGGGATGTCGGGGATAGAGTCTGTTGGTCGGCCTACAGAACATTGGAAGAAGATCATGCCGAGAGTAGCTTCCAGAATCTGAGCATGGTTCTTGTCTTCGTTCAATGCGGCACAGAGCTCAGATATTGCTGCATAGCGGTGTCGGAGAATGTGTTCGTCAATCTCTTCCGAGGGCAGGTCTTCAGTCGACTTCTTGTGAAGGCCCGAGACGCTCAGGCAACAGTGCAGATAACTCTTGTTCGTTTCAAGGGCAGGCAAGATAATGTCCGAACGAGTGGAGCTGTGCTGATTGGCATCAAGAATTGGGAAGATGAGTTTTGACACCTTTTGAATGAAGTGATTGAGTAAGGGTTTGTCGACTTCGTCTACCTCGATGACGGTCTCGTGATTCGGTGCGGATTTCTCGTGTGGCAAGTCGAAAAAGTCAAAGTTGACAGGCTCTTCAGTAAAGGACTCTTGCTGCATCTCGTAATAGTCTTGCTGAACCCAAGTCTCTGGAGCAAAGCCATGACAGCTTGACCCCATTGGTGGTGGCTGAAAAGTGCTAAATGTTGAAATTGTCGAGTCTCTCCGAGTCGGAACGTCGTTGATGAAGATTTGGCGCTCAGTCTTGATATCAACCTCGTAAGGAGAAAACATGGGATGCGGCGGGTGAGACATGAGTATCTCTGGCGGAGGTAGAGCGAAATAACCTTCCGGCGAGACTTGCTTGAAACTGATCTCGGGAGCATACGGCGTGCAGACAGAAGGTGTTCGTGATGATGGTTTCGAGTCGGAGAAGGTCTCGGTCTTGCAAAGGCTTGGAGGCGGCGTGCTCGCATCTTTTGTCTNTTTGGCAGTCTGCGTCAACTTGATCCTCTCTTTGACCATTTCTTTCTGCTCTGCTCGCTTGGTAGTATTGCTCCACCACATGGGACGCTTGTAAACACATGAGACACCCAAGTGATTGCATGCCTTGCAACCGGGTTTTCCCTCATCACACTTCTTTCGGCGCAGACGACAAGTGTAACAGCCTGTNNAGATCCGGGGTGAGCAATGAACGTGTGTGAATCGGAAACCAAAGTATAAAAGCTTACCTGTGCGCGAACGACGGTGCATCTTTGAAGTATTGGACTTTGCATCTTTCGAGGCAGCCATCTTGGTGTTGAGTCTGGAATTTGCTGGAGCAATTGACGACGACATGTCTGGTCTATATGTACAGATAATTATGAGGCAACCCAATCGATTGTGGGCTGGTAGGGGACCAGAGGTATGGGAAAGAAAGTAGTGGCGCAAAAACGGTTCTTGATTAAACGATAGCGCAAGAGGAGCCTGGACCAGCCTGGCTAGTGGGGAAGAGAGGGTAAAGGACAAAAGAAGAGAGAAAAGCGTATTAAGTCGACCTGCGATTGCTGGCTATGGTCAAGTGCAAGAGGAGACAAGTACCTTATATGCCCAAACGTGGAAGAATGGTACCAAATATCACCGCATCTATTCTTAGACTGCTCAACAATGTGGGTTAATACTCTGGTCTAGTCATGCGGTATGCAGGGCATCAGGAAGTGCGATTGGTTGTCTGCACTCAAGTGGCACGGGACCGCCATGGGCCGAGTTAGTGGAGGAGAGCAGATCAGCTCACGCTATTCTTGTGTGCCACCAAGAGTCATGACTGTCGGACAGACGGTGACATGGTGCGTTGAGCCGCATGGGTTGTACAATGCACATGCAGTCTGATTATCGCCGGAAGGATTGACGATTTTTGGGGATATCGGGTGAAATGTCGATAGATCCAATCGAGGCACAAAGGCCCTCTTTCAGTCTTTCGTTTGTCGAGAGACGTCTATGTAAACAAGTCGGCAATGTCAAGTCGTTTTGACAGAAGTTAGTTCAGACCAATGGGCAATGATAGATGCGTCTCGAGCAGCATAGAGTTCGATTTGACAGCTCGAGTCGAAAAGGCTCCGAGCCGATCCCGCTTGCAGCGAGCCGTAACCTGTAGGAACTCAACGTCAAAGCGTCGGCAATCGTCTAGGCTTCATTGCTGGAAAGCGGAGATGTCGAGAGGCCTGATCAACGCTGCGTCTCCCGATAGATAGATGTCCCAGATTCTGTATCCAAGCACATTTGCATTGAGCGATGCTTGTGACATGGGAGCACATCGGAGACATCAGTGCTCCCTCCATTGTCTTCGCATTGGGTAGCGGTGAAGTGTCGAAGCCTTCTGGATGAGAGGAGCGCATACTTCTCCAGGGTCTTCGAGTTCTGCTTGACTCGCTTAAGTTGTTGATTCGTGCAAGCTATAGCGAACTCCACACGCGCTTGTTTGGCATGGCTGCAGAATGAGGGTGCAATGAGTGGTTGGGAACTGCTGATGGATGTGATGAGGAGCGGAGGATGTGCAGCAGCTTGATGTGATTGATGCGCTGTCGCGCCCATCTGCCGGCCGAGTTGACCAATCAGATGCAGCTTGGCAGAAAGCCTTTGAATTAGACTGCGTCAAACACGGCATCGGGCCTCCCCGTCCTTGACTGAATCCTGTTTTTCACGAGACGAGACACGGCAGGGGTTGCTGACTCTCCTGCCACACCAAGCACATTTCGACGGACATCATGCAGGAACCTCCGTCTCTCATGCCCAAGTCTCATCAAACAATATGTGACCTGCCTGTCCTGTATCGACTTTGCGACATCTTGGTTCAATTGCTCACAAGTCCTTGAAGTCAATCCTTGCGAACATGGAGTTTGCATACGCCTAGGTAGTGCCTATCAGCCTTGGACGGCCGCAGAGATATCCCACTCTGCTAGGGCGGTTCATGCTGTCGACCTACTCGCCAACCAGCATCGAACATGCCGTCTTCTTGATCTTATTGGTTTCCAGCGTCTAGGACTGGCTTTTGCTATCAAGTCACGCGCCATCCCCCGTCCAAGACTCGGCCTTTCGCAGGACGTCCGCCGCTATCCATTCTCTCGAGTGCTGACATCGAGTCTTGCTTTGGAGATTGATGTTATCAGTGACTTTCAGTGGCCGGACTTGCCCGAGAGACGTCAGTTGTGAGCAAAACAGGCGAGCTGGTTTGGCGGCTAAAGCGCATCTTGACGTTCAGTCGTCTTTCACCGCTCGTGTCTAGGCAATACAGAACGTGTGCTCTTTCTCTGCCCTTGCATTGTGACCATGTGCAACGCTTACCAGATTCTCTCAACAGCGTGATCACTGCAGTGTTTGCTGTATACGCAGACCTTGTGCATATTGCTCTGCGTGTCTGGCGGGGTAATATGCGCTTCGATATCCAGGATTCTTCAGGTAACACAGCATATGTCTCATTTCGTGGCTAAAC